CAAACGTTTCGTTTCCCAACATTTCGTGGCCCCCGTTTGCACTGGCTGGCCCCCTCGGTTCACGACCCACACTTCGGGAACCTATGCTTTACACTCTGTGTAATCCGTTATTTCCAACAACACGAGATCTCCCCAAAGGGTCAGAGTACATCGCGACGTTCGAGTATATACTATAGACGTAAGTATTTGCAAGTTGTACGGGGCCCGTGGCAACGAGTTTGCCAGCTAGAGAACTGTAGAAAGAATCGCGAACGCGGCACGAATAATTACTGAAGAGGCCCCCATCGGCCGCGGATAGGATGAAATCGACGACGAAGAGGGCCTCGGCTACTTTACGCTCCGGCGACGTGCCTGGCAACATTGTTTGCAAAGAGTCAGCACGGCTTCGCGGAACAGAAGAGCCCGGTCACGGACTATTCCTACCTATTTACATAGGTGTAGCCGGTCCTACGAATGCACGTACACGTGCAACGCCGCCGTGGAAGCACGTTTCCCCGAGTATGTTTGAACAAAATTCCTGTCAGTCGTCCCTCTTTTTTTTATCAGACGGTGTACGTACGTACACCGGCGTTGAACAGTGATCGGTGGGTCGCATGCTCTCGATCAATTTTTGCCACATGCTCAATTGATCAATTTAGAGCCTGGGGATCCTTGCCTCTGTATTTACATTCGATTGAACTAGCCGCATGACTAGCAGAAGCCCTGTATGAGAAACTTAAGGGTTACTGCGCCCTTATATTCCAAGACTCTAGATTCGCAATTGCGATTTAATAACTACATTAGTACTAATAACTCTACAGAGGGTTCGTGATTGCAAATTAGATCGCAGTCTTCATTTGTATTGTTGCACTTTTGAAGGACACAACTCAAAAAAATTACAGCGAATTTTCAAATTATAGCTTATTATTATAGAATATATAATATATTATATAATATAGTATATATTTAATAGTAATTTAATATTATACTATTAAATATAGTATATATTATATATAATGTATACTATATATAATTATAGCAGTAATAGCAATTACAGCAAGAATATTGACAGTCCAATTATACAATTTAGTCAGTATATTACTATTTCTGATGTGACTCTGATTCACTGTATCTGTTCTATAAATGCAATGCTCTTGTTGTGAATATTGTTTTGATCATCATTGTGAACAAAAACAATGATGAGAGACATATTAATTAATTTGAAATAGATTTGCTTCTTCAATTAACGAAACAACATCTAATTCTTTTCGAAATCGCGAAATTTTTCGCTTCGTACTTTCTCGAATTGTGCCACTTTCCTCGCAAAGATGAATTAACTTAGGTATATACAACATTTCTCAACATGAAATTTCTCAACGTGAGTCCACGAGGTATTGCTTAGTAACAGTATGAAAAAGTAAATAATTACTCTTGGCACCGGTAGATGTAATTTCGCCACCGATTTATGTAAGCTATAATTTTCGACCGACAGAAAAGGCAATTTTTGAAGTATTAGAAAGAATAAAATATATGTTTCTTACTAACGTCACAATTTCGAACATCTAGGGCATCAACAGCAACCGAGAATCGAATGCCAAAAAAATTACATCTACTAATCCACGAAGATAGAAATTCCTACGACAGAAAGTTTCTTCAAGAGAAATTTCTCAATTATGTCACTGTTAGGATAATCATCCAATCTCCCCCCTTTTGCACCGCGATCTCAAACATTGTCTTTGGCAACAGATGCTCCCGTCGCTTTGACCAACGAACGATGACAGTGAAAGCTGGAAAAAAAAGTTTCCTCGACGTCGCCACAGAAGAGCCTTCCCCTCGAGCAGACTCTGTAGAACGCGATATTATCGTACTGCAGAGGAGGAAGAGGAGGAGGAGGAAGAAGAAGAAGAAGAAGAAGAGAGCCGGGAGCAGGCACGAGGAGGTTAGAGAGAAGAAGATCGGTTCGCCGAGGGCGAACGTACTGCACGGTCGAGTGAAATAATTTCCTGGTGTCCTCCGCAGCCACGAAAGAGGAAGAACGGAAGCGAACTGGTCTTTCACAAAGTTTCTTGGACACTCGAAGAAGCTTCTACTGTGAGAAACTGGCTGGATAATGGTCCCCGGGGTTAGACGAAGGAGAGACCAAGTGATCCTTCGGGGGATAAAGGGTGTACCGCGCGCATACACACAAAAGGGACGTTCTTCCGTTTCGCGTGTGTACAACCCTGGTACAAAGCGTATCCTACCTAACCTTCGAGGAGTTCTCCCTGGAAAGACCAAATCTACGTCGCGTTTCTTTTTTACACAAGTAATCATCTCTCCACGTACGTACGGTTGTCTCGTTTTATTTGATGCATAGTATTTACACACATAGTTACAGAAATAGAGTCATTGCTAATCGAGTTAGATTAATATCACTGCATCCTGTCGCATTAAGATTAATTCCTAGAATGAAGAAAGGTCATTCGTTACAATTCTCGAATATCCGGCTTCGCCTACAACATTTGTCGTAGAAACAGATTGTGATTTTTCTATGGCAATAATATAGGACTTCCACGTATGCAAATCAGTCGTATATCGATACTCGTCGCTGATTAATGTCACAAACGTTCTTCGTACATTCTTATTATTAAAAGTGCTCGCTTTAAACGTTATTTCGTCAAAATGATATCGGTTTATTCGGCGGGGGTTGACCCCATACTGGCCGGTTAAGAGGGAGTTTATTGTAATTCTGTTTCATGACATTCTTACTTTTCTTGACACATAATACAATATCTTCAGTGATGTAATTGCAATAATTGTCGCTACTATCTATCACATCCATTTCTATTATTTCTGTTGTATCCACGTATATGCTTATTAAACACTGTAAAGACTAGCAAACTTCAAAGATCAATTAAAACGATTCGAGCCGAAAATCCAGGGTCAGAATTTCGCTCGGAAGGTGTACCTACAATATGGTATCATCGTGGAAGAACCTCTCGAGAAGCGGCTAGGAAGAGAGCGAGAGTGCATGAACCCTCTCCTGGCAACCTCAGGATCTTCAATCTAGCAAGAATACAGGAGAACCATCGAACCAACCACCTAACCAACCAGTCGAGAATCCCCCGCGGTGGTAGGCACTGGCCCGAGAAATTCAATTACGACTAAACTTCTGGACTGAAGACGCGCCTCGTCTGTACACACTACTGTAAGCTCTCTGTTTCGAAGATCGAACCTCCTCCAGGAGGAGACATCCTCCCTGTGTGTATTATTCGTGCGACCCTTCACCACCTTTCAAGGGAGGGACGAGAGGGGCTCCTATGTGTCGACCGAAGCCGAACGACGAAAGTGTAGGTGTAGGTAATTGAAACCGAGTGAGATCGAAGTTTCCATCCACCCCATGGCTTTCTTACAAAAGTCAAGAGAGAAAGGAGAAACGTGATTTCTTGTCTGACACAGAGGACACACTTACTAAACACTGCCAGGTATGTATCTACTACTTTTTCATAGATGTTGTATTTCCCTTTTTTAACAGATCATGGATGTTTGTGCAAAGATGAATAGAACGTAGATGATACGAATGAATGAAAAAAATATGTATTTTATAAAATGCTATTTATTATTCACGGTGGGAAACAAGTCTCTCCTGTTGGATATTGTGCGTAGATGACATTCGATTCTAACAAGTTATCTGTATATTATATAAATAAGTATATATAGTATATACTTATTTTATATAATAAAATAAAACTATATATATATACAGTTTTATCTATATATAATTATAAAACTAATTGGTAACAAGACTCGATCGTGGAAAGTATAAGATCTTAAACCAAGATTCTAAGATTTCCTAAAACCTGCGTTACAAGATCAGAAGACTCGAACAATCAGGATAACTCATACTCCTGCGAACGATGACGATTCCAGAAAGCAGCGATACGAGCAGCAAAAATGTGACACGCGACCAAGAGCAGAACATATATGTGAGAGAGTAAACAAGAGAGAGAAAGAGACAAACAGAGAGCGCATGCGTTTAGCACGGTTGAGTTGAGTACGAGTGCCCATTAGAAACGTGCGTGAACATACGCAGCTAAATAGGGCAAGTGGCCAGAGACCATAATGTTAAGTAAATAATGGCCGAACTCTTGGCCCCTTATTATACCACTCAAAGCTTAAAGTCTCATATACTCCTCGTTAGTGGCAGTTTTTTTCTTCCTTCTTCTTCCTTCTCGCCCCCTTTCTCTTCCTTTTCTCCTCTTTTCTTTTTCTTTCCTTTTCTTTTTTTTTTCTTTTCTTTTAATTCTCTCCGTAGGCACGACCCTACAGCTCCTTCCTCGAGACTTCATTCTCTCCTTGCTAGACTCATTCTCACCCTCCGTGAAGTGCACACGCGTGTGCTGTTCACCTTTCCATAAGGACGAAGAGTTACGTACCACATTTGCGTTCACGTGCGCTGGCGAGTGTATCGCGCGCGTGATTTCTACGATGACCCACCTGTTTGGTCTCAATGATCGTTGATAAAATTATGCGCTTAGAAGAACAAATTCAGATGTTGTATCGTTAGCGTTGTATCAAATATTTGATCGTATTACAAAGAAAATATCTATATTATAAAATTATGAAATTACGTAGAATATTGTATGGATAATGTTGTATAAACTATTGAAATTCAACTAAAATGAACTAAACTTCCATTCATTTATAACTGTATCAACAACGCCTATTCGATTTTCCACTTTGATTATTCTTGACACTAAAGTAAGTTATTTATCAGGCGAAACATCTATTCGACTGCAATAATCGCAATTCGAAGATCAAACCCCATTCACCGATAATTTTATTAGCAACAAACTCGTCGTTGTCGCGAATATGAAGAAACCTTATTAATTTTCACTCACAACGTTTCGCGATTTCAAGTGAAACTAGCTACCTCCTCTGTTATCATATAAGAGAAACACCTCACATGCTTTGATTACATGCTTTGATTACATGCTTTGATTGCAATATCTCTCGTAGATTAAGCTACAAGCTTCACTCACCGCCAATCCCACTGACGATTGACTCTTGCTTCTCGACCTTGGGCTGTCGGTATTCGTCCTGGGGGATTCTCTTCCGTTGTAGGAGGCCGCAATCAGGCTGTTGGTGTTGAAGTTGTGTTTGGATGTGCGCGGCGGCGGCGGCGGCGGCTGCTGCCGCGGCCGCAGGAATTGCCAGGCCGGCCGGACTCGCTACATGGGCCGGGTGCGGGGGCGGACTGCCAGCTGGAGTGGTAGCACTCGCTGCACCAGGTAACACGGGTGCGGTGGTGCAGCTGCCCGCATTGTACTGCAATTGCAGGCCCAATTCGCGGGCTTCGCTTTCCTCTTGGGCCTGCTGCCTTCGTAACGCGACCTGCAAATTGTTTCTTTGTCAATTCAGGGGGAATTGGAATCGCTAGGATAAAAAGAATATTGGTTTAATTCAACTGGTGTCGTAGGACCATAAAGATATAATGTGGTACTGTCATATGACCTAATGATAAGTATTACAAATATTAGCAGAAAGTTAAAAAAGATATAAGTGGTTATTCTTAAATGTGAAATTAAAATTTTTATATTTGTGGATGAATAAGAGAGATTTTTGTTTTGATTCTTTTGTGAAATGATTATAACAATGCCCAATGATTATAATAATAATTTTAAGATTTTAAGGTTATATTTTTATCAAGATTTTCAGTTTGTCGTAGGATTTGTATAGATTAGAAATTGTAGTTGTCATTGTTCATCAGATGCTCGTACACTTTCAATCAGTCAATTTATAATTTAACAGTTCATTTGAAGAATTGCATTTGCTCTATTACCAAATTTGTTACTATCAGGATGCAATGGGATTTATTGACACTGATATGATTTGACACTTGCAAGATTTTGCTAATAATAGATATTAATCTATAGATACAGAAAAGTAGAAAATGCAAAAAAATAATTGATAGTCTTATGATTTTTAGTTTTTATATTGTAATACTGATTATCTCAATGTAGTCATGAAAGCAATAATGTGTGTATCAAAATAACTTAACCTTAAGAGGATACGGAAATTCTCAATTCAGGGCCTCGAGTGGGTTTAACGTTACGATCCGACAAAGATCAAACTACCCATTTATATACCTATTCGAAACTTTATTTATGTTATAACGAGATACACTGAATTTAAAAATCATTGTATCTCCAGATTTGAAATAATAAAATCGTAAAATAAAGTTTACATACCACACGCGTTCTTAATCGTATTAAAGAAAAACGTGTAAAACATGTGAGAGAGGAGTGTCACATGGTTCAAAAGACCCTCATGCCAATTCTAATTGAATTGCTTCACGCTTTCCTGTTTTCATTAAGGATGTAAAATGAAACGGCGCCATTTTAAGAAATGCTAGGGTGAAACACTTTCTACAGGTAAACACTACATTCAATTACTACAGATAGATACCTTTGTTAATGAAGATGTACTAACAATAAAATCAACTTAACATATACCTACGTTAATCTTAAATTATCTTAATTTTTATTACGTATCTTCATCCACGTAATTAAGTATATTTATTCATAATATCGAAACATATCATCAAATTGAGACTGATTGTGTTCCTATCACTAGATGTTCATTTCATTAGCAACATCTAGTAACATTTAACGTTTACAACGTTACAGTTTATTTAACCCCGCGTCTTTTTGACGTCACTATTTTAAAGTTGTAATCTGATTGGTCCGAGTCAATGAGCCACTATTTGAACAGTTACAGCTACAAATCATTGTTCTCGCAGAAAACAGTCATTGAAAAATCAAACAACAATATTTTCCCTTATTTTGCGAAAATCTCGCGATTTACCTGAGCAGCCATAACCCGTTGTCTCTCGGCGATCAGTGTACATTTGGCACACACGCAGTCCCGCCAACGGCAGTATCGTTTGTGACCTTTCAACGCGGAAACAACGCCGTGATTACGACATCTCGCACACTTCGGTGTCCTCTGGTATCTCTCGGCACTGGCACGAAGGAAGAACGCGGCTGGTAGCACGTGATGTTGTTGCTGCTGTTGTTGATGTTGCATCAATTGGCCAACGTCGACACCGAGACCGACACCCCGCGGTAACGACATTGTACCGATTGTATACGCGATTTAGCAAACAGTCGGATCGACGTGATCAACGAGGAAACGTAGAAACGAAAAGAGGAACGAAAACCAGCGGAATAATGATCACTGCGCGAAAGAAGGATAGAACCAAGCCAGGGTCACGGATCCAAGCAGGCATTGTCATTAAACTCACAGTGAAAAAGGCCTGATCACCGATGACAATCGTTTTCAATCGAGCATAAAGCCCAGTACGCACTGACACGCGTCGCTCCCATTCTAACACCGATCGTGCGCAAAGTCGTCGTCGTTGTTCACTACCGAGCGCTCATAACCGATGATGATTCTTCAATTCACGTAATGATGTTTCTATTTGTTTATTACGTTCTTTGTCGTTTCCAGGATACCGCGCACACTGCGTGTATGTAAAGATGTATCTCGTGTGTCTGGCCACGTCGGTGGCCACACTGAATCGTTGGTCGATAAAAGAGGGCCACAGTGTTAAGCGGTAGACTGTAGTCACACGGGCTCTTCTTACTTCAACCGAAGAAATCACATTTAACGCTGTTCGGTAGAAACTCTCGAACCGGTACCATACAGCGAACGAGGAGCAGAGAGAGAACGAGAGAAAGAGAGAGAGAGAGAGAGAGAGAGAGACGAGTGTAATAGAGTAAAAGAAAGAAGAAAGACGGAGGAAGCGGTGCACGAGTAGGGCGAAGTGAGATAGCTCGATCAGTGGTAGAGACACGCGCACGCGCCTACACTTCCGAAAGTTCGCCGGCAGAGAAGAGCGGCGGCACCACCGTTCGTACGGGTGTCGGGGTACGAAATGCGGAATCGCCCCGACTCCTCTTGCAGCACTCTCTCTCACTCTCCGGCATTGTCAACAATTGCAGCATCCCGGGAGAGTCGATTCAGGTAGCGTAGAGAGACAGAGAAGCGGTGGCGGTAGTGGTGTCGGCAGCAAAGAGGGAGCCGAAGGCGGACGGATAAGGAGGTGGGGGGCCGCACCGACGCGGAGGAGGGGGAGGATAGAGTATCATGGACCGCGCGGCGAGGAGCCTGGGGGAGAGGGGGAGGCTTTCAGAATGTCACGAGGGACCAGGAAGCAGCAGTCAGGAGAGAAGAAGATAACGAGGGGAAAGGGAGAACGATAGATAGAGACAGAAACGGAAAGTGTGGAGGAAAAATGTGGAAGAAGGTGGAAAAGTGAGCAGGAGAGGGGAGGGGGTAGCCCACCAGGTGGGAACACTGATACCAAAAGAAACGAATGAACGCGAAAGAGACCGACATTGAGCGAAGTGAAACGTGCCAGAGCGAGACGTCCTGACAATAGGAGAAAGAACGAACGAGAGGGGAAAGAGAGAAGGAATTTATCAGGGAGGGATAGGGCAGAAACTAACAGCCCCTCCACAGTTGCGCGAAATAAAACACTGTGCCACAGTGTTCCACCCCGGGGCTTCGGCCAAACGCAAAGCCGCGCTTAGGCACGGCCACGCCCGCGCACCTACCCGATTGGCCGAACATGCTGTTCCACCAAGATGTTAAGAGTTTATATCTGGCTTGGGGTGAAAGGGGGACATACCTAACCACGTACCCACCTACCTACTCACCCTCGATAAACTATGCGTACAGACGCGCGTATCAGACGTGTGTATTTTCTATCGCGCTGGTGGAGGCAAAACGGACAAACACATTACTCTTTTATTTAAAACCCGTTCCAACGTAAAACACAATGCGAGCGATGCTCAGACGTTTCTCTCTATGCTCCGCCTTTTGTTTCGTCGGGACTGTTTTTAACCCAGGCGCGCCTTCTTCATCCCCTTTCGCAGAAGGAACATATCCTTTCTCTTTCCTTTTTCTATTTTTCTCCTTCTTTTTCTTTTTTCTTACTCTTCCACTTATTTCTTTTTTCTTTCTCTTTCTTTCGTTTCTTTTTTCTTTTTTTTTTTTAATTCTTTTGCCATTTTTTCTCTTTTCGTTTTTTCTTTTTTTTTTTTTTTAACCAGATTCGCTCGGTCGCGATTGCTCGCGGTTCGTCCGTCTCTCTTTGCCTATTTCTCGTTTCTTTTTTTGCTTTTCTTCTCCGTTTCTCTACGTATTATTTTTTTTTTTTCGTCTTTCTTTTTCAGATCCATCGAGTTCCACTCCTCTGTAAAGCACACGGGCACACAACGTCACAGCGACGAGCCTTTCTTGAATCATATTCTACAATGAGATTTCAATGGGGGGAAGCCCTATTGTCGTTCACCAATGGCGACCGATTATAGTGATCTAATGTACAGATGTTATTTACCACGCAATGAGAACCGAATAAAAGCATTCTATGTATTAAGCATTCTGTGATTTAGATCCTGTATATCTCTGCTTACCTAACTGCTCCTGCCTGTCTACGAGCATTGCGTACAATAAGACACGTTCGACCCGTGTAAAGCGCACAATGGCACTATTACTCTTTTGACTTAGTCATGCGAACGAAAGTAACTATATCCGTAGTTTCGAAAAAAACCGGTATTTACATTTTAATAATGATTCGTACCTTATGACTGTTCGTGTCACATTACACGTATCGATACTTATTCAATTTCATGTATCTACTTTTCCCCTTATTAGAAACTATCCAAAATCATTTTTACATTTCCTTATTTGCGTTACTTCCTTGTAATTCTTCTTCAAATCATTGTCACCAATAAACAACACAAACATACACTTCATATTTTACGTTGCACTCTTTGAAGTTGTATATGATAAATTTTTGATAAAATTCTGATATATGATTTTAATCTGAAATGAAATAACATAACTTTATTCATTCATCTTATAAATAAGAAAAGGCAGACGTAATAAATTAATTAGATACATCTTTAAGAAACTAAGAAAGAAAGATGATAAAATATACGTTTATTGCAACTAATTGTAAAGATATTGTCAATTACTTTAAAGTATCTAAAAAAAATATTACATGTTACTTTATCTTTCTTTCAGTATCTAATACATGAGCATGTAAAACAGTGACATAACAATATAGATATGAACATACTTGTGCAGTGAGAGAGAAAATTCGTTCAGTAAAGATGTCAGAATGAAAAGAAAAATATTTTCTACATTATTAAATATACCTACTTAAGTATATATAATTACCTGTATATACTTATTTATTATACAGGAATACTTACAACAATCGATGCATCTACACAATTATTAATTAAATTATGTAGTAAAATTTAATATTTTATGAACTTTGTTTTTTTTTGACAATTAACTATGTGCAATTATATATTGTTACATTTTCATTTAATTCAATTACAGTATTCATAGATATACGTTTGATAATATACTATAATTTATATATAATTTTTATAATTATTACTTGATTTTATAATTTATAATTTATTAATGTAATACAGGTACTACAGGTTCTTTCTACAGTAAACCAACTGTACGAACAGGTACTTTGGTCTTTCACTGTATGTCACTGTATTGGATAGTTGGCAGAACAGAAAATTGATAAAATGAAAGTAATGCGTTTGACCGTGCGCTCTTCAGTGGATGGCACGTTTCAGCGCGGTTACGAACCGATTAATCCACGCTCGTGCGTCATTAGTGAGAACGCAATGACGGTTTGAGCAACATTAAAAGCCCGTAACGCGAAACGGTATTCGTCGATATCGTCGATCTACACCGACACGGACCATTTTTTACTCTGGCATATCAGCCACTCAAAGCGTACGTACGCGCCGATGGATAAATCAATAAACCAATAGCTATGGTAATGCACACCTGCTTTTAAAGTATCAGCCAATCCCTCCGCGTGCGCTCCCGTTTACGCGACCCGTGCAATTATAAACCGAATATACACGATTCTCTGCTTCCCTGGATTATTACAAGTTGCACCCTAAAAACATTAAGAATTAATTGATTCTCGCGAATATTAAATATATACCTATTTAATATTCAATCATATCTCACGATTACGACAAATAATTAACAAATATTTAATAATTAAATAACTGACTAAAATAAGTTTGGCAACTATATATCTGTTTAGCGACTAAGTAATAAATTAACTTTACTGCATTGAAAATTCTTCTTTACTTTTCCAATCGAACGTCATCGACATTTTTAAATATTTAATTTATCTACCTACAAAATTCCAAGTAGGCAATGTATTACCTATTCACTCTATTATTTCTTCGCTTTTTATTTTAATGTTAAAGTCACTGAAACATGAAAACGACATAACTTAAAAAATGATAGACTAGATCAACAAAGAATGAAAAAAAATATCAAATAGTGCAGTAGTTATAATTGTTTACCTAAAATACATTTTCAGGTAGGTGTACCTACCTGCAGATCAAAAATAACAATTCCTCGAGAAATCTCCCACGATTCTTGCCCTATGATCTTAGAACTGTTTCCAGATGTTGCCGATTTATCGATGGTAGCAGGTACCCACTGTGCGTTTTATTTGTACACTAAGCCACTTCTCTCCTTCGGCTGTTTGCACTGGGGAAACAGGAGATTAAGATCAAAATCGCGTTTGTATCAAGTTACGATGTTTTACCAACATTACACAGATCAACAACACCAAGAAAATAGCCGATCAAATCGGTTCCGATCGGATAAAAGAGATTAGGCCATAGGTCGCCACGTCAAACGAGGAAAGAGGAGCAGGTACAAAACCAGGCTGCTGATCATAATTTCCGATATTTGCGTGGGTAAATGCTTTGTGATCGGTCAGCGAGGAAACAAAAATCATGTTGCCTACTTCAATCGCAACACTATATTTATCCATAAATATAGAAAAGATTCTGCTTCGAATCTTTAAAAATTACAAAATTCTACTTCAATCGTACCGATTAAATAAATTTTGTAGCTGATTAGTAATTATTACTGCTTCTTAATTCCTACGTAGCTAGAGATAGCTAGGTTGACTTTTAAAATCGCCATCTCTCTTGCATCATTTCTGGTTATGTTGATGATCCAATCCACTGATAGACAGATACACAATAAAACCGATACTGCCAACAAAAACGTAGGTACAGCCTACAAAAGACAAAGAAAAAAAAGAACTTAAAGAAACGAAAATTCAGCAAAGAACATAGGATTATTCATAGAACCGGTTGGCATTCGTATTAAAGATAGAGAAATATGTAGAGAGAGAACGGTGTCGAATGGAGGCCGGCGTATGCAGAGGCATATATTTCGACAGATCCATAGGGCATGGGTGGCATTCACCGCGGCACCGTCGCCGGATGAAGCCTGCGGTCTCGCCGCGATCTACCGCGCCTGTGAAATACCGTATGACTTTTTGACGTGCTTTTAACAGATTGAATTGAAAATGGCTTCCACGGTGCCGATATATCCGCGAGGCCACATCCATACCCTGAAAACGACTGTACGAACGGACGGACGTGAGAGACGAGAGATATATAATCTTTTTCCTTCTCTCTCTCTTGCTTCCTCCCACTACTCTTTCTCTCTTTTCTCTCACTTTCACACCTCGCCGCAACTTTTTCTCTCTTCCCTTTCCTTTTTCCCCTTCCCTTCCCCTTTTTCACTCTCTCTCTCTCTCTCTCATTTTCTGCCATTTTCATCTTTCGCGAAAACGGTTTTCCTCGTTTCCCCACCCTCATGAGCCTCGAGTCCTCCCCTAAAGCCACCTCTATTTCTCTCCCTTGAATTTTTGCACATTCGCTGATGCGGCACATTGCAAGCTACGCCGGCGGAAACGACGACGACGACGACGAGGACTGGACCCCGGTCACTCGAATCACGGCTGGACCGGAAGGGAGGAGGAGGAGGAGGAGGAGAAGAACGTGGAAGCGGAGGGCCGCGTAAAAATAATGTCCTGGCTCATTTTTTAAAAACCCCCAATCGCAGATAGAAAGATAGAGAGACAGAGACAGAGAGTCCACAGGGCTGCGAACGAGCCGAGGTTTGTCGCTCTAAAGGGAGAAAGAGTACGCTGAAAGAGGGAGAGAGAAATAAACGTGACGGACCGTGGATATAGGCATCGTCAATATTACGGGACGCAATAGCACACGGGGCCGACCGACGCCAGATGAAACGGTCAAAGCTAAAAAGCTCTCTCCGCCGAAACGGGCTATATATTATCTGCAACCCTTCAAACACAGAACATACCGAGATCCATACATAACCCGTTGCGTGCGTTTCTGTACGTGCCGTTTCTCTGCCCTAGGAATCGCGCCCGTGCAACCGCGGGCACATCTAACGTCTGTTTTCAATAGAGGCAATGGTGGATAGATAGGTGGTACTTGCGACATTTGCGATTCCGTGTCAAGTTGCAGTTGGAAATTTTCTTCTTTACTTTCTTTAGTTACTTTCTTTAGTTTTTCTCAGTTACTTTCGAGCAACTTGGATTTCGAGAAGAAGGGAACAAAAGGGAAGAATTGTTATTGTTGTCCATTCGTAACTACATAATATGTAGGATTCGATTTCATCGTGGTTTCTCTCCCTCTGGTTTTTATGCAGAACACGCTGTTCCTGTTGTAACTTAACTTAACAGAAATACGTTCTCCATTTGGAACAAAATATTTTCAATCGAGTCCTGTATATTCAGATAATTTTATAACAACATTAAACAAAATTTCTTAAATGAGAAATTGAAAGACTGTGTCCATTATGAAAAAGACTGCTCTTCAGAGAATTATTTTTAGTTGATGTCTTCATCGCGATCTGTAAAGTGCGAGTATATAGCGTACATTCATCGTATGTGTGTGTGTGATGTGTGCTACTGACACACTAAGGACAAAGATTTATAATACCTACGTATCCAAGTTTTTAATCAAATTCCATTGTAATATTATTACGCAGACAATTATTTCAGAAATTTCGATTATACTACGTCAAATATTTCAAGATATCGTTTCAATCTGTCAAATTGAAATTGATAGAACGTTGCTCCAATCTGCTTGTCTCACGAATTCCGAACATCTCTCAACTAAAACCTGTTGCAAACAAGAATTATACAATTATCTGAAACTACTTGTAATTATCAGTAATGATACATAATTTGTAACTATATCTAATTGGAGATATATAATCATATATAATCATTTGTTTCAAAAAGAGAAAAGGAGAGAGAGAAAGAGTGAATGAAGTCACGTGCACGATAGACGCATGTATCAACGCACAATACTTGAAGAGGGTGAAATGGGCGTGGTTGGCAACCCTTGGTGAGACAGTGTCGGCCAATACGGTGGCATTACGCGATATGGAAACAGTTGCAAACGCAAGCGCCGTCAGGATCGCTAGTGCGAGTTGGTGATAGGTTGATATGCACGAGTGTTTAATGTATGAGCGCAGACTCGTACATCGAGTTCAAAAGGTTACGCCTGCTGCGAACTCGCATTCAGATTGGTTACATATCAATCCATTCAGAGAAAAGTTTCACGATATATCCAAATCGTTCATCATCTTCTTCTTAATTAAAATGATTTGTATCGTTTTGCACAAGGAAACTGGAGTAAAGCAATGATAAAATGTTCAGTGGAAATAGATTTCCATCATTCTACTCACTTAAGACTTCACTTTGGAAAGTAGAAACTTCTGTGATAGTTGCAGAAGTAATTGTGTTGCATTAAGTTTGTTCCTGTTTTTTCTTTTTTTTTTTTTTTTTTTTAATAGATATTTCTCCGGCATCGTTATTACAATTTTTTATATTTTTCTTTGCTGTTTAATTTATCCTTTTTTTTTCTGATAATGAAGAGAAAAAACAAGTGGTATAAACGAAAAAGAAAAGTTGTTCTGCTCTCTCTGCAAAATTCCATACAGGATAAAACAAATTGTAATGCCGTTTCTACTATAAATTATAATTATCATAAATCCGTACGTATGTAACAAATTATACGTGGCTTACAGTTATCGTGCATTTTTCAATCTGGTGTCAATGTAACAAAGTCGGTACAAGAATATCATCTTCCATATCACAATACTCCGGATGTGACGATTGCTCGTACTGAAATATTACCGACAGCGGTTCCGTAGAATAATTCTTCAGAACAAACAGCATAGTATTTATAATCTGCGACGGACTCTTGTAAAAGTATTTATGCTCCTTGTCCGCGTCTACATGCATGTTACAAGCTTCCTCGATGAAGTCGCCGTTAGATCTGAAGAACAGTATTCTAGGAACATACTTTCCATCTGGTTGGAATTTTTCTTTCTCTATGTCTACGTCGTGTCCCATCTCCGCTTTTATCATCACAAACCTGTGAATCATTAACGAAATTATCAATTCCAGTTCCAATAAAATGAATTACAAATCGCAATTTCATAAAATATTGGTATTGATAGTAAGCATTATATATGAGATGAAATTTATATTTATGGATATAAAAATATTTAATTACTTACTAATAGTTAAATATATTTAAATTACTACTAATAGTTAAATATATTTAAATTACTACTAATAGTTAAATATATTTAAATTACTACTAATAGTTAAATATACTTAAATAAATATACATATAATTATATTATTATATTTATAAATAATTATATAGGTGTATAAAAATAATAAATTATATATATAAATATTTAATTACATAATTACACAATAATTTATATAATATAAAATTATATATTACACAACTAATTTATATATTATAAAAATTATTCTCACATATAAACTTTATATTACAAAAAGATTAATGACAAAAGAAAAACCGTTTGAGTCAATTGTATGAAAAATAAAATGGCGCCACTGTAGCGCCAACTGGTGGTATAAATGATAGTTTTGATTTATCTCAGGTATAATCATATCAATGCATGTTTCGATTCGTTACACACCGATCGCTAAGATCCATCAGTCGCACAGACTTGAAGAACTTCTGTTTCAATTTTTGGCAAGAGGGACATTGTGCTTTATAAATCAGTAGAAATATCGGCTTGTTCATGGCACTGGCTTCCTGAAAGCCATACGCAAAGGATTTCCATTTGAACAATTGTTCGAAACTGATCGCGTTGTTCGAACTCCCGGTGTTAATTAGATTATTCCCAACAATCTGATTTGCCAAAGCGATTATGTTCAACGCACCGAGAAATTTGATACACTTGTTCATGACTGAAAATTTTCCTTAGTTTCGTGTGTTACACAATTGAGCCTGAATATCTTCAAATCGTAGGATTTCGATATATATCGTTACGTACAGCCCGATATATCGATTTAATGCAGAATAAAACAGACGAATTAATTTAGTATTATCTCGTGCCTTTTTAAGTATAATCACAGATATATGAATGATATAATTAGTTAGTTAATGGTTTTATTAATACCACAAACGCAATGAAACATATTTGAACTTATTTAGACATAAAATAGCAATGAAGTGAATCACCATAAATGATTCTTTCTATTAAGAAAATTAGTTTCTCAGCTTCTATAATTACAATCATTTCTCTCTAATCCCCAAAGCAAAACAAATTGTAAAATTTGATATATTATTATTTTTATATTCTGTATAAAATTAAATATATTCTTACCGAATTCAACTGTAATAACTCAATAATTCTCAAGATTCAAAACGATGACTTATACTTGCATCAACACGTGTCGTGCAGAGATGAGAAGAGAATGTTCCCCGAAAAGAATGTGGGTCTGGTTGGTTATTTCCAATCCATTCTTAAATTTAAAAATAGCTATTGGTTGAGAGTGTCAACGCAGAACAAACAAAATCTAGTGGTCAGGAGAGAAGGAACTGCTTCCTTTGCTCTTGCATGAGACTTTTCATTTTTGTACAACTATATATAACTGAAAATATACAATTTGCAATTCGTCAGTAGATGGTATTAAAGGTGAAATTTCTGTAGCGGATGAGTTTATGTATAATGTAAGGTTATAAAGGATATAGGTGGAGTGTATTTCGTCTCAGAGTCACTGTCAGATTCATCAATAGGCTGATGCCGGAGACACCTAACCTCACACGCTCGATTTATTAGAAACCTCTAGCTTGGACGAAGAAATGGTCATCTTAGAGATGTTCCGCACGCTGCACGATTAACCTAAAGACCGAACTTGATCCGTAGCTAAGCGGCATCCACTTACGATTTGTGAATATTCATTTCTTTGGAACTGGTATACTACAGATAGACTGCATATGCTAGCCGCTAGAGGCATTAAAATACTAGCGTCGAGTAACGGTGAAACGGTGGAACTAATTTCTATTGCTGTCCTTGTCACAAGCTATTACCCTCCTTGTCTAGCGCACAGATATGTATGTCCTTGTCCCACACTATCGCTCTCCTTGTCTAATGACGCTACACAAGATAAGCACTAGTGTGCGACAAGGACATCCTTCGATCTATTGAAAAAAAAATTCAACTTCTTACACACGCGTTTCTCTGGGACAAAACACACATAGAAAAAAAGCGAGGAGCCTAATTTTAAGGAAACATATAAAAAAGTTCGCAAATTATTCCTCTTAATTAGGTTTTTCTCGTAATTAGTGCGAACTGTCACAAAATGGTCATGGTGGCGCCATCTAGCGGTAGCTCCGTTGTACTAATTATTTATAAAAATACTTATTTCTGCATTTTACGGGTCAAATGGGGTATGAAAAAAAAGTTCAGGGTCTAATTAGGATAATGCAATCACAAAAGTTCACAATTCATTTCGCTAAATTAGGTTTTTCTGCAAATGAAAATTTCTCTGTTTTACGTTATAGTGCTATCGGTTACATTCGCAAATAAATCTGACTCTAATATTACTATAGTTTGCGCGAAATTAGGCACTCACGACTGGCACTACTACTAACGTAAACGAAATTGAAACATTCTTTATATACGTAAACTATATTCAAACAAAATATAAAACGAAAGCTTAGGGTCTCTAAAATCGAAAACGCAACCATAGCAGTTCACAAATGATTCCTTTTAATTAATTTCTTCTCGTAATTTGTGGAAAAATTGTCACCTGTCAATGTTCAGAAGCAATGGTGACGCCATCTATTGACAATTCGGTGGTATTAAAAATAGAAAATTCTATTTTTAGTACCACAGAATTATCAATAGATGGCGTCACCATTGCTTCTGAACATTGACAGGTGACAATTTTTCCACAAATTACGAAAAGAAATTATTTAAAAGGAATCATTTGTGAACTGTTATGGTTGCGTTTTCACAGCATATTCGCGCGGTAGACAAAGAGGGCAACAGCGTGCGATAAGGACAACAATATAAATTAGTTCCTATCCTAGGGGTGATCCACACGATGCATGCTTAACACTGCGTAAAAACAGACGTAAGTTAAGTGAAGTATTTAGAAATCACGGCATGGCGACGCCACTGCGTCGTACTTGAAATTTAGCGCTATGCGAACAAGCACAAAGTTGTACCCTACCACTTGTTCTATTCCCTAGTATGTATTTATATATATATCTTCTTTTTAAAGAAATATGGATCGTCGACCTACCGTCTCATGCTTCTAACGTTTTTTATCCAACATTTTCTGTCTTGTTTTTTGAGTCGAATGTTCGCCGCTTGTTGTGACAATAATGTGACAATGCTGAGGAACAAGATTGCATCGGGAAATAGGTTAGAATCGTGCTGGAGTTATCTTATCAAACGTCAAGAGCAAATAATCGGATCGTAAGAGGAAAATGAGCAAACTATGGAATTATCTGATATTTCAAGGATGGATGTCGTATTTGATGGCGGCCGGTTTGCTGGTTTTCACAAGCGGGTTCCTGCTGAACCGCGTCGTCAGGCCGGAACGCGCCGAATGCAATTATTGCACGAATTCTGACTGCAACGTCGAGCAGCTTCTTCAGAATCCCGATGCTGCCGCAACCACGTGCCTCAAGAGAAAGTCGCGTGTTGTGTTGTTGGTCGTGGACGCTTTGAAATATGATTTTGCACGTTGGCACAATGATAATAGTTCTGCCTCGTCTTATCATCGAAACAAGCTACCGATAATTCATGAGTTGCTGCAGAATCAACCCATGAACTCGCGCTTGTACAAGTTCATAGCCGATCCGCCGACAACAACCATGCAACGATTGAAAGGTCTTACCACAGGGTCGTTGCCAACCTTCATTGACATTGGATCTAATTTTGCTGCTGAAAGTATCGATGAAGATAATATCGTTGATCAGAACACTGCCAAAGGTATAGTTTTCATGGGCGATGACACTTGGACTAACTTATTTCCTGGTAAATTTAAACGTCAGTTTCCGTCACCGTCTTTCAACGTCTGGGATCTAGACAGTGTAGATAAAGATGTTAGATACCGTATATTTTTTGAGATGAAAAAGGAAGACTGGTCCCTTCTTATAGCCCATGTTCTTGGAATTGATCATTGCGGGCATAAACATGGGGCTAATCATCCCGAAATGGCCAGAAAGTTAAATGACACAAATACTCTTATAAGAGAAATCATTGAATCCCTGGAAGAAGATATGGTACTTTTTGTCATTGGTGACCATGGAATGACAGAGAGCGGTGATCACGGTGGTGACAGCAAGAATGAAATCGAAGCTGCCATATTTGTCTATTCTATGGTTCCTCTTATAAAATACAACTCACCCAGCAATATCATGAATCAGATTGATCTTGTTCCAACGTTGGCGTCGATTCTTGGGACACCTATACCATTTTCAAATTTGGGATCTGTTAGGCTTGACTTGATTCCAAGTTCAGCAAAAAATGGAAAATTAGAAGATGATTTATGGTATTTGTTACATTCAGTGTGGAGAAATATTGCACAAACAAAAAAATATTTAAATATATATTCTGCTGATACTTACTTGTTTTCCAAAGAACAGCTTCAGAACTTGGAAAATATTTATAATTATTTGTTTGATCAAACTAAGAGTATTACCACTATTGAAGAATTCGAATCTTTCATTGCAAATAGTCAGAATTATTTTAAATTGCTCAAAGAGACATGTTCCGAAGTTTGGGTTCAATTTGATTCTAGTTTAATGTCAAAAGGTCTACTTTTGATGTTTTGTGCTTTGTTTTTCTTTTATCTATTTATCACAGGCATTCCAGAAAGTCGTATGTCTAAGATATTCCAATCATCGTTTTTACAATTTTCTATTTTAGCAAACTTAATTACTGCATTGACAATGTGTGTTTTGTTTTTCTTTGATATTTTAGAAGAATTCAAGAACACCACATTGTTTTCCACTGGTGCAGTGTCTATAGTATTATTAGTAATATTAATTGCTAAAAATTGGGATGTAATTTCATTGAGTTGGTACGATTGTAGAAAAATAAAAAAATTGATCTATATTACAAGAGTAATACTTCTTTTAACAATATGCAGTCTTTTTTCTAATAGCTATATTGTTGAAGAAGATCGTGCATTATCTTTTTTAATTGTTACACTTTTTTGGCTTCTTATGTTTAATCTTAGAAAAAAAGATACTAATGAAAGTCTAGAAAGAAAAACAAAGCTATTTTTAAAACAGCAGACAAAATCGAACTTGAAGATAATTATAATAATTGTCTTGGTAGCATGCATTTCCATAAGATTATCCTATTACTTCTGGCGTTGTAGAGAAGAACACCAACGTGTATGTTCTATGTTTGTAATTAGCAAAACAGGTTCTATAACATCGGATAACTTAGAACGTATTTTACTTGCCATTACTTTGATTATACTTGCATTGTATATTACAATAATAAGACTGTGGTTACAAAATTGTGGAAACCTTTCTGGTTTCTCTCCTAGTGTTTTAGTAGGCCAATATTGTCCTGTTGTGATAGGTGTTTGTATGGGTTGTTATTGGGTCCTTCAAAGGTTACCAAAATTTCTAAAAGTAAAATTTGCACTATCTTGGCAAGTAAACACATTGCCTAATATAGTATATGCATTGAGTCTATTTGCAATCCTTATACTATATTATCGTCCACTCAGTATATTTCTACTACCAAAGAAAAAAGAATCAATTAACATATACCAAGATGAAAATGTAGTACCTCGATTATTTGAGAAAATAAAAGAGTCAATTTATCGGAAAAATGTAGATGTAGATCAAACACCAATTGTTTATGGCTTGGGTACTGCATATAGTGCCACATTTATCTCATTAAGTGTATTTCTTGTGTTATTATACTCTTTATTGTTAGGGGATATATTATCATCTAGTACTTTCTTAATGTTTATATGTTGTGCCTCTGTTTTGGGCTTATTGGCAATAGAAAGATGCAAAAATGCTAATAGTATATGTAAGTATTCTAATTCACAGATAATATTTAACTGGTTTAATACTGCATTTTTAATATCACAATTTTACAAACAGCTGAACTTGTAGAAGTACCTACTCCTATATTGTTGTGTTGGTTCTTAATAGCAGAATATTTCTTTTATGGAACTGGACATCAACCGACTTTTCCTACTATTCATTGGGATGCTGCTTTTGTGGGAACAGGTGGACATTTCTATGCGAATTTATTACCAGCAATCTTAATAGGTATATATAAGTAATTTCACTTGTATTAATTTGAAATCATTTTCTATAAATCATAATTTCTAGGAATAAACACATTTGGATCACACATTATATTAGGTGCAACATTGCCACTATTAGTTATTGTACCATTTACCTTTTACCTTGTATTTCCAAAGTTAGCTAAAGTAAAGTTTTTGGAAGACGACATGAAAAGAGGAGAATTGCTTTTGTTTGAGCAAGATTCTGTGTTTCATGCTGCAGTATTCTCAGTTGCAGGAAAATATATATTACTTCATGGAATCAGAGTAAGCAAGACTTTTATTATTAACGAGTATAAACTGAATAATTATTGATTATGATTACTGGTAATAATTTGTAATTTAAACATTGTCTTTATTGAGTTTTTATAACTTCGTATACATTATAGACATTCGGCAGTATGCTTGCTGCGACGATTCACTGTCGACATTTAATGGTTTGGAAGATCTTCGCCCCGAAATTAATATTTGAAGGCTTGGGATTGTTAGTAACGTTAAGTAGCGTACTAGCGTCATTTTATATGGTATTCAGAATTGATCAGCAAATGGAACATCTTATATCCAGAATGACAAAAGGCAGATGATAAAATTTTTCACGACGTAAAATGTAATCAATGCAGTAAAGTATCAAAATTTAAAATACAATATTAAATGAAGAATGTGTACAATGACGTTACTTCTGACTTTAGAAACGAAAATTTCTATCAAAAAAAAGGAAAAGAAAATAAAGTTACCAGTACTGCCATTTTCATAATTTTATATAATAATAATTGAATAAATAATTGAAGCAGAAAATTAAAGTAAAGCATTTAGCACACAAGAATAAGATGTCCTTTCCTTCGTTTCTTCAAAGACCAAGCTAATTCTGGAGCTTCCCAACACACTAACGCTATCCTGCGTGCAATGCATTGCTGATTACAGAGAAACAAAGCAACGCACTTGATGCAGGATTGCGTCCATGTGCGCTAATGATTGCTTGATCAATGTACGTACTTGTTTTACCGTTTTAAGTTAGTCATTGTTAACCGTATGTTTTCCATTTTATTTGTTGCAATTGAAATTGTAAATATAGTGCTATTATAAATATAATAGTAAATTTAATAAAAAATATATATATCTTTAAGGTGACATTACTTGTGTAATTTAAAATAATGGAATTTTTTGAACTCTTGACTTTGCCGGTTTATAGTTATACGTTCGCTATATATTTTGCAAAATATGCTTTATTGAAAAGTATCATGAAACGTACACGTTATATATAATATGCAAAAAAATGATCAATTGAAAGATAAAGAATTTGTAATTACAGGTGATAGAAATATTCCTGCTAAGTCAGTAGTCTAATGATGATTGTGATGCCTGTGTCCTCTATTGTCATTTCTCAGGTATTCCATCCAGTTGGCCCATTTATAATAATCCTCATAATCATTGGCATCCTGTGACAAACGAACATGTTTACAATATTCAAAGTACGTAAATTACACATACCTAGTTTTGGTAATTATTATTTTGAAAGACAGGCACCTGCATATTAGGTAATACAGGCATTTGTATCTGGAAACAAATGAAGTTATCATGTTGCATAAGATCTCTTCTCATGATCATTTGTTTTACAATGATACAAATTACTGTCAACTATCATAATTATTTTCCACCATGTACAATATGCAATACACATACGTAGATTTGAAATATTTTAAGAACATTTAATTCGGAACTTTCGTTTTAACTTAAATACTTACAAGTAACTTGATCCCTCCGCCTTGATGTCCAGGTGTAGATCCTCCGCCTGCCTGTACAGATTCTACGGAACCAGCTGGCAAACTCTGATATCCCTGGTGCATTTGCATCTTAACCGAACGTGCTTGTTTTCGATTAGGATTACTTTGTTCGTTTGTAAAAATATCAACATCACTATCAACTTCTCTTTTTATACTTGTTGCATCTTCAGGATAAGAGACAAAAAATGAAGCAGGATTTTTTGGTAGTGATCGAGCCGCTTGTAATCCAAATTTATTATAACTTGGATTGTATGAAGGAGGCACCCCATAATCTAATGTATCTAATTTATGTTTAATAGCATCCAGTAGACTCATATTAATCGGCAAACCACCAGTAGAAGAGAGAATGTCGTTAGTTAATGGATAATTGGCATTAACTGCTTCTCCAGGAGCATTTGTGGATGCTATTTTCGCTTTTATTATGTCTTGAACTGCTAAAGTAATATTTTTTTGTAAATCAGTTAACATGTCAAATACTTGACTCAAAACAGCCATCTTTTGCTGGAAAGGAAACATTCCATCGGCAGTTGGTTTTGCCCATGGACCAGGACCAAAAGGTTTAAATGGTTTCTTTGGTGATAGCGTAGACTTTTCGTAAGAAATCAAATCGTTCATTGTTGTCACCATGTTACCTTTTAAGTCACCTAATTCGGATAATATGCTACTAACAATTAAATCTTTAGCAGAATTGATCGATGAAAAGTCATCAACGGATCGTGCTATTTTTACTTCTGTATTACTTCCATCAGATACTATAGATCTTACCAAGTCGTTTTTAAGATTGACGCTATCATCATCACTAGTTGCTGTAGTTTTATTTAATTTTAAAGTGTCAAACAATTTGTCCAGGAATTCAGATACTTTATCATTATACTCCGTTGGGCTAGGGATTACTGATGATGGTAACCAAAAATTAGGTGGTACAATAGTACTTTTTGCTGTTGGAATTTCAGTCGAACTTGGTGATGGAGTAGAAGTAGCAATATTTTTAAATAGAGTATCCAAGAAAGTAGTTTTTTTTGCTACGAACATAGATGGATCCACTACAGGTCCCACAGGTCCAAAAGGTCCAAAAGGTGCATATGGTCCAAACATTCCTGGTAAATATTGTTTTGGAGCTGTTGGACCTTCTACTTTTTTGAGTAATACACTCACATCTTCTTCTGGTTCCTCAGAAATCGGCGCAAGAGTGGGATAAGGAGGTGGAGGTCCTAAATCTTTTGTTTCTGGCTTAGCGGTATCCATAATTGATCGAAGTTCTGCCATAGCAGATTCGTCTACACTTCTTTTTTTTCTGGAAAATTCATCTTTTGTGCTGTAATCAGGTATGACATTCAAGCTTGAAAATGGAGACATAGGTCCAAATTTAGGACTCATAGGACCAAAAGGTTTGGAACCAAAGGGTCCAAAAATTCCACGTTTATATGGGCTAGCTCCATCATCCACATTATTTTTACTTAGTAAAGACGTTCCATCGGTAGTACTGTACAAAGTTGACCCACTTGCTGCATATGGTATAAGTGGTTTGAAACCCGTAGGATAAGCAGGCCCCAAGCCACCAAATAAATTACTCAGCATATCTGTCTTCTTTGAGATCATCATTTTAGGATCGACGAATTTTGGGAAGAACGGTGACTTTGGCATGTAAGGTACTGCTATAGTGTCTATTCCTGATACTGGTGGTCCAAGAGCTCTTGTATAAACTAGTAGCAGGTTTTTCATATAAAAAAAAACATAAAGAATAATATAAAGTATAGATACACTTTTGTACATGTAATGCTACATGTTGTATATACTTTGCAATTGTAATATTAAAATTTTAGTTTGACAAGAAGTTTTAACTTTAAGATTATTTTATCAGAATTATTTTTTAAAAAATTAAGTAACTTATATTACCAGGTTTTGAAGCAAAACTTGCCCATGGTACTCCTGAAGGACCTTTGAAAGATGCACAAGATAAAACTAACAAATAAGAGAAAAATACTAGACCTTTTGGGAGAATCATTTTACACCAACTTATTGAACTGTATGCCGTTACTGCTTATATAGCAACGGCCAGATAATACTTGCAAAGCTTTTAAGATCATTAACATAGGACTAATATTCTTATTAAAATAATCCATAGCATACAGAAGGTGCACTTGTGTTTTATAATTAGCCAATACAATTTCTTCGTGTCACTTAACAAAGTAATTTCCTTCTTACTCGCGCATCATACTTAATATAAATATTCTAACTATTGAATATTATCTTTTACAACAAATTTTCTAATCTAATTAGTTTTTTATTTTTTATATATAAATATCATACATATTATTTTTCATTCATTGAATGTCGGAAGACATTTCCACTTTGAATTTTAATCCGATTTCAATCGTCTTGCAAACGAACTTGCGAGAAATGCGTTATTCATTTGTCAACAATAATATATTAAAGCAGCTGTTTTCATTATTTGGTAATTACTAATTAATTGTATTGATATCGAAGAAAGCTGTCACTTTACAGAAATACATTTATCTCGAAATGGAAATAAAAAGCTCTTCTGATAGTAAGTAAAAATATTGTTTGAAATTATTAAAATAGTAATTATTCTTTCAAATAATAACATATTCAATATGTAATCTCTTAATAGAAATAATATAAAATAAATCAAAACTAAAAAAGTTAATTTTTTATTTCAGCAATTACGGAAAATAAAAATGTAATAATGAATATTACTTCCATGTTTGAAAATTTCCCATGGACTGTTTTACAGCAAAGTTCAAAAGGCATGAACATTATTAAAGCAATAAATCAACTATTAAGTATGTACCATCCTGATGATGGCATTATTGCATATGAACGTGTATTAAGAGCTTTATTTATTTTATCTGAAAATTTGGATAGTGATATACAGCAAAAGATAATTTCTATGGTACCATTACCAAAAGGTGTATCAAATGACAAAATAAAAAATCTGATATGTAAGATTGCTGAATTGATTAAAGCAACTAATAGCAAGTTCTTATACCAGAAGTATGATTTCTGATTAAATTAGTCCTTCTATTTTTATAACATTTAATAACAAGCTTATTTTGTAGAATTCTCATGACACCTGAAGAATCTCAAATGAGAACATTAAATGAAAACTCAGAACTTCATTTAAACCATAATATTTTAATTGATACACCTCAAAATCTTGAATTACATGAGAAGTTTGTATCTTCAATACCTGAAGTATTCAAAGGTTTTCCTCCTAATGAAATTTCAACAATACATAGTCATATGAATTATATGTATAATACATTGAACTATAATATTCCTTATATGAAACCTCATGTTAATAACAAACAAAACCTTTCATTAAATAGTGATGAACAAGAAGAATTATTAAAACTTCAATCAAACTTAAAATGGTTCCATGCTCCTCATTTTTTGTATAATAATAATTTTTATCAAAATTCTACTTCCAGTTACCAAGATTTTTCTAAATCAGTCGATGATAAATACTTTCAGTTATCTATTAATAGATTCAATAACTGGAATCAATGTAATGTAGCTAATATGCCTCAACCACTACATGAGGTTTGTAAAACTTATTTTATTAAAAATATTGTTAATAATATTGTTAATTTTGCGATTTTCAAATAAAGACTATAAAAGCAATATTACAGGACACTGCATACTTAAAAAAATTATATAAGAGTGACATAATTTCTAACAAACAGAATAAAAATGAGATTTTAAATTTGAAAGTAACATATGATGATAGATTTGTAAAAACGGAAACAGATTGTAAAAATAGAACCGATTTATATGATAATAATGTAAATAAAAATTCTAAAAAATATAGTAATTTAGACAGAAATAAAATTTTTAATATGGAGAAACAAAAACATTTTAAACAAGAATTGAAACATGAACAAGCAATTCAACAAGACATATATAAAATGGATGTTGTACATTGCGAAGAAGAAAAGAAAGATACAATAATAGATATACAGGTAAAGAAAATTTATATTTATAATAATTGTAAAAATGACTTGTGATCATTTTTGTAAATGATCATATTACAGATATTAGAAGAAGATAATAACTTTTTAATGGATAATTTCATGGTGCGTAAGAAGCTTAAAACGAGCTTACAAAATTTTTTGAAACGTATAGAACAGGAGACTTTAATCAGTAATAAAAATTTTATATTCATCAATCATTAACATTTCAATTCAACATATAAAAACATTACAAATATTCCTTCTTCTTATAGAGTTCCCAACATTGCCTCGGACAAAGCCTTTATACATAGTTTCTCCAACATCCAAATGTTGCAAGATTGTAAATCAAAGAAACCTGGAAAAGAATAATCAATTAGATATTTCGAGTAATAACATAAATAGTACTATTACACTAGAGGATATAGAATGTACTGAAAAAAATCCTCAGCAGCGCTTCACACATATCCAAAACCAACTCAGTTAGAAATGCTTCATAAAAATTTAAATGTTGTAGTTAGTAAAATACAAATAGAATATGAGAAAAAGGACTACATAGAAAATTTATTATACAAGTACCATTAAAGTTGTCGTGTAAATATTTAATGTCTTTCACGATCAACAAACTTGTTTAACAAAATTATTTGTACACAGATCTGCAGTGAAGCAAACAAAACAAAAAAGTTTAAATACTTTACAACAAACTGCATCTATTACAGAGTTGGTTACATTTAAAAAACAATACTATGATACTTTTATTCAATATTCAGAAAGCCAAGAGTTTGTTATAATTGTTATACTCTACTTAACATTTTTATAAGCATTAGAGATTATACGTGTGTATATATTTATTGTTTCCTAGTGGCAGTGGCAAATTCCTTGGCAGTATCATCTGCAGAAAATTTCACCAAATATGATCCATATTATTCTATTCATTCCTATCAACAGGAACAATTATTGCAACATGAACCATTAATTGTGACTCCACAATTCACAGAACACACTGCGACACAATCGACAGGATTGTCAAATATATATAACATTCCATATACTTGGATGAGGTACAATTGGAAACAACCAACCATGAAACAATTGAGACTTTCACAACAGGTAAAATACTATTAAATATAAAGCATTATACATTCAAATATATAAATATTTCTAATTGTTTATTTAATTGTTATATTCGATTTATTTTTTTTTTTTTTAGTTTCCATTTCAAGCTCCAAAGAAAAAAAATAAAGGGTAAGTGTTTTTTTATATTCTCTACTACAAAATATATTTTCTTTTATTTTTTCTTGTATACCTTTTTTTGCATTAGATGCTATTTTATTTTTTCATTCTTCTATTGAAAGGAATTCTGTGCTGCATTATGTAAAGACAATGGATATTCAATGTTTCACTCAAGATAAAAGTAAACAAATGAAGCAGAGTGTACAACGTAAAAAATTAGAAGATATAGTTGGAAAATTAAAAGAGATAGAATTCAATAACATGAACAATTAAAAGAACTATTATTCTGTAAGGTCAGTATTAAATAAACTCTTTGCATATTTAATGAGGTAAATAATTATAGAAAGAAATCAGAACATAATAGCATACGTGCAAAGAGATTTCATAAAGTTATATGTATTAAAGGAAAGTTCCTTTAACGATATAAGTAATATAATAAAATATTAATGGAGACTGTTAAATCAATATCAAAGAATACATATCAAATAAAATTTTTCATTCTTTCATTTATCTTGCACCAGTTTCAACAATTAATGGAACATTGACACGTTTATATGTGTACATGTATTTATACATATATGTATATTTACATACATGCATATACATATACATATTCTATAATCTTTTGGCACTGGCAAAAGATAATAATTGAGTGTTAGATTATTAATCGCCGCGGATATTATTTAATAATTTCGTTTGTATTTCGGACGATTGCGTAACAATTTTCTTTGTTTAATTGCATATTTATATCTTGTTGTCGTCAATCGAACCTTAATACTTATACATAGTAACTAATAAATGTACATGTATTCTTCAGGATAACATAAAACGGAGTTACTATTAATTACTAACATTTCATAGTATATTTTATAATTAACATATAACATACGACTTTTGTATAGTCTGTACTATACAATAATCATGTCATTATTTCTAAATGTACAAAATAATTTTTAAAAGAATAAACGGTAATAACTTAGGTCTTATATGGATCGTTAGTCATTATTGTCCAGAACATTCGCTATGAAGTATGACAAATTACCAACAAGTTAATATGTAATGTAATAACTTTTGGTAATTTACTCAACCACATGTATCAACTCACAATAACTTTTCCCTCGTTTCAGAAAACCTTCTTCACAATCTATATAGTCTATATATATAATAGAAACATTATATATCCATATTGTTAATTGTATTAACAATGTTATCTTAATAAAAATGTATTTTCATATAGATGATGCTTTCAATATGCTTGATATTAATAATGATGAATCGAAATACATCCAAAGAATCTACAGCAATTTTTTGGGTGTAAGGACTTTTACATTTTCTTTTTGATATTATCCAATGAACCAAAGTTAGACCAAAAAACTCTTGTGTCATGTATCTGTTTTAGATTGTCATTATTTATTATTATAATTATTAAAAACAAAATAAATATATATAAGCAGATCTTGTTACAAAATTATTTCATTTCAAATATTGTTCAAACGTAATGCAACTCAATAAATCTATTTTAATATTATATAATTATATATTATATATTATCAAATTATATTCTTTAAATATTCTCCCATTTTATAAATGAATAGGATATATCAAATTAAAAATATATTTTAATTTTATAATGTTTAAAAAAGATAATATATATTAGCAATATGTAAAGATAATATAAAAATGAAACTTTAATAGAAACTATTGTATCTTGTATTTCATAAGTAACAAACTAAATTAAATCATAAATGCAAAAAGGAAAACAGTAACTTTCTAGCTCTATTCAGCTTTTTGTGCGTACAGTGTGTGCTATTTTTATCATAATTCACTTGAATACAGGGGTAAAAATAACAGGAAATAAATCAAATAATTGTTATGCTACTTTTTAATGTAGATACCTCTCTGTATTTCAAATTACTTTCCTAATAAAATTAAAAATTACTTATATAAATACTTAAAAGAAAAATAATGTACATTATGATATCAAGATAAGAAGGAAAAATAAATAGTAGAAAAAATTTTTAGACAATTTATACGAATTTTAATAATTGGTTCCATAATTAATGAAAGAAATATTTTTCAATCAATGTCATTTATAAAATGTAAAAGAAACGTATGTTTATCAGAGAATTAACAATCTCGTTACAATGGTGAAATAGATTTGTATTTCAGTTAAACGGTAATATTTAGTTACTTCTTTACTTCATAGGATAAATTGTAATTGGATTAAAGTTCAAACCTAATTTCAAACTTTGTTATTTGTGCTATGATCTGAAGCGTTTTCGTTCGTACAGAAATATAGTAAACAGTGTTGTAGATTCACATACTAAATACAAGTTTAACAATTCATTTATTATGAGGTATTGCAGATCGTAGCGAGGTAAAGCCTCTGGATACTAAGTTATTGAAAAGTAACAAAGTTATTCGACATACATGACACTCAAAGAGCGTTATATTTCTTCTGGCAGTGTCCGTACATTTCTTTTTTTTTTTTTTTTTTTTTAATCATTTTAGTTAAACTTTTAAGCTAAATGTTTTGCACCATGTAACATTTCCACCCAACATTTTTATCATGAAATCTATCCATATTTTTTTTTAAACACTTTATCAGTACACCAATAATGTACCATGAATAAGAAAAATTACATTTATTTCTTCGTTGTGTTCAAGAAAATCAAATTACAACGTTATCAATATTTTGACACAACGAAGCTACTGTAATATATACTATTCTTTTCTTTTTCTTTATGATCCTATATGAACACGCATTTCTCTTTCTTATATTAATTAATTAATTAATTAATTAGATAACTGACGCGTTACACACGCCAACATATAATTAAATGCCTGATCAGGATGTATATTCTAATATTGTATCAAAAGACAAAGTAGCTGTCACTTATGATCCTAATCGAAATTAATTATTTTGTATTCGTGTGATTGTAATAGTCTTAATCAAATGAAACGAAAACGAGGTCCCAATATAGTCGATTCCATGTATCGCTTGTTCTAAAAAGAGATTCGAAAGATCAATCGGTCAGAAAAACACAATCTTCCTATAATTTTCAAGATGAGTTGTACCTCTAATACGATATGTATGTACTAAAAATTACTTTGTTTTTTAATTTGATGAATTGATAGAGACAAGGTTGTACAAGAGTATTGGACTAGAAATGGTTTGAAATTTTCATTAACGTAAATAAATATATAAGCCACGTTCATAATAATTGCAGTTCATTATATTCCATTCCTGCAGTGCTTGTACCTTTTACAAAAATAGAGATGGACTTTCTCTAAACTACTAGATTACATAATTATATGAAATTTAATTGTTCACGTATAAAATAATTAAATTTCATCGTGACATTGTTACAGAAAATAATCCTTATTTATCAAATTTGCAAAACACATTTCTACGTCCATCTCTGTGCAACAAGGATATCGAAACAATAATTGAAGTAGTACAATTTAAATACTTATTCCATGCATATTAATTCTCTATATAATTTATTCATAACAAGAGAAACTAAATTGATAAAAATTTTTTAATCTTAACAAAAAACTTATTACCTTTTTAAAAAAAACAATTTTTACAAATTTGTAATCAAAAACAAAATGTTAATACATTGATTTGATTACATCTTGTTAATCGAGTATGCATGGAAATGGAATATATTGGCATTAAAATACAATAAAATAATAAATAAATATTTTAATCTTTAATTACTAATGTAAGTTATACTTACAAATAATCCCGTTAATACTTAAATTTAGTATTTGATATATAATTGGAATGAAACATTATCTGTATGTTAAAGACAGGCAGTCTGGTTGTATTGTAATGCAAAATGTCAAAAATCGACAACTAAAGTGAAATTACCTTCTTGGCAGCATAATATACAAGGCAACGATAATTTTATACAGGATTCTTAAATGTCTGGACATAAGATGTTGTCCCATGGTCTCAATTACAATATAGAACTTTCTCATGAAAATGGAATTTATCTACACTTGTATTAAGTAACAATTTAATTCCAAACTTAATCCCATTTTATGCACAGAGGAGGAAACGAAGATGTAAAAGATGACAACAAAGATGTTGTGGTCACTGTGCACTACTTTAACATTAAAGTGATTTTTATATATGTAATTTTAAACACATTCAATTTAGTGAAATTCATTCGGAAACAACATAATTATTTCATTGACAAGACAATAAAATATTTTCATTCGTTTTTTTTCCTTTTCTTGACATAAACAGCGAAAGAAAGTTCAATACGATATTACGAAACTATCGTTCCAAGGGAAACTTCTGTATTATGTAACAACTGTTCCCATAAGTCTTTCATTCCAATGAGTCCAACATTTTCTAACACAATATGTATGCATTTTTAAATTCAATCAGGCAAAGCTGTAAGGATCAATAGTTTTGCTAGAACAAGGTTGGACATCGTCAGGTGGTGGATGCCATTGTCCAGTCCACATGGCAGTACGGTCCATAGCTATTTCTGCTGTTTTCTCCATGCTATTACTAGATGTACATTCCATTTCCCAGTGGAAACCATTTTGAGTCACTTGCATTGAACTAGATTCATCTATGCCACAATAGTCTTGTGCTTTATTGTTCACTGGCATTTGTAAAGTTTTATTTCTAACTTGCATAGAACTACTGCCTCTGTGCTCAGTACCAGACCAAGGTCGGGACTGTTCCACCGACTGCAGAGGTAATTTTCGCGGCACCCGCCTAGGTTTATTATTATCTTCCGAAACATGACCACTATTGGCTTTGGTACTTATTAAATTTCCATCGCCCGTTGAACTACTATCACCATCTCTTCTTCGCCTCCGTCTTCTCCTTTCAATGTCGACGTCACTTCTTTGAATATCTTCGTTTGTTTCTTGAGTGTGTAAGAAGTGCTCCCTCGCAGAAGCCCAATGATCTTTTCTACTAGCGTCTTGTTTATATCTTGTATGATTATCATTCCCGTGATGGCCGTTGTTTGTGTTGGTATCACTGTCCGTATTTTGTTTCCTTGACTGTTGATTTTTAACAACCCACGAGGCAGGCCTCTTGGGGCTTCGCTCTTTGAGAGTGACCTGAAAAGATAACGTATTCGTATTACATATCAGTAATAATTTAAAAACGCTTGTAAGATAATGAGAAATAAAATTATTTACTCCTGAAGAGGAAGAATTGTCAACAGGTTTATACAGTTGCGTTGGTGTATGATTACGGCTATCCGAACTCCTACAGTTTGACCCACTGCGACCATGTATCCACGAAAGTAAGAAGGCTAAAATAGCACATGACAATCCAAGTGCTGCTGCGGCAGACAATTGAGAACGAGTGCGTTTTGGCACCCAGCCACCGCTGTGATATTCCCATATGGAGCATGCTAATAATGCACTACTCAAGGCATAAGATAAGCCTATACCAGTGAATATCCAAGCATTCTATAAGAGGTGGATTCTATCAGATATATCAATGTCAAGATATTAAATCATTAATAAAAGTACATGTACAAAAATTTATATTTTCAATCGTAACATTAACGTTAACTAAAGATTAAATAACTCGTAATAGATTAATAAACCATTGATAACTTACCAATTTTGCCCAATTGAAAGGAAAAACATAGATAACATGTGAAATATCAAGAAAAAGGAGTAATGCGGTGACCAAAAAACAGAAAACTGCTACAAAGATCATGAAACGCAGCCGCCCGACTAAAGGCAACATAAATAAGCTGACCTTGGCAGTGCCGGAGCTGCACAATGTTGCCAAACATGCTGCAGATGATATCTAAACAATTTAACATAACTTATTGTTTCAGAAATACATAAATAAAGTATCATCTAAATATAGTACTTACAAGCAGTAAGAGTCTAATAACACCAATAGCTGTTTTAAGATGTCCTTGTATATCGCAATAAAGTACCAAATGACTTGCTCTTGGCCAAGCCAAAGCATTTGAGGAAGAGCCATGGTGATCACCATAGCCATAGTGACCATGATAATTAGCATGCGAGTCCCATGAATGGACCGTTGAATGGACCCCTGGTGAATCCAGCTCCAAAGGTTGGGAGCTAATTTGCCCCCCTGTTCTACTGCCTGCTATTGATATAATATAAAACAATACATATGTTAACACATCCTACTAGATATTCATATTTATCTATCATTTATAAATGATTTACAGTTTGCAGATTCTCATACCAATATCAAAGTCCTGAATATCCTCAGGTCTAGAATATGCAGAGGCGGGTAGTTCCAGGTCACGAATCTCTTCTAAGAGAAGTACTTCTATCTCGTCGGCTGCATACAAGTCCGAAACCGAGTGAAGATGATGCCGAGTTTCGCTCATTACTTAGGCACGCTCGATTGTTTACTCCTTCCTGCCTGCCGACGGTCTTTCCTATTTGATCCACTATTAACCACCATTCGTTACTCATTGAATTTAGCAACTGCTTCATACGTTTGCCAGCCATTGTTTATACATGCTGCATGCCATCTCTTTTCTGCAGACAATACCATCCCTAGGCCTTCAGGCCACACCTACAGAAATTAATTGATATTACATAACAGCAACAGGATTCCAAGAATTAATAATAAACATTCATTAGTTTATGATATAATGATTGCACAAGGATAGGATCAAAATGTTGAAATAAATGAAACAAACATAATTATAAATAGAAATAATTTATTCTATATATAACATAACAATAACAAAATAGTAAACAAAAATGCATGAGAAACGATACATAATTGCATTGAAAATATGTAAAAAATAATACATAATCATACTGATCCAATTCAGTGATAAACAACAAAAAGTAAATCTATTTTAAGATAGGATTAATACTGCACAAAAAATATAAAAGTACACAGGTTGATTCAGTGAAGCAACAGAAGATCTATTTGAATACAACGTTATCACGTTAACATTTAGATATGTAAAAGATACAATTTACCAACTATAACTATATATACTTGAACAACAACTTACGTGACAAAAATACAATATACATATTTTCAAACATACGGATATATTTCATAAACAGGTTGGACCTATCTATCCTCTTGTTATTAATACACGTTGCATTTCAAATACATTTAATATCGCATATTCGCATTGTTATCAAGGAACATAAATCAAAAATAAGAAATTAACGTGTATCAACTACATGTACAGATTATAAATAAAATATACTTCAATACCGATTCTATCGTGCAAGCCACGGAGAAAATTCCCCCGATATGTGTTTTGTTACATTCGCTCTGTCCAACATTGATAGAGCGTATACAACAAACATGAATGAAAGTAAACACAAGCGAGCTTCATGGTTAGTTGTTCCTACAGGAAACTGCCTGTTAATTCCAGATCCACATGTGGTTGCATGTGACATCCCCGTCAGAATGTGCCAAGTACAAACGATCGTCGAACATCGTTAGTTCAACGAGAGAGAGAGGGAGAACCAAAAAAAAAAGAAAAAAAAAAGTAAGAACATACCTCGATTTTGCTCGCAATGGACCGACACGGGGATCACATTTTTCCAAAATTTTTCGTAATAAACTCGGTGACCGTCCGAGGAATAGCCGCCATTGCCTTTTCGCTGTTTTCGCTCATAATCTATGCTCGTCACGACGACCTAGAAACAGAGCAGATGGAACAACTTGACCCTTTTCCAACATTTTGCGTTTCCACATAACAAAAAGAAACAGGACAGATGTGCAAATTGTTCCGCGTGCGACAATATGAACTTTCTTTCTATAGTAATTAGACCTTTTTTTGAAACATAAAACGCGAGAAACGACGTACATATTACGATTGCACATTCGAAAATTTAATTTTAGCACTCTCTCGTGGAATGCTGAATATATTAAACTTTGTTAAATTCTGCATTTTCTAAGGTAATTTCAATATTACGAACTATATTATATGTAATGAATAATACAATTTCAATAATATATGGAAAATGTAATTTTCATCTTACTTCGCGATATTAATATTTCGATTTTTGTTTTAAATACATATACATGTTCATGATCAATGTGGAGTAATTATTATAATCATTCAATTCAGCAATTAAAATAATGTTATTTTATAATTTAGTTATAATTTAGCGTTCAATTAAAATAATCATTTGAGAAAATGTAATCAACAAAGTTACCAAGAAATTTGATTTTATTAGTACTAATTGTAGCTACGTATTATCACTATATATATATATATACACATATAATAATATTTTGTATTTATTATTTATATTTTATATATCATATTATATATTTAGATGTATGTATTATATAGACATGCATAATATACAATAAAATGTTTGAAATTAATTATAATTACTTATAATTACTTATAAGTATTTTTAATTATTAATTAGTAATTATAATTATTATAAGTAATTACTTAATTTTATTATAAGTTTTTATTCAACGAGGTTAATAACATTTTTGTTGCGAAACAACAAAGAGATTATTTTATTAATGTTCTTTTTTAAGATAATCATAGTTGCATGTAATTCGAATAAATTATTTTTAAATAATAATATGTAATAAAATATATTATATTATTGTTTTGTATTATTTTATATATCATATTATATTATTATATTTATTACATATCATATATAACAAATAATATAAAATATAAATATAATATATATAATGCAAATAATATACAATATATGATATATAAATAATGTAATGTTCGAAATTAATTTTACCATAAGTAACTACCTCTTTATTCAACGAGGTTAATAACATTTCTCTTTATCACGAATTCTTGAAGTAATAAGGATAATTTGTTTTGTTAACGTTCTTTTAAGAAATTCTTTGTCGACGCGCCATGCCGTCAGCATTCCCGTTGGAATCGCATTCATTAAAATCACGCCTTAAACGATTCTTAGGTGGGCAATTAACAATAGTAAACTTTATGTCAGTTCGATCTGTCAAGTTAACGGGAGAGAATGCATCGGTCTTTCCGTCGATATTATAGTGCAAACGTAATGTGTTTGTAATTAAGAAAAAAAAAAAAAAAACACTAATCATGCGTGTTAAAGAAGTATGATACTTACAAGCTAACTACTTACTTAGAAGTCATATTTGCGTGTCTCTTTAAGTAAGCATTAACCATATTTCGCATTTTCAAATCGTCTTTCATTATGAATACATAGTAAGTGTTTCAATATTAATTTCCCTTGAAATTATTATCAATTGATCGACTATTTCACGCTTGTGAAAAATGTCGTATTAGCGTAATAACGTAACGTAACGTGAATAATATGCATATTGCTTGTAACGATAAAGACGCCTGCTCGCGTATTTAGAATGATGTTGCATCGTTTGTTGTCCTTCACGACGTTTTCCACAATCCTCTCTACAGACTTTGCACTTTTTTAGCAATAAAAGCGGACCAGGCGCGTCGGGAAACAGTTTCGACCGTTGGATACAGAGGACCAATATCCACGACGACTCTGCCATCACAAAAATGCAGCATCAGTTTTGGGTGACGAAACAGGCTTTGTCGCGAAAGCTGGGGAAAAAGGAGGATGAGTGCATAGTCGCGTCCGACGCAGAACTGGACGCCAAGTTAGAATTGTTTCACAGTATTCAGAAATCATGCTTGAATTTGCAAAGAATTATCGACAGATACCAGGAACGATTGTGCTGTAAGTTGATATTATTATCTAAACCACTGGAAGTTATTATTGTCCAAACCATGAATTGAAGTTAAGATGAGAAAGGATTCAAGAATAATACAAATAACTGTAAATGCAGATCTCGCGCAAGAAGAGAATGCAATGGGACGGTTCCTCAAAGATGCTGGCAAACAGGACAAAACTAGAGCTGGAAAAATGATGATAACGGTTGGAAAATCGTTATCATATTCCGGCCAGCAAAGGCTTGCACTGAGCACTCCATTAGAGCGACTGTACCAGGAAGTGGAAACATTTAGACAAAGAGCTATCGAAGATACGCTGCAAAAAGTTCAGGCAATGGAGAAAGCTCGTACGGAGTACAGAGCCGCTTTATCATGGATGAAAAACGTCTCTCAAGAATTAGATCCTGACACGTCGAAACAATTAGAAAGATTTCGCAAGGTTCAAACATGCGTAAGACAGTACGTACTGACTGTTGTTAATGCCAAAACTCTATGCGCACCTATAGGTACATTTAAACTGTTTTTCTTTTGTTTTTTGTTTACAGAGGTAAAATAGCATTTGATAATCTGGCTTTAGATTGCCTTCAAAAGGTAGATCTGTTAGCAGCAGCAAGGTGTAATATGTTTAGTCACGCTTTAGTTTTATATCAGAGTACTCTTCTCAGTTTCACCGAAAAGTCTGCACAAGCATATTCCACAATAGCGAACAGTTTTAAAGGCTACCAACGGTACAATTTTATGGTAGTGAGAGAATTAGCTGAACCGTCAAGTAAATTAGCTCAAGAAACTGGAGGTGACAATGATTTTGATGAAAAAGAGAAGTAAGTTATAAATTTCAAAAAGTGCTAATAAGATGAATTCCACTGATAAAACATATCTTTTCTTTTTTTTTTTTAATCACAGATTGTCATTTTTTGACATGGATTATCATGACACTGTTGAAAAAGCTGAAGAAGTAAAATCCCAAGAAAATACAGTTGAAAACAACAAAGAAAGTGAAAAATTATTGGATATTGAGTATGAGACAATAGATATGTTAGGATTAGAAGGATTAGATATAAATTCCAGTTCTCCGAACGATGAAATTACATCACAATCAACCTCTAACGTCGAACATAAGAAAGATTTCGATGAACTTTTCGAAAATTTAATTCTAGATAATAATGCCACTCATAACGATATACAAGAAGGAAATCAATTAGAATTTGATAAAAAGTTTGATGAGCAAAGTTTAATAATGGGTATATTTGACAAATCTGATACAAATTTTAATTTGGCTAAATTCTCTTCCTTAGAAGAACAAAATTCAAGAGAACAATCTTTACAGTCTCTCACATCCGAAAATATGGTACTTTTGAATGATATTCTCACTGATAAACAGAACAGTGATAGTGAGTGGGAATCGATAACGCATAATACATTTTTACCACCAAATATATTAAAACAAAGTTTAGGTGATGCAACGCTTGGTGTTGGACAGAAGAGTATGCCTACTACCAGCACAGGCGACAAAGTAAGTAAAAATCATTAGTGTTGCTGAGCATTAGTGAGCTCGCATCGAAAATGTTAATAAATTTTTGTCATATTTTTTCTTAGAAAAAAAATAAGACTGGAAAACTAAAAGGTAATTCCTGGTTGGATTTATTTGCTGAACTGGATCCTTTGGCCAACAATCCAATGGAAAATCTTTCCAGTGACAGTAACGCATCTGCTTAATTTTTTTCGATATTCAAATTTATCGATATTGACACATGATTAGTTGCAATTTAGCAACAATCACACGAGATATTTTATTTTTTTCAAATGTTTCTTACGTTTGCATTTGCATATCTTATATTTCAATTTCAACATTCCAAATTCGTTAGATCTAACAAAAATAGCAAAATAATAGTAAGAATCAAAAATACTTAAATTTTCGTAAGTAACTTTTCAAGCTCTATACCAAAGATTTAAAATCAGTGATAGCTAAAAATACTAGTCACATACTTTCAAGTACATTAAAAATATTTTTTTCGTAATAGTATTATCAATTTTCCTATTACTATTTATAACAAAATATGTTTAAAGCATATCATATGAATACTTTTGTTATCATTCCACATTGTGCAATCGAGTTTTTTTAAGAAATTATTAATCAATATTTAAAAAATGTATGATACAATTATTACATCGTTTTCTTTTTTAATATAATGAAATATCGCATATTGCTTTCTTTTTTAAATAAAATAAATACAATGTAAACAGATTACATTATCAGGAATATTGTTTTTGTATATTTCCTATATAAATATAAAATGTTTATGTATTAACAAAATACAGAATCACAGCATTGACACCAAAATATAATTGTATTTCACGTATAAAAGAACTCTAAATCAAAACCTAATTTCCAATAACGCGTTTGAAATTTAAGCATCATAGAATTGTGCCATAGCTGTTCTGACTCTGGAACAAAACAAATGTATGTATATTAAAAATCAGAAATATTCGAAAGAAAATATTTTTATATATTGATTATATTAAAATCTCTCCAATATCTTATTGGATTATTATAATTTACAAGAACAATTAAAGATCATTTTTAAACATAAATAAAAATGCAAATAAAAAAGAATATTCAAAGATTGTCTGTCATACTTATCAAATAATTGAAGATCTTTGCTATGACGTAATTGTTGCAGAATACGATAAAAGCCTAGTTCTTTCAAACGTGCTTGCCGTTGTGCAGCACCAGGTTCTTCCCTCCAGACTAGGTTGCACACGCAAAAAACTGCAGCAACTTGCAATTTTACATTGCTATGCATCTACAACAGTACATAAATGTTAGATTTCTGGTAAAACTTCAATAACGTGTTATTGAAGTGCGAATTATATAAAGATCATAGAATGACAAAAACATTTTATTATTGTATTATTTAAATAAATAGAAAGAAGATGATAAATAAAGAATGAAAAAACTGAAAAAAAGGATAAAATTGTTTATTACAAACCATATAATCCATAAGTTTTTTAAGCACATCTTCATTAGCCATAATATGATCCTTCGCTCTGTTTCCATCGGCTACATTCGCTAAAATACAGAGAGCTTGTTCCTTTACATCTGCTGGATGTCTTGGGTCTTCTAAAACTAATATAACAGCTTGCATAACGTGAGCAGCATGCTCTCCCATTATACGATCTATGTGTGCTTTCGTAGAGAGCAAGTTTCGCAATAAACCTAATGTCTTCATTAAAACTGGTATATCTTGATCGGCCAGAAGACAAAAGATTTGATCTGTTCCCAAGCATTGTAAAATCTGCAATTTTACTTGCTGTTCCGCTTGAAAAGCCACGTTCATCAAAGCCCAAATTCCATTTAATCGCAACGCCGGTGTACATCGTTTTGTGAGCGAGCACAATAACTCTATCCCTCCGGATTCAAGAATCGGTTCTTTGCTTGGGCTAAATTCCAACAACAGGTTACATAAAGTACTCGAGGCAACAGTTAATAAATCAACTTCGCTTTCACCTCTACCTACACAATACAATCATATTAATTAATAGTTAAAAATTATGTTGCAAAAAATATGCAATATAAATTTTCATTGTACTTCAGCGAATTGAACTCTCGGTGTAATTAAAACGTTTTAAAGGATGAAACTTTTTTTATAAATTATATTATTTTAATAACAATTTGTACAAAAATACTATTATATTTTACCTTCCAATCCTTTGTCCGCGCCGTGTAACAACTGCATAAGTGGTCTCCAAACAGCGTGATCTTGAAATGTCGTTCGAAGTTGTTGAACGCTTCTAGAAAGAGAATGAAGGCATCTAACTGCTGCTAAACGTACGTGAGAACCCCCTGGATCCTGAAGGCCCGCTACCACTTGCTCCATAAGACTTTGTGTCTCGATAATACGTTTCCTAATATCTTCGTCATTAGCACCAAGAGACGCAAATGCCCTGAACGCAGCTTGTCGCATATCTTGCGTCAACGTTGTATCTTGTACCTAAGAATTTATGAACATTTAAAATTAACAATGACAATGTATGGAAAATAAATACGTAAATCGTTATAATATACTTGCATGCGGATGACATCGCAATAATTCTGCAAGAGTAGGAATTAAATGATTGCTAATGGAAGCTAGACGTTGCAATTCGGTATTAACTTCAGTAAGGAAAGCCAGGGTTTCGGCCGCCGCTACTCTTTCACGCGGTGGATGATCTCGATGACAAAGTCGCACCAAACAAGGCAAAGCACGGTATATAATTCTTGGATCTTTGTATAGTAAAACTCCAGTCCTGTGCATATACGTAACACATCTTGCAGCTTCAAGTTGAATTAACGAGCTTTTCTCACGACCCATTAACAGTCCTAATGCTGCAGGTACAAGCCTACCCTGCGGTGTATTGCTGGTAGTTGCCGACGCAACCATAACACATACCCTATAATTCTTGTAACACATATTTGCCAAGCATGCTAAAGCCGACAACTGAACGTCAGGTAATGGGGAATCCAACTGCATTGCTAATGTTTCTACTGCGCCTCCTTTGGCCAAAGCACTTTGCTCCTCTGTCGTCTAGGAAAAAATTTTCTTTAGCGTAAGTTTACGAATTATGCAAGAAATTGTTTGTTGTCAAAGAATTTGACTTTGTTATCTCTTTACGCACCTTGCACGCTGTTGTTAAAATTGTTGCTACACAAATTTGACAAGTGACGCATTGATTCGCTAACGATACTAATCTTGGCACTAGTGCGGGATCCTGATATATCGAGTGAACTGGTGCTGCCGGATGTTGAAATACTGTTCTCAAGCAACGAAGGCATGACTCATTCAACAGATCCGTAATTTTTGGTTTTCCTTCGAATGACGTTTCTGTGACTGGCGTGGATAATATAACCTGAAAAAGCAATGGCACTACACCAAGATCTATGAGTGCCAGGACGTGCTGGTCCGTCCCTTTGGCCAAAGAACCCAAAGTCACTGCAGCCTCGAGCCTTATATTGTCTCCAATTCTATCTGACGAATCTCCGAGAAGTTGCAATAAACGAGGCACTACACCTTGTGCTATTACAGATCCTTTCTGCCTATTGCTTCCAATCACAGAATTTTTTAGACATCTACAAACAACAAAAAAACAAACCTTTATAGAATATACTTAATGCAGTTGTTTGGTTATAAAATTGTTGGAATTAACAGAAGAAAATATGAAAAATAAAATAATTTCAATCGTATTCTAGTACTCTTCTAATACTTTGTTTAAACAGTACGTTACCGTACGTTACGGTGATTTTGAATAATGATCTTTAGTAAACAAGGTTTGGAGGTTAGATACGATTTGCACTCACATAATAGCTTCTAAGCATTTCTGTGGGTCCAGCGAGTATAGTTCGTCAATGTAACTTCTCGAGCTCTCAACATCCTACGATACAATCGGACAGTCGTTTAATTTTCAAGATCCTCCGATGACTCTACGGAAACGATATCTCCCCAAAAGCAGAAGAAAACTGCCGGCAACTTGTTTCGCCTTTACAATATTCTCCACTCACCATAAACGGTTGCATCACCGAAACCATACTTCCCTTCTCCCGGCTTTACATACAAATGGAAGTTTTCCACTCAAAATGATCCCGCAGCATATAGTTAACTGCCAACGAGAGGAAATCGTTAATTGAACTTGTTTGTTATGTGAACACTGGCTAGTCCATTTAACAGAGCTTTCACTCTGAAGTGACCTCTGGTAAAACAATGTCACCATTTACAGATATGATCATTCGCTCGCAATATTTGAAATTTCAAAATTTCAATCGTTCAAATTGTGAAAGGCGAACGAGGATTACAAAGCGTTAGAATTCCTCTTTTGTGAGTTACGTTACTGTTTAATAGTAACTGGATTAGAAATTCTCGATCATTTGTAATGTAGCAACTTTTACACCATTGGTAATCCTGAAGAAACCCGGTAACGGGTTCTGTATGTTTGTTGAGAGGAGGGACGTAACATCGAGTTGTTTGATTCTCACGGAAATAATTCCTCGTAAAACTCGTAAAAGACTCGATTAAATATGATCATGGAATCTTTGCACGAATATTTGGAAACTGTAGCGGGATATATATTTGACGATGACAAACTGGTGAGTATCTTTTTCCACGTTTCTCAATTATCCGCAACACGACGTTCAAATTTCTATTGTGTTAATAATTTCTAATATTGCTTAATCGAAAAATATATATATTATTATATATAAATATATATAATATTTTATTATAATTATTACCATTATTTTATTAATTATAGTTACATATTATATATATATATTTTTTTGGGGAAAAATATGTTAAGTGAATAAAATAACCGTAGGTAACATATAAATGGTTGAGTAAGGAATTAGAAGTTCACGTCAACGTCGCAAAGCAGATTCTATCGGAATTTTGGCAAAAGTACAAAGAGAAGAAGCAGTTCGAATGTGTGTTTCTGCTAATGGGTCATTTGCATGACAATGGTATGCGAGTCGAGATTGTAAAAGAGAAAGATCTGTCAACAGCAAAAGAAAAATACAGCAAAATTATCGCCAAGCATGTTTATAGTCTTCAAAAAACACTTCCCGAAACGCAGTTACTTGGGTTAGCCGAAGACGGGGATGTTAAGTTCAGTGGCATCAAGTGCATTGAGAATAACGAACGTAACGATGAGGAAATGCATATGTTCCGTTGGGGTGCTGTGTCAAGGGAAATCGAATCTGCTCCTCAAGAGAAAGTGCAGTCATCGGTATCAGAGGCAGCTAGTGAGAGGAAAGCAACAAGCCCAGAAGAGAAGCAGGTTGCCAAAAAGAAAAATGCTGACAGAAAAGGTTTCGACAATTTATTTGGAAAGGCTGGTAATAAACAGAAAAATTCGTCTAACGCAGATAAGGTGGAAGTGGACTCTTCCAATCATAATAAAAAAGGAACATCTAAAAATGGTAGTGCCGAGAAAAAGAAAAGTACGCAGAAAGGAGGACTGAGCAACTTTCTTGAACTGGGCAAGAATCAAACAAAAACTTCTGCAAATTCCTTGAATAAAGGCAAAAGTACAAATTCTTTGGACAAGGATAAATGTGCAAATTCCTCTGTTGCGGAGAAGGGCGCAAACTTCTTGACGAAAGAAGCTACAGAAGAAAAGGTTTTGAAAACTGATCTTAAACAGATACAGAATATGAAAGATTTTGAAGAAAAGATTTCGAAAACCGATAAACAGAAACAGAAAGCAAGAAGCAGAAAACGCAATCGGAGCAAGGAAACCAATAATGCTGTGAAAAAGCGAAAACGTATTGCAATTCAGAGTGATTCTAGCAATTCAGAGCCCTCTGACAATGAAAATGAATCAGAATTGGATTTACCACTCTCACCTGAAAGTTGTCCTGCTTTTCTAAAGAAACGTTCTGTTTCTCCGCCACAAGTTAAACATGAAAATGGGAAACGCAAAGTTTTAAAAATAGTAGACAAAACATTCGAGGAAGATGGTTTTCTTGTTACAAAAAAAGTACATGTTTACGAAAGTTGTTCTGAAGAGGAACCAGAAATTACAGAACCGAAAAATGAAAAGAAAATTGTATCTGAATCACATTCAGAAGTCAAAGGAAAAAAAAACACTAAACAGACCACTTTAATTAATTTCTTTAAGAAGTCGTAGCACATTTTATTACATTGTATTACGTGTTTTATAATTTAGGATATTTACCGAAATGCAATAATGTTTTATGATTCTATTATAATATAGAAAATACAAATAAAATTTTATATTTTACGAACAATTGACGTAAAATTTACTAAACGAAAGCAAATTTAATTTTCATTTTCAAATTATAATTATCTTCCAAGTCTAGATGAAATAAAATAAACATTTAGTTACTAATCGTTATCAGTTATCAGATATGTTATCACAAGCATGATATCAAAAGCATGCTACACCCTAAATGTGAGTAATACTGAGTATTGATTGTTTGAGTATAAACTGTGCAATTAACAATTTAATACAATGATTATTTATTTAAATGTTATTGGATTGTATCTTCTATGGACAGTACAAATTTCTACGTGCGATATATGTTCAACATGTTCATGCACAATTTCTAGTAAGTAAAATTATTTCAAAATTATTTACTGATCACATATATCGATCACTGAATGATTAAAATTATAACTTAATTATTTCTCAAGTTAATATGTGTTTTATTCATTACAGTAAATGAGGAACAAGAAATTAACTGTCATGGAAAACATTTGGCAAATAATGATATGCTTAACTTTGATTTACTAACATTAAATAATCATCAAGTTTTAAACAAACTTGTTTTATCTAAAAACAACATAGTTAATTTACCTAGGAATTTATTGAAAAAGTTACAATTTTTGAAAAATTTAGATTTATCTGAAAATATTATAGAAAAAATATATACAACAATGTTCATAGACTTGAATAGTCTCGAAAATCTAAATCTTTCCAAAAATTCACTAAAAACTTTTGATGATTCATTGCTAGAAGTACTTCCTGCATTGTTGTCATTAAATCTCAGTTACAATTATATAGATTCAATAGAGCATCTAATGAACAACACTATAACAAAGATTAATACACTTGATCTTTCTCATAACAATATATTCAGTTTACCTAAAGAATTTTCTGCATCATTGCTAAATTTACAATATTTGGATTTGTCATTTAATAAAATTCATTCTTTGGAGAATTGTAATCTAATACATTTACATTCTTTAAAAGCAATTTATATAAATAATAATTTCATTATTACGCTAGATATGCAAGCATTACCAAATACATTGATCGAGTTACACTCTGGATATAATCAAATTTCAGAAATATTATACAATTTAGTTCATATTGAAATATTAAATCTGCAACACAACAACATTTCTGCATTGCATACAAATTTAATAACAAATAATTTACAATCTCTAAATATTAGTGGAAATATGTTATCAAACTTACCAAATGTTATATCTGAAAATTTGAAAGTGTTAGACATATCTAACAATAAATTGACTTACATCCCCGAAGTAATATCTATTAAAAATTTTCCATTATTGTTTCAACTTGATGTCACTGACAATCCTATTGAAAACTTGACAATTAACTCTGACTTGAAACTAAATTTATTTGTTGCCAATAAAATAAATATGTTAAAGAATATTGAAAAAGATACATTAGCAAATTTAAGACCACCATCGAATGATTGTATTAATCTTACTATATCAAATAACAAAATGTTGACTTTCATTCATGAAGATGCTTTGAGACACATGAATTTGTGTTCAGTAAGTTTCTAAAATAATTTAGAAATACCGTTTAAAAATAAGTAAATAATTTTTTGTTATTATTAGTTAGATTTGAGTAATAATCAACTTTCCTATGTGGGACAAAAATTGATCATGCACAGCAGTAATTTTACAATATACAGTGTCAATTTACAAGGAAACCCACTTAAATGTAATTGTGCACTACAATGGATGTTAAACGATTTAGTTCCACAGCTTTATACCACCCAGCCTCGTCTTTTAGATGATTTAAGGTATATACTTTGTAAAATTATTATTAGAACTAAGTTTAATATTTTAAATTAACAAATAAATATACTAATCATTTTATTGCATTTCATTACATAAGATGTGCTTGGCCTCCGCAAATATCACATATAAGAATGGTACATTGGTACGGATGGAAGGATCAAGTATTTTGTACTAGTACATCAATTTTGAAAGAAAATTTGACAATGAATGTTGCCAGTGTAGTGACTACTGAAGTGATACATTTTGACTCGAGTACTGGTCTGCTAATTGTTGTAGGAATAGCTACAACTGTATTAACACTTTTAATAGTAGGAGGCATTGTATGGACACAAAAAGTGGCCATAAAAAGGAGAAGAATTAATAGGAAATTTTAAAGTTTATCATTATTTATTTCATATTTTATTTTATTTCATAATTTATTTTACTTATTTATTTTTTACAAATTTTTTTTAAAAGTTTCTTAAATATTCAATAAATTGATATTTTAAGAAGACAATTATCAAAGTAATTCATGTAACAACATATAACTTATATTATTTTTTAAATTGATTAAAATTAAGAACTGATTAATCGAACATTTATAAATAATAAATTTCCTGAATTAATTTATTATCATTTGTTTAAATATTAAATATCATGTGAGAGTAATAAAATTGTAAATAAACACAATTAAACATCAATATTAATACAAAAAATTAATTTAATTTCATAAAATATCATGTAATATGATTATCACATGCATGGTTTTCTTTTTCATCAAATTTAGATGTTACTAAAAAAAAATAAGAACAAATTAAATATTATTTTTAACATACAAAGTGCATATAAATTCATGTATAAGAATACATATATAGCAATATATTTATCAAAACATTAAAATAAATATATATTTTTCTAACTCACACATATAAATACATTCGTATAATTGTATATAATGTATTTTTTTTATGTATAAAAACAGCCTATTTTCGATGAAAATAATTAATTAAAACTATTTGAACGTTTCCTAAAAGTACTCTATATAATAGAAAGATTTAAAATATTACTTAATTATTCACGAATTTCAATTGTGAAACAAATTTGGCTAAATTTAAATCATATTTTAATGATCTTAAATATTGCACTACTTGCAATATTGCAATTTTAATAATATATACGTTCTAATAAAATACTTCGATGGAAGATCGATTCTCATTAATTATGAGCTGTGTTATGTTTTGCAATTGGATCAATCGGTCACAGTAAAAATTAATAATTTATTCAGATATCCTAATCTATTCCTTGATTATTTGTTAAGATGCACTGACCTAATATTGAACAATCTCCAAAATATAACTATCGCTTTGGACGTAAAGTGAGCTTTGTAATTTGCATTTATATATCGTCTATTTGCCAGTGACTAGACGTCACTTGAATCGGCGGTTTCTCCCTTAATTCGTTTAAAAAATTACATATGTTTTTATAATACCGGGGTTGACACCACGTTTCATTATGCGTACCTCCCGAAATTGAAAGTATCTTTTTACACGGACTTTTGCAATTCTTGTAAAGTTCCTGCATCATACGCGGAGGCACTAATGTATCTGCTAAACCAGAAATAAATAACGTAGGTACCATTACTGACCGTACCTTGAGGATGGACAGATACTGCAATACAAAACGATTCAATTAAATCCTCTTTTTGTGAAGAGATCAGATGCAATGAGAACTACTTTACCTTATTTTTATATAAAAAAAGAGGTAAATATTGTAAACATTTTAATCCAAAAAGTAACGCGGCCATATCGGGGATACTAGTAAAAGTATTCTCAAGTATAAGACACCAAATTCTTTGCGAATTCTCTGGCTTTGTAGCTAAATTAATAGCGACAGCACCACCTGCGAAAAGAGTGAAATACATTGAATACATATGTTCTTTATTAAACGTAACATATTCAAATCGTGTGTATACCTAATGATCTACCAAATACAATTATCTCATTCGTATTTATATCAGTTCTACTAGATAAATAATCAATTCCTGCACAAGCGTCCATGTATAAACCCTCTTCAGACGGTGAACCCTGTGACAAACCATAGCCTCTGTATTCCAACATCAAAATGTTACATTGGATGGTATGGTACAATCCAACTGCATTCTTTAACCTAAAATAATTCTACAAATTATTATCCTACATCATAAAGTAATATCACAATAATGTAAACCACTAACCTATGTCCCACATTACCAGCATTTCCATGAAGAAATAACAATGTAGGCACCTTTTTTGCTTTGTCTTCCGGCTGTGAAATGAAGAACATGTGTAACATTGTACCATCCCCTGATCTAATGTAAATGCTTTGATACGGCAAATTAAATATCGACGGTGCAGGAACATATATTCGAGAATTAGCTGGTGACTCTGGACGATATACAAGTTGATCTTCTCTGTGATATAATATACCTGCAACATATATGAATTAATATACATGTTCAACAAAACTTAATTAAAAAAAAAACATTAATAAAAGTTACCCGTAGTGGCGAAACAAAGTAGAAAGAAAGCAGAAACTCCACCGTACAACCAGTACAAAAGGAAACAGGCAAGTACGTAAGTCCCAGAGAAAGCCCAGCATCTCATAGCTATGCCTCCTAATAAACGGATGGGTTTACTGCGTGCGAGCCTCATACAAAACGACATGATTGCTACGCGGTGATCTTTCAAAAGAATCAACTGACAATCATCTAAACCACTTTTACATTCACCAAACCGTGTAACGTCATGCATATCCTCGACTTCGTCATCGTGTTCCATTGAATCAACAGCCCAGCTCCATCATAACCTAAAATTTGCATTGAGATCTGTCTCTTCGTAAATACGTCCCATTCCGTGATACTTTGGATTTGTATTGACAAACAAATGCATTTCGCTTTTCAAAGAGATTTATTAGATATATTTGTCAGATGTTACATAGCATAAAATAAAATAACACTTCTCTAAGAGGTTATGGAGTATCACAAGTTCGACCGCGAACGTGGTTCAAATGCAAACTGCATCGACAGAAGTGAAGATGCGCGTGCCAAAGTAAAAATTTACAAATCTTTTGAAGTAAACGAAGTACTTCGAAGCATGACTTCACATTCAATGAGAACACGTTTACGCACAAAATAGACTGGCGGCGCGCTCATAATTACGTTGGTACAGACGATGATATCGTAAGTTCCATCACGTGTTTTCGCAAACGTCCAATGCTGTTGTTCCGATTGCTGTTAACCAATCCTGCGTGATTAACGCTATCTTGATATCTTCGTATGATCGAGCACAACCGCCGCTGTTTGCATAAAGTTCCTCATTTATTTAAAAATTAGAAATTCTAGTGCTAGTCAAGAAGTTGCTCGTGTAACAATGGAGAAAATACTGGTCGAGCCTCGAGATGGGACCGTAGCGTCATGCTTATCTAACCTTCTTCAAACGAGTGCCGATGATGCACTCGCCAGTGGCGATACATTTAAAGTCGGTTTGTCAGGTAACGCGCTTGCTGGATAAATATTTAAAAAAAAAACGATAAAAAAAGAAAGAAGAGATTGACCACTTCAGTTTATTATTCCGTATTTACAAGATACATTTTAAGCGACGTCTGAAAATCTTTAGATACACACACATTTATAGGTTACGAATACATTTCAAAACCTTGCAATTGATGAGAGTCTTGTTTGTTTCTTAATTTTAATTTTAATAGTATGTTTCTCGTATTTATTTAATTTCTAATACCTACTTCATATCTTTTAAATTATCATTCATTTGTCGTTTAAAAGTCAGTTGCTTCACGTTGGAGTACCAAACTAATAATGAAATGTGAAATTATTTCCATCAGGGGGGTCTTTGGTACAATTGTTGGCTCAATGTTTGCCTAATATTACTACTGATTGGAGTAAATGGTATTTCTTCTTCTGTGATGAAAGAGTTGTTCCTTTTGATAGCAATGATTCTACCTATGGAGAGTATAAGTTGAAGTTAATTGGAAAAATACCAGTAACTGAAGAGCAATTTATAAAAATCGATCCCGACTTGTCTGGTAAAAATTTTCAACTTATTTCTTCTTCTTTTGTCGATGAATTTATATAACCACGCTGTCTTACTTATAGCCGAAGATGCTGCAAAAGATTATATTAAGAAGATGTCTGTGTTTTTTCCACCTGATCGTGTTCCGTGTTTTGATGTACTTCTGTTAGGACTGGGTCCAGATGGGCATACATGTTCTCTCTTCCCTGATCATAAACTTTTGAATGAAGCAAGCTTATGGGTCTGTCCTATCAATGATTCACCCAAGCCACCTCCATCTCGTATTACTCTTACTCTTCCTGTAATAAATAATGCAAAGAAATGCATATTTGCTATCACTGGATCAGGCAAGGCTGAAATTGTGAAGGTGATTATCTCATTACTGTTTCGAGGAGAGTAACTTCTAAGTTGTAAACATGTATAAAGTTGCATTTTACTGTTAATGCTTAATATCTTGCAGAGAGTTTTGCAAGATAGAGAAAATTTACCAGCTGCTCGTGTTCAACCACACAACGGAGAATTGTATTGGATCCTAGACGAAGGTGCTGCAAAGTTTGTAGAGAGAGCGTAAATAGCATTCCGTGAGATTAACTATGACATTCTGTGTTAACATCAATTCCTAATGCTCAACAAATTTCTTGAGCTTACTTTTATAGTATATATATATATATACATCTTACTTAAGATACCTTACAATGATATTTTTTTTGTAATTTATTGCTCAAAGTTGATATTTGTTTATTGTGATGTTAATATCATTTGAAATATATTAAATTTTGTTATGCATTTTAATATTAGTTTCTGATATTTTACTTGTTTCAATTTGTAAACTTTTAATTGGGTATAAAATACAATAAGGTAAAACATTTTTATGCCACATTACTAGCTCATTATTATTATCATTCAACTGCAATTTATATTTGTCATATTATCTAAATAAATTTAAAAAATTGTATAAAAGTGATATAAAAAAACGAACTTTAAGTAACATGCGAAAATGCTAAAGTAAAATGGTACATCTTACAAAAACATACAGCAATACTTGTTTTTATTTTAATATAACAAATATAAAATCGTAAAAATGTGCAATTACAAATATATTTAACGATCATGAATTTCAAAAATGAATTAATTTCAAGAGAAGTCCAAACAAAAATTTAGAAATCTAATAAACATTAAAATTAAAATCATTACAAAAAGAAATGTACATGTAAAAAAGTGAATATATTTTTATTATTTGTATCATACCATAGTATATAATAACATTTAATAATAATTTCTATTTAATTCTGTATCATAAGAGTTAAAAAATAATCAGCAAAATATTGTTTTAAATTTTTATATGATATTTTATTTGCAAAAGAAAATATCCTTCTTGATATATCTGTACAGAAGAAAATAGATAGATATATAGTATAAATGTTATATATTCATCTAATAAATTTTAAAAGACATTCTTTGGTAATTTATATAAAATTAATAAACATAGATAAATAGGTATACAGCAAAATGACTATTTTTATACAATGCTTGTATATTGTCATATGGCATATGGAATTAATATCGTTGATGTTTGTATATAGTTTGAGGCAGGAATATCATTTGTAACATGTACTTAATAGATAACATTTGCTATCAGTCAAATTCAGTAATCAGTATTAATTACTTAGGAACTGAAGTTTTTGCAATAATTTAATAAATTATCTTTATTTTTTTACAAAAATCTTATGTGTACAATGGATATCAAACCATGAAAAGAACTAAAAAAAAAAAAAAAATTCACATTTCTTTTACAAGATCCAATTGTCAGTTTCGTCGTAATATATATCAACTCCGTAAAACGTTTTAATTTCACGTCAAATTATTTTTTTTATAATCCTAAATTCATATGAATTATGAAGAATTTTACTTAAGAACAAAACGAACATTCTATTGGCCTAAAAAGTAATCGAAAATATTCAGTTAAATATTTCTATACAATATATTTAATTTAAATGCTAAAATTACCCTGATAAAATGGATTTTATAATTTTTAACTTCATTACATTTCGTCTTTTGTATTAAAAATGCGATTGAAAAAGTAAAAGGGTGTCTTTGATTTTTAAGAATACATATAAGAACAATATCTAACGCTCCGAAATTGAATTGCAAAACTATTATTCTTTATCATAATCACTCAACACTCACAATTATTTTTATGATTACTTTGAAGAAAGAAGTAAACAGGCACGAATATAATGTTATATCGTGATGCACTTCTTTGGAATCTAAATATACATATTTATAATACATACAATATATTATATATAACTTGTTTACAAGATTCATTAGTTAGAGAATTATGTTAAAACAATGCACGTAACAAATGTAATATCGAGAATAGAACATCGCTCATGGAACAAGTTTAACACATAAATTATAAGTGTGCAGTGTCTGCAATAACTCATCGCATAACACCTTGAATATTGAATATTATTATTATTATTACTATTAGTATTGTTATCATCATTATTATTATTAAAAATACTGGAAGAATTACAATAAAAATTAAACAAATTGTTTTTAAATTGATAGGATGTTATGCATTGAATTATATTTCCAATTTAGCTTATAACCATACATATCACAGTAATAATATAACTCGATTCTTCTATTTTCAGAATATGTAACATTACGTAATGTATTAAGTAATACATTCCTTTATATTTTCATAAAATTACATTTTCATATGTAAATTACCTAACTTTCAAATCGTACGAAGAATTTTTTTTCTTCTTGCTTAACTATAACTATCAGCTTTTTTATTACCTTCGTTTCCTTCCCGCTGAAAAACTGAAAAACTGAAATTATAACATAATACTTTTTTCTTCTTCTAATGGTCTTTGTACTATCATTTCTATTTTGAAATTATGAATCTACATTTTCGTTCTTCTTCAAGGAAGCAAAATATGAGTGTAAGTCACAATAAATACAATTAAACTAATTTATACACTCCTTGCGTTTACTCCTTCGAAGGTTAATTAAAATTCCTCATGCTGGCCATTTATTATTATATTCATTTCCTTATATGAAAATTTGTTATAAATATGTTCTATATGTTCAATAGTATGATACACTTGAAAAATAGAATGGCAAATGTTTAAATAATCGTAGAAGCTTCGAGTTAACAATAAATAAGCGATATTACATATAATAAAAGGCAGGATATGCCGAATTGCTTAATATAGTAACCAACGACTGACTTGTTTGAATATCTTATGACGTAGTTAAAGAATAATTTAGTTAAATTAATATCACCTAAAATAAATAATCATCACGTCATATTTACACCCAAAAAATCCCTGACGGTTTCATATACTATGTAACTAATCGACACGGCTGGTGCCACCTAAATAAAACAAATAAAAACAATGATATATAACTTATGACCGTCGAAAATCAATCATTTGAAATTCATTTTAAATCGTACATAAATTATTGCATACCTTTAAAAAGTTCGGAGTTAAACCTCTGTACAAACCGCGAATCCCTTCGTTCTTAATAATATTCTTAAAAACAGCAACCATAGTATTAGGCTGTTCTTGCGATACGTCTGCCTGTAACCGCGTTCTGACTAGTGCTAATGGATACGAGCACACTTGGCCGGCTGTGCTCGAAGCTGTTCCACATAATAATAAAATCCAAAAGGGTGGCTGTTCATTTTTGTCATGTGTTTGTAAATACCTGTTCTTCAAAGTCTGTAACCAAAAAAAAAGAAAATAATTATTAACGTTGAATGGGGATTGTTCATTGGTGACTGGCGATGCTGATATTAATAAAAACGCATAATTCAAATAAATGACAATTCTTCAAAAATGGTCGATATTATCATCATTGTTAAAATAATACAAAGAAAGTAATAGTTTTATTAATAATCATGTGCATGTTATATATATGCGCATGTTGCAATATATGGTTTTAAAATACAGCAAACAAAGAACAAGAGAACTAGTGCAACCTGCACAGTACGTGGCAACTTTTTTTATACAATTTCTTATATTTGTTCTGCCTATCTCTTTAGCACTTTTTTCATAATATATCTTACACAATAAATAAAATACAACGCGTAACAGCAGTCATCATAATATATCTTACACAATAAATAAAATACACGCGTTACAGCAGTCATCATCCAATTAAAATAAATGCATAAATTAATGATAATAAGACAGTTCGATTTATTTCTTATGAATAATATTTTACAGCAATATGCATTGCATAACGAAAAAATTCATTCCTTGCGCCTTGGGTAAATTGTGTACGGCATTCGATGATATTTCAAGTTTTAAAATTTAAGGCATCATAATTTTTATCTTGTACTTACTTCGTACACAGCCAAGTCGATACCAGCGTACGGAATTATTCCCATTAAATTAGGAACATAGCCTCTATAAAAAGATTTCCAACCGCCTTGCTTATATATCTTCCTTGTTGCGTCTATTAAGCCTGAATACTCTCCCGTTTTCCTCAGTGCGAATCTAGTTTTAAGCACCTGCAATATATCACGAACAATATCACTACAAAATAATAAATATGTTACATCACTATTAGGATACACAATAATTTCATACCTCAAGTGGATATATGGCTGACTGACTGATCCCTCCGGCTAAAGAACCAGCCATCAATCGTTCATAAAGTCCAAGCTCTCTCACGTCGTCTCCTTTAATCGTTCTTTTAATTTGCTCGTAAGCCATGAATTTCAGCGCGCTCTCTGGTGCAATTTTAAGTACGTTTATACCATTTCCTCTCCACAGACTAATATAGCCACCCTCGCGCAGCATATACCTGAAGCAACTTTTGATTTTGCAGTGTTGCGTTCCATGAACCTGAAAGCATTCTTCTTCGTAAAGCAAACAGAGAGCTGAATTCACTTAACTGTGACTTCAATATTTAATACATATTTAATATTTTAATCCTATTATTTATCAAACTCTAATATCTACAATGGCTCAACGAAGTATGTTTATATAGCGCATTTAGATGATACAGAACAATTACAATTACAATTCATTATTATATTGTCAAAATTTGAAACCAGTTTGAAAACGTTATAGAAATTATAATGTATTTATTGTACATGGTCTCATTGAATATCAAGGTTTATTGATATAACAGACAATTAACTACTCAAACGTTCTTCTGGTATCTACTTGCATCAAATAATCTCATAATACCCAGATACATCTTCAAATTTGTTTCAGACTTTGCCAATTTCATTTCATTACAATATTAATGAAATTTTAAAGACTTTATGTCTGTCATAAGACAGAGATAACATATGATAATACAGAGATAAATGTATGTGTACACATGTCCAAATACTTTTATGAGCTATACGTATGTACTTGTGTGTATCTTCTATTTTTTCCTCTTTCTGATTTTTTTCAATCTACTTCGTTAATTAATTCTTCTTCTAGTCTTCTGTAAATTTAACAAATTACATTGCATTCAATCAAATAACTTGTGTTTCCTCATTTAACTTTACAAAAACGCTTCTCTGTGGTACTGTTTGGTACAATGAAAAACTTTTATCGAGTGACTTTTTTTCTATTGTAAACTCACTTGTAGATAAACCTTGGCACGATCCAGAGGCGCGGTACATGTGCGTGATACACCACCTGCTACACCACCAGACACCAAATGCCGCCACCACATTCCAGAAACCATTTCACCAGTTGTGAAGTCCTCCGGAACACCGATATCCTCCCCAATATCCATATACTGAAAAAGAAAAAAATAATTAATGTAATTATTACACCTTATTTTTTTCCCCCCTACAAATAAATATTCCAATCGATGTACAAACCGAAAATGAACCTCCACTTTGCATATTGAAAGGAACTGTACCGCGAAAACACGGTTTTAACTTCGATAAATCGTGCATGATTATTTGATTAACGATTAACCTTTTATCCGCCATATTTTGTGACACTTGTAACAGTTACATGTAAATATATGTATTTCTTATGGTTGCCAAAAGACGCTGAAAATCCCTTGACAACTCGTAACTTTGTCGTCAGTATCTTTGATCTAAGTATATATATTCAGGGTGTTTCTATTACATTAAATCGTGAATTTAAAACCATAGAAAATAGATAATAATTCTATTAAACAAATATATATGTAGTTTCGAGTATTGTGTCATGTAAATAGTACATACATATTATGCACATGAAGTGAAGACATTGTAAATTTTTAAATCACTCCTATTTTCCCAAATATATACGTACTACTTCACGATGCAAATTTTGCACTTTAAGTTACGAAAGTTTTATTATTCATCTTCAGTTTTAAACTTACGATTCAGCCCAATTAGATATTTAAAATAATTATTGAATAATATACTGAATACTTAATTAATTTCAAATTTATTATTAATTTTAATTAATTAATATTTTAAAAAATTTTTAAAACTCATTTAAAAAAATAATCTGTATCCTAATGCATTTCGAGCCAATCATCTGCTCTTTCTATCGGCGCGTCGCGGTAAAATACACATATCTGACTATATTTCGCTGGTAGTTCGAGTACAACAGGTCAGATAATTCTTGAACTCTGATCAGCAATGTACTTTTCAGACATAGGCGGCTTTTTCAACTGTTTTTTATCAGTCCCATACGTTACATCATATTTTGCAATTAACATCATTTTTCATACAATTCATAAATTCTACATAATCTGTGTCTTCTACGTAATGCAAGAGAATTTTTGTTTAAAAAAATCATTTCCAACGATTACGAGGCACCATATAAGTACATAGATATTTGAAGAGCAGCCCGACATGAAAAATCGAAAGTTTTAGACAATCCTGTAGTGAAAGTTATGCAAATTAGAGACTGCCTTTCGTGTGATGTTCAAAAATTTCTGATAACTTCCAGCGATACCTCTCTTCGTTGGATCTCTGGTCTAAAATACAAATTTTAGACCACAAATGAAACGAAGAAGGGAAGAACATTTAGCAGTTTTGTAGACATGTTAACGATCCAGGTAATCAACCTCAAACGCATTTTACCGCAAATAGCTAATTGCATAATAAGTTAGTAAATCTTTTGGACAAACAGATGCTCGTTATTAACTTGACATCTACGTTATTTATTTTTTTAAATGTCCTTGGATTAGAAATGGACAAAGTCATGGACATAACATTTATATACATTTTTGCTCTTCTGTTTATCTGAGAACATCAAAATATTTCGAAAAGCGTGAACAACACGAAAGCACATCTCAAACGAAAGTTGTAGAATATAGAGCACGAGTAGTGATATGTGTTTGACCTTGAGGTAACCACGAAGCATCGGTTTATGTTAAAATTCTTAAGTGAATTCCTGCATTTTGTTACAACATATTCTAATGCTTGATATCCGGGCTTTTCGAAGACACTATCTATACATGTATTTTTCATAAGACGTGTGTTGTTGAGTTATTACCTTTCAAAACGTGCCTCGGTACCGGATTAGCATTACCCGGTCTGCTCGGTCGAACTTTGTATATCACGATGATCCCAAAAAGAGCAAATTTTCTGTGTGTACACATGCATGTATGCGTGTAAATTGTTCAGTTTAATTATTTATTAATAATTATTTATATTTATTTATATATTTATATTTATAATTATATCATAGAACGTTAAAGAGAATGGAAGGTTGCATTCATTTCGATGGATACATTCAAGAAAAAAGACGAAGAACCACTACGATGTGCAAAGTTCGATTGGGCAACGGTTGTACGTGTGCACGTCAGGGAAATGCTAATGCCGACGTCACGTTTTTTAAAAGATAATAATTCATCGATATTTTATGAAAATTATTTGTATAGACTGAAGAGATATAAAAATATGCTATAAACAATATAGCGATCCATTTAAAAATTCCAACACAGTTGCTACACAAGGTCATGCACGCGCTCCTCTGTATCCTACAACTTTTGTCAAAAACATTTTTTCGTATCATCCATACTTCTCGGAATATTTTGTTGTACTTGAATAGACTAAATATATACTAAACCCGCGTCTTATTTATTTGCACATAAGTACTTATATTTTAAATAATTATTAAGTACTTTTTTTATACATAAGTATTTATATTTTATAGAAGTACTTATGTTTTAAACGTATAAGTGACCATAGACGAAAATATACGACAAAGTCATTCTTCTCGATGGAACAGCAAAATTACCTGTGTAACAATAAAAAGTTTAGACTTTATTTTCACCTTGCGGAAAATTACGTTTAAAAAGAAAAAAAAAAAAAGAAAAAATATACTGTAAAAGAACCTTGACGCAGTCAGGTTTCACTGAATTAGATTTCGACCTTGCGCATCGACCTTTTAATTGATTACACAAGCAGCTATTATCGATACTTTGTGCAAAAGCGTTACGTGCCTATTAATCGCGAATTTATTCGCGCGAAATATCGAATGATTGGTGAAACTCTATGATCAATTTTCCGACTGCCGCAGTTCACTCGAAAAAAAAAAGAAAAAAAAGAAAAAGATACATTTCCATTGAATCTCTCGAGCAATGCTCTAGATTTATTCCAGTTTATTTCAGTATAAAGAGCTGTGTCAATGCTCGAGGTTGGGATGCGATGGAATCCGATAGAAACAAACGGAGAGGCCATCTTTGTGTATTGCGAGAATCAGTCGTTCTCGGGATCGTTGGGTCGACTGCGAGAAACGACTAAAGTAAATCGCGACGAGTATCGATCGTAGATACTTAACTTTACGTGAAACTGAAGTACGATATCTGTATCGATATCTACGCTGTCCATCGTGGAACGACAGCTCTTTGTACTTTTTTTTTCGCAACGGCGAGGAATTCACGTGAAAACTGAATAAATCTAAAGAACGACTGAAGGGAACGAAGAAGTATGCAGCTTTCTGCGATTAAGCCGGGCCAGAAGCCAAAAAGTAATTTGGTATCTCGCCCAGCCCTCGCTTCAAAATCTACGATTTGACCATTGTTCTTCTTCTAACGTGAGAACACCTTAATCACGTGACTGACCGCTAATTTTGAATTTGGCTAAACGGAAGGACCAAACTTTCGAACTGAATAAATTAACACAGCAATTTTAGAACAGAGCAATTAATCAACCAGCGGCAGTTCTTGACTATTTTTGAACATGTAAAATACCAATGATGCTTGACGATGTTAATTAATGCACCTTTTGTTACTTTTTATTCAAATTAGCTTTAAGCTGAAACAATAAATTACAGTGAAGAGCGCACATAACGATGAAAGCTAGAACATAAAACACCGCGTATTGCTTTTTTTTTTTGTACTTTACGTACGAGTACCCAATAAAATTGTTTATGTTAAAATTTTACACATGTGTTCAGTTTTTGTTCATCACTATGTATGTTATGTGCGTTCTTTTAAAATTGACATCAGGATTTGAAACATATATTAAAAAAAACTATAATATGCGATTGTAAATACGATATAAAATTATAATGTGCAATACAAGTGTTTGCGTACCAAAAATTATACTGATCGTGCGATATAAATAATACGAATAAAAATCTTTTATTTAGATTTTGATTAAAAGTAACATGCGACATCTTTGTACAAAGGTCGCTTATTGTTAGTATTAGATTTAAAAAAAATTCAGAATTATTATGGTTCTTAAGAAATTAAAATTTTTGCAAGATAAGAACGAACCGCCGGTTCGATAATCACGTGGATCTCGTATTAATCTAGATACGTTAAGAAGCTTTGATTAAAATGACATTCTGATAAGTCTATCAATCGCGATTAAATATTTAACATTTCTGTTCTTTTGACTTTTGAAACTATTCGTCTGCCCTTACAAAAGAATATTGATATTTTTTCCATACGTATTTTAAATCGTATAGAAGCTTCCATGTTTTTATATTAAAACTGAAAGCATGTCTGATATTTTTCTATATCAGAACGTAATAGCGAAGATAGTGAAATGCGCAAAATACGTAGGCGTACTTTAAATCGTAAAATACAAATGAAAATGATGGCGGTTAGAACTTACGGGAAAATCGATATCAGAACTCAAGTGTCAGGTAACAATCGCCTGGTCACGGGTTACAGTAAGTTAAGTAGTTACTTTATATTAAATTATCACGTATATTTGTTTCAGAAATGTATAGCAATTATTTTGCTGCACTGCCGTTTCTGTATAATTTTTTCCAACATCCCCTGCTTCAATGGATTAAAATATTAAATGTAAAGGTTTTGTCAACTTCTATACAAATACATATATAATAAAATTATATAACATATATAAAAATAAAAATTTTACACAAATATAAATCCACAATGATGAAAATTTGAAAACTTTTCTAGAAATAATCTGTTTTATTTGCATTATATATATACATGAACGTTGTACTCTATTAATTATACAATACTCCTACCCAAATATCTTCCAAAATATATCTTCATTTCTGACAATCAGTACTTTACATAAAATAAAAAGAGCAAATATTCATAGATAGCAATACCATAATTTAATTAAAAATTTTATTATATATGTAATTTCTAATACTTAAAAAAAATTTCGGTCTTAAAATGATCCCACAATCCATGATCTACAAATCAACTATCATTTGTTTGCCTATTTTGCTTAAAGATCATTATGAAATTTTCTGTTGAACACATTAAAAGTATCAACTATGAGCAAGTTCTCACGTAAAGTCCAGTTCGAAGTCTCAAAGGTTACAGAACAATGTAGAATGGATGCAAAATGATTTAGAATGAATCGTAGAAGGGAAAGGATTTCTATTCATGATAAAATGTAATTTCATTTGCATACTATATATATACATAAGTCGTTGTCCATTTTGACAACGATTATCGTTTACCGCTGTACCATTTATCAATGCTAACTACTTCCTATTTAAATATCCTAATAGATCGCATTAATCGATCTACATCTTGTTTCGCGATATACGTCGATAACTCAAGGTACAAAACGAATCTTCTTATTAAAGGGTGCTTCTCGAAATTCCCAATTAATTCCCAACGAAATTTACTCGAGAGATACATTTCGAAAGAAATGCTTGCTTTCTCCACCACGTTAACCACGTGACATTTTCAGACATAACCTGTAAGCGGCCGCATAACCTCTTTCATCAGACATTGATATTCGTATTTCTTGAACTATCCATTTGCCTATTTCAAAAAGTAATTTTATCGTTGTTCCTAAGGTTCTCAAGTTTCATAAATCTAATTCTAGCGAAATAGTGAAAGTTAATCGATACGATCTTGAAACAAGGCCTTTAATTCCCTTTCCCTTACCGTAGAAGTACATTTGCCGTTCGCGACGAATTGAAACCGTAACGAAAATTCTTAACCACAAGTTAATTGGCTTTGTTGTTTCTTTTGTTCCTTACAAATGATTAATAGGTTATTACCGCGGAGAGAGAGAGGGGGGAGAGAGAGAGAGAGAGAAAGAGAGTCACTTACCCTTTGCAACTCATAATAATTTTGAAGAAATTCCTCACAGACTAAACAGGTAGATGAAATGCAATCGTGTTTCAAAAGTCCTGGATGTTTTATTGTGTACATTATTCCAAGAATGTGATTAAAGTCGCATTCACTGAACGATACTTTCTCTCTCCTTTGTGAGAAGGCCGAAGAATCGAGTTAAATCCCGATCCGTACGTACACGAATTCAACTGATTGGAGAGGACGCGTAACGAACGCACCGAACAGAAGTGAAAATATAAATAATGCCGGGCAAAACTTATCAAGCAAAACGCACAGGGAGAATTAAGTAAAACGAGCCTCGCCATTCATCAGCGATTCGAGAGCTCGGAGTCCGATCTCAAGACTGAGGAGCGTCAAGCGCCGAGGAACGCAACGTGGGAATTGAAATAATGATAACGTACGTCTTGATCAAGGAAGCTCCCCACTACCTTCTTACCAGTATCTACAGTATGTATCTCACGTTACTTAAAACATTTTCAATGTCTATCGTAAACCGGTTTTACGACAACCAATATTAATTTATCGAAAAAACGATTATTCAAACTGACGTTTTATTAACTTGTTAATCACGTGAAAATATGAAAGCCACGGGAGAGACACATGTCAAGTCATATGAGAGCAAGTTCAAAATTCAATATTTTGTCAATCAATCGCTTGATATCATTAAGACTGACTTTTTATTAAATTCTCTTTCTATTCAGAAGTACTTGCATCGAATATCTCGATTAAAAAAGGTACTAATATATATTTTAAATATTAAGTATGCCAATCTAATCGTAAAATTTCGAAAATTGATTATATTTTTCGTATCATATTTTTTTTTATATTATACATTGTATATTTCTCTTATAACTTTTATATGGAATAAATGTTAACTTTTAGAATCTAAAATAATTCATGGGATACTGATAACTTTACTGCAATTATTCATTTTTTACGACAACGATTGTATTTTAATTGGTGCGTTGGCACATTTGAGAAGAACGTGTAACCATGTGGCCTATTTTCGCGTGAAAGTTAGCTATTCTGGCACGAAAATTGACTGCCATAAGTGGCAAGCCAACTCGCTATTATGTGTATACAGTTATACCATCGGTCAAAGAAATATTTTAGTAAATTTCCTTATATAAAATGATTACAAAACGAATTGACATATAATCTTATTTTCTTAAATTCCTCTTTTTATTAGATATCTATTTGTAATTTTGTACATCACACTATTGAATCACATGAAATTTACTGTACTCGGATTTAATTGATTTTTATTGTTATATAACAAATATAATGATGTGTCAATACTTTTTGTAGTCACTGTGTGCATGAAAATTTGTAGCCACTACAAGTGTAAAAATTCCTGAATAGAGAGAGTATGAAAAAGTGAAACTGCTTGCGTCAGATTGGTTCCTAGAGAACATTTGAAATTGACAATAAGTTGCACGTTTGCAAACCATATGCAGACTGAAACAGTTTCAAATATAGGACAGGTGCATTACGGAAATACGCATGTGAATAATGAAATGAGTCATCGTCTTAACAGGGGTCTGATCGGTGGATTTTTAAGCAATTTTTTTACTTCCGCTGTCGGAGAAAATTGAATATATTCCAACGTGCGCTAAAAAATTGAATTTTGAAAACATATGCAAACACTATAACATACATTCGGCAAATATAAATAAAAAAACAAAGCTAATTCATGACGTTCAAGATATTTTACTATCTTTCAAAATTCGTACACATTTAAAATCTGATGCATAATATTAATATCGAAATCATTTAGCAATAAATTGCCGTCTGCAAATTGTCTATAGACAATGACCTCGCGTAACGAATCATTGTGTGTATATATGTATACGGCTGACGAAACATTGCGAAATATTTCACCACTCTGAGAATTTCTGCCACTTACGGTTAAGTACAAAAAACAAAAATGACAGGAAACAATGATAATTCTCCTGAAATATTAAGCCTCGATAACCTTTGATCTAATTTATTGTTTACAAATAACAACAAAATATTGACTTCTATCTGTTTTTTGTTCTTGATCGTTCTGACGTTCTTTTAAACAGTAATCCCGCGTTTCGTGTATACTGTTTATAACAATTACACAAATTAGGTTGTTACTTCAAATTCTTATCATTAATAAACCTCGGTACGGCCGAGTGTCTCAGACAAGAATCTTGTAACGCAAAACAATTGCAAAATGAAATTAAGAAACACCTAATATTTGAACCTCTTGCGCTAGTAACTGGTTCACGGACTATGAGTGACCAAATATATATAATAATTCGTCTTCTTTTTGAATTCATCAGTACATCACTGGATAGAAATTACCAAGAAGTAATAAATTTATTCGTCATTCAAGCATCATTAAACGTCGAGCATTATTGCATCACGTTATTCAATGGTTTCTCTTCTATCAGATGAAAGCATAAAAAAGAGAAAAATCGATATGAAGTTCCAGCTAATATTTTTATTTCAACATTCTCACTGTTATAAGATTCTGTCTCAAAGATTTTAGTTCCATCTTCGTGAAACATCATTAGTTTCTTTATTCCATCCCATATATTCTGTGCTGGTGGTAAAATACAGTGCCGTATAAGATTAGGGCGCATGTGCAAAAAAAAAGAAAAGAAAAGAAAAGGACATGGTCCGACTGAACAACGCATGCGTGACAAAATGAAGTCAGAGAAATGTGGTAGAAGCAGCTGGAAGGCTACCAAGGTCATTTTGAATGACAATCGCTACGTCACACCTCCGGTCGAGCCTTCTCTGTCGACGAATCAAAGGCCTGAATCGACACAATCATTTTCCCATACACGTAAGCGCGTACGAACACACGCAATACACGCATGTACGCGCGCGAGTTCATCGTACAATTAGGTAAATAGAGTAGTAGACGGTCTCAGAATTATTTGCGTTACTACTGCAATCGATGTTTCGACAAATGTAAAGCAATTCTATGCCAATTAATAATAGACATAACTTGGATTAGAAACGAGTCAAAGAATAATAATGAAATAATACACAGCGATTTTTGATATGTATTAGTTACTTACGTTGGTGTGATGCCAGTATTCAATAAGACCCAGAAGATCAGTACTCGGTGCATAAAGCAAAAAATCTCGCCACTCGTTGAAACTTATAGTGAGACTTCCATCTTTGTCCATTCTAGAATACGATATTATGGAATTATATTTGATTTTTTGCACTTGTATCAATTAAAAGAATTTCAATACCTGATATGAAAATAAAACATTGAAGTAGTGAGATTTATCATGGATTTAACTCACCGCTGCAACAATTTCTTTGCTTCGTTGTAATCCATCTTTATTCCCAATTCTTCGAATGCTTTTATTAATTCCTCTAGATCGATTTTACCTGTAAAAATGAATCTTGATTATTATACGGTAAAGATTAATAATTCTATCAATGAAATACTAACAAGTAAACGAAAAAACGAACAAGTAATGATTATGAATTTGTAAGCTGCGAATTGTTTGTTTGACACTGATAATGAGTAAATTTAAAATTGTCAACTATATAAAATCATAGAAACTTGTTATTCATACAAAGCGATTTCTTATCCACTAATAACATATTTTTTATGAAATTTCATTCGGATATTATATATTTGTTAGATATTATATATTTGTTAAAATTTAATTTTGAAACAAATTTTTTTTCATTGGCGTTACTTTATTTGATGAATTTTTGTTCTTTTAAAGATTCAGATCAAAAATCAGAATTCAGATCACGTTATGATTAATAGAAAATTTTACCAAAAATGGAATAAATATCATACAAAAGAGTATTTTATCTCATTTAATTATTTTTACGTTCAGATAACATCTAATTGTAGTAGAATATATTTCATTAAAATAGTATCTAAACATCAATGAATAAGAAATTACTTCAAATAAAATTATCTTGGAAAATCGTCAGAGAACGTAAACACTTTCGTGTTTTCTATTATATAGTGAATAATGAACATTTTTTCGTACATCTACTGACCATCCTTATTCTTGTCGAGATGAGAGAATTGTAGGCGCAGATTTTTCTCGTGTTCGCGTACATAGTGTATAAATTCGGCAAGTGTAATGTCGCCGCTCTTAGTACTGTCAGAACTGGCCAAAAATTTCTGAAAAAAAAAAGAGAAACATTTAAGTTATATAAAATTCATTTAAGAAATTAACACACGTATATACGTGCAACATAATGGCTTCTTTGAATTTTTATAAAAACGAAAAAATATTTTGTTACAGTAATTTTTATGGATCAATAAAAGAGATTTATTTCGGAACGTTAGGATAGCATTTTTCCGTTGAAGCTTTAAAAAAACACTATAAACTGGGTATTAACCTTGATGAAACCATGTAAATTGTATTAATTGTATAACTACAAACTGCAGAGTGAATATACCTCGTTCGGCTTCGAGAATATCAATGACAACCTTCCTTAAATTAAATAAAATCGTACGAACATCTTAAATCATTTCTGTTGCAATAAATTCAAGGTCGTTACTATGTAGATTAATTAGAATAAAAATTAAATGAGAAATATATATTGTTCAATAATGTATTAAACAACTGAAAGATGTCATGTAACGAGTAAAGTTCAAGATTTCAAAGTTCATGATAAACTTTACTCGTATTATGTCAGATCTCCCACATAAACTATTTTACACTATTATTTTATAATATAACTATTGCAACTATTATTTTATGATAAATATATTTATGGCTTGTATTTTTTAAAAATATTATTTATTATATTTTGTACAATATACTCAAATATAATTTCTCCAAAATTAGTAAACATTCGATAAATAAAATTTTTAAAATCATTAGAAATTAAAATGGAATACTTACATGTATCGTGCTTTCTCTATTAGAAATCAAACTTTTTACGCGATGTCTACGATTAAACGCGTTCAATGAAATCATATAGCTTTTTGAAAGCTTTCATAATATATTGTCCTTCATAAAGTATTGTCTCAAAAAACATCGTATATATAAGAAACGACTTTTACTTGATAGTTGAAAGTTGCATGCATGCATATCCGATCCAAATTCGATCGTATATTACGAGTGACATTCATTAATTTTAAGTGAACTGCATACATACTGTATTGCCTCGCTAGTTGGCCACATTGGGTTGAGACTAAATCTGGCCAACTAGTAAAGAAAATCTATATCAAAAATTTTAGAGAAATGAAACGAATAGAGCGAGACAATGATACTTCTACGTGAAAACAATCAAATATCGAGACTCGTTCAGTTATAGCAGCAGTGTCACGTTAACTGACCATTGCTATCCCCCACCAATTTTTAAAACTGCCTTCGTAAACGTTGCATTTGCAAGACAAACACGCGTGTGTCAGTTGATCTCACGTACATTCAACAGAAAAGAGAGAATACGTACTTGAAACTTCCTATAAATACACATTTCACGATAGCTGGCCAGGCAAGGTTCCGATTCATGGTCAGTTAACGAAAACGCTATTGCAACGCCAGAACTCCGCTCTATGAAAAAGACGGTGGGGATAGCGATGTCCAGTTAACAAGGCATTAGCAAGGTAACTGGTTCCAGCCAGCCAATTAGCAAAGCAGTACTCTACATAAAATATATATTTGATATAAAAATCCTTAATCGGAAGCTATCTTTGAAAATGTTTTAAAAATACAATGCCACGTATGTACGTGAATGTGAGTTTTTCTACTCGATACTCGAATGTCGCATGCATCTTCTGCATTATGCAGAGTTCGATCGTACTATGCAGCGCGAGCACGAAATATGAATTAACAGGATTGTACACGTACCTCCGCGTAATATTTATCGACACCAACATTACGAAGTGCCTTCGACAGATCTTTCACGTCGATTCTTCCATTTCCATCGAGGTCTAGTTTCTGAAATATCTTTTCAAACCTCTTCTCGTCCTCTGCCGGCAACTCGTGCAGATAGTGCGGTGGCATAACGCCATGCACCGCGCTCCCTCGACCCTCGGGCATTATGTCCGTGTACTTTCTGTATTACAGGATATCAAATCCCTTTCCGATATCTATCCACGTTGACGTTGTCACACGCTCTCCTCTTGCTTCTCTTACTTCTCATGCGTATACGTTTCTCCAATTACTCGTAGATCCTTAATACGATTACTGCACGAGGCGTTTCGATCGTTACACATGCCTACGATTGAATTCATAGCTGCGTATGCACGTGGTGGGCTACGAAACGGTAGACATCGATTTTCCAACACTTGCGGCTTTCTGCAATGCGCTCCTACGTGTTTATTGTGTCGTCAAGTCAAGCAATGCCTTTCGAAGCGTGAAACTGGACAACGTACGTAGAAAAGGGATCTTGGACTTTCACACTTCTTGCCTGTCAAGTGAATTGGCCGTACGTTCACAAGCAGATTGATCGTACATTCACTGTGCAAAGTGATATCATATCACCTTCCCCGCGTTCGTTACCGAACAATTGTCTACGCACAACTAAGCCCGATGCCTGCTGGAACATCCTGCGTATTCAGTACTCAGAGATGCCATCTGGTGGTTAGTTTTAGGAATTTCTTTCACGGCACTTCGATCAAGCAAGGTGAGCGCGCGGATATTTGAACATCTGCCCCCGAGATAGTTCCGAGATTCCGCGATATTGTTCATTTCAATGGATAGGAATTACATGTCACGGCGATAAATTAACGAAAGGTTCACATTCATATGTTGAATAGATAAATATATTACACTCTCACTTATACAGTACACTTTTTTTTAGAAAATACATCAAACTTTTATGAATGTCATACACGATACAAAATGTTTGAAGAACACCTCAATGCGGCGTTATACATTTAAACAAGTGTTTCTCTATTATCGAAATATTCGTGTTCGAAGTTCTTGTATATTTACACTGACTGAAAAGGAAAAAAAAATTCAAAATTGATGTTTTCAAGCGTTTCTTAAAGTACCTCGCAACAGAAGGGGCGAATCGGATCTATGATTTATGTCTATATAAATGCAGCAATACGACACGAAACGGTATAATATAACTTTTATTCATTTCATTTTGAAGTGATCAGAACGAAATCAGGGTAGTAAATATTACTGTGATTGTATCACATATGTATATTATAATACGACTTTTTCCATAGTTATTTATTTTAGAAAAATACATTAAAAATGCCAGACTAACAGTCACGTTAAACACAATAGGCAGCACGTAATGCTATCAAGTATATCAACACCTTTTATGTAAATTCAATATAAAATAAACGCTACAGAATTTCTACTTTAGTTCACGCAAATGATACCCCGACAAAGTAATCTCCAATTGTAATAAAATGCCGAAATGCACATGCACGCATTGCCCATTGTGTTTACAACTAATGTAACAAAAGAAATCTTACACTCGGGGAATTAATTTAACGTAAGTGTCACAAAAGTACTATTAGTACTGCTAAGTGCCAAGTGCTCGCTGACTATATGCATTATATACCGATATGTATATAATTATTATTGTTTCATAATGTTCAAACAAAGAACGTTAATATAGATTGTATGTGGCTTTCATACCATTAACATAGGTACGTGTGTATTATTATACACATAGTGACATGTTTAACATGCAATTAATCTGAAGCTTGCACAAACAGTATTGTTGCGCTTATTACTTCCCAGTGTACACAGCCCTCTTCGCTTTTTATTCTCTATATTTATTTAACGACTCGTACTACGAATAAAAACAAAAAAATAAGAGAAGAAAGAAAAAGAAATTGAAAGGCAACATCATTTGTAAAAAGCGGATAGTCGCTGGATAGTTGATTATAATTCCTTTAAACAACTCAAGGTTTTCAAAGTACTTCAATTGTTTTGTGTAAAGGAATTACATGAAATATCAAACGGCAATTTAAAACTTTTGTGGAAGTAATAATAATTTTAAAAAGATTTTATATATGTGTATATATATATATATATATATATATATATATATATATATATATATATATATATATACTTTGTGTCTGAACAAACTGTGAAAATGGTGCACATTTACAGAAAAGAACCTTTAATCTTTTCACATACATCTCTACTTTAGAGAATGCTTAAAGATCTGACTTAAAATCAACGAAATTTGATTTCTACAACTATATAATATACAATGTAGAAAAGATTCTCCGTTTAACAAGTACTTTGATGTAAAAAGTATAGATTTTGTATATTATTTGTTGCATTCAGGATGAGAAGTTACATGATGGCTCCTTTCTGCAATATTATCACACATTTTCTTTAATCGTTTAATTTTATGTTACGATGTTGAAATATTATCTTACGGCAAATGTGTAATGATTGCAAATGAAGTTTTCACAGACATAATAAAAAAATTTGTACTACATAAACTTTTCTTTTAAAGATGTCATAATTTCATCTGTGAAACCAGTAACAAAATAAATAATAAAGTTTCTAACATATCTTTCAAACATATATAAATATAACTTCAAATCTAAACATAATTAATACCAATGATACCTCCAATACAGAAAAAACAGTTTAATATTTTGCATGTTAGGTATTTTCGAATCTATAATGGAAATACACGTCTTATAAAAAGTTTTTGCATATGAAAATTTTAAATTTACTCCATGTAATTAAAAGTAGCATGGATGTAGCTTGAATGGAAAGAAACGTAATTCTATATACCGCAGTAGAAAAAGTTAATTTTTCATATAATTTTTCTTCACACACATTGTTTCATATATTATGATATATGTGACAAACGGAGGAAACTTGCAACAATAAATTAACAAAACAAATAAAATTGCACCATTATTCGTATTTTTTTTTTTTTTTTTTTTTTTGTGAGAAACTAGCTATGTTCTGAGATTACATTTCTTTCCGTGATCCAAAAAGTAATGTGCCTCCCGTATATTGCAAGAATTCGAAAATCAATATGCGCAATTATACAAAATGTTTCACATGGTCTTTTATACGTTGCTGCGATTCAAAAGGCACATTTTAGTTCGAAAGAAATAATATTCTACTTGAACATATCTAGTTTTGCATAGCAAGGTAAAATAATATTTTCAATGAAAAAAAAAAATAGATCAACTTTCCTTCGATCTCTACATTTCATAAAAAGTCTATGTCACTTCCACTAAAACTGGAATTATGAATATCTATACCACATTATTTCATAAAAAATAGAAGAATCCCGACTATTGTAATGCATAAATCACTATACTGAAAAGAAGTTACAACTTGATCAATGTACTTGTTTTGATCAAATTTTGTTATCACATATACAAAACATTGTTAATATTAAGGGAGTCGATTCTTTTTTAACAAAAAAAAAAAAAGACAAAAACCTTTCGATTAACAGATGTTGTATCAAATGCAAAAAATAGCTATATCAAGAATATAAATTTGTCATCCATAAAATAAAATCTCATTCATATTTTGCTGTGAAAAATATTAACTTTATCTTTCTTTTTTTTTTGTTTTGTTTTTTAATGCAGAGAAAAGAGCAGTATGCTAATATTACATACTTTAATTCGTAAGCAGAAGAAATTAAAATAATAATTACGAGGAAGCCAATGTGACTGTTCCTGTTTCTTATAAGTCCGTAAATCGAACATGTGTTTACAAATGTGAGAGCTGCAGCTCGCATAACAGTCTCTTTACATTATTCTGTAGTAACTAGTGGCTTTCAAACTCTGTTCCACTTTACAAACATAAATTTAGAAAATAGGAAAAGAAACCAAAGAAATTAAAAGATCATAAAATTTTTTACATCTTCTGTCATATTAATCGCTACATCAAATACCATACTTCGAAAACCTGTCTGAAATAAATCAATTAGTCACAGCAAATAAAATAAAATGCAATGTTTCTTTTACCAGGCACAAATGGAATCTATAGTTAATTTTCCACTACATATTGTCAAATAAAGGAAAATTTTATACATATTAAATTTTCCTCGTTTTACATTTTTTCTTTTTTTTTTTTTTTGAATTTTTTAAGTATTTGAAATTGTAACACTTTGTACTTAAAACGTGAAATAGGATTCTTAATATTGATCAAGAAAAAATAGAACAAGAAAATAATCTTTTTGATTTTACAAGAAAAAGTTAATGATCACAAGAAAAATGAATTTCCCAATTTTTCCTCATAATCTCATCGATATATTAACTTTCTCATTAACGAATTGTATTAATTTGAAAACCACTTGTAAATGGTTATTCAAAAAAGAAAAAGAGAAATTCAAATCTGTATCTTAAGATACACTTAGAATCAAAATTAACATCAAACTATGATAAGATGTTACAGGTTACTGTATTTTATTTAGAAACATATTTTCAAATCTGAAAACATGAATCGTAAAAGGAAGTATAGTAAGAAAGCTAAGTATTTAAAAAAATTTTGTTTATCAGCTAAAAATCAATTGTTATGTATATATATTTATTTATATATATAATTAAGATATATATATTTATATTAGAAGCAATATATATCTTAATTATGCAAAATTTTAACAGAATATGTTAATTTTATGTATGCATAACACCTATATGTATCCGTATATTTTTATCGTGTAACCTTGTTGCAGGTTAAATAGCATTCTTTCCGAATGTATCAATAATATAATATTCTTTGCTTCATTGTGCAAACATATAAACAAAATATACTACATCCTGTCATGTTTATAAAACACTGACATTAATTTCTGTTAAATTTTAACAAATCTGCTCTCGTTTGTTTAATTTGTTTTTGTCAATGAATGTCCCCGTTATGATATTCATAACGGAACATCGATCAACCCTTCACCGGTTCTATAAATGTAATTTCAATGCGGCAGCTAACTCTCACTTCTTACATTGATTTTTCTTTATGATAGACTCCCTACTGTAGCTAGTAAAAAATTAAAACGATGCGACTTCCTGCATAACTAAATGTTAATTACTACATCGTCGTGAAGATTTCTTTAAAATCTTATATTATTTACAACTAGATTTATCATCACGTTGACAATCTCAGGAACAAATGTATTCCCGTAGTTAAAGAATTAATATTACATATACAGATGTTTTAAAGACACAGTACGTGAGAAAGTAGTAAAGTCACTTTATATTATGCTGTACCAATAGGAAAATTTTTTACGTTAGTTAAAGTAGGGATGATAAAGTTTTCTATCTATTCATTCAATAGTGTTTGAAATATTGTGTGTTGTTCTCTTTTGATTTTATTCTACAAGACCGTCAAAATGTTCTTATATGCAAACAGTAGAAATTTCACTTACTTTCAGTCATTTCTTTTTTTGTTTTTTTTTGTTGTTTTTGTTTTTTTCTTTTTTTGAAAAATTTGAACATGCTGATGCATAGAAGTTTGCACAAAAAATCATTTGCACATGTTAAAAAAACATGTTCCAGCAAATAATGGTCAGATCTAAAAAGTAAACAACGTAGTAAGACCCACTATCTTACTATTATTTTTTAGAATTATCTTCTTCGTTTGACCAATGTTTCTCCTGTTCTTGTAGTTCAAATTCCCATCGTAATTCTAATTCCCGCATATCATTTGCAATACCTGCTTCATATGTATCTTCCTAAGAACCAATTTTAAGTTTTATATAAATTTTTTGTTAATTATTTTCATACAATGTGAAAAATTTCATATACTTTTTTTAATACAATATCACAACAGCATAACTTACTTCTTCGGGCTTATAATTCTGATGGAAACTTTGAGAACTAAGTAAATTGTTCGATGATTGAATCCAAGGTACGGTACCATATGGACTCCAATTTCGTACGTCTTTTTCTTTTTCCCTGATACCAGCTTCAATCATTTGTAATTCTTGTGCTAACCTTTCTCCCGCCGTAAAAGTCGCTCCTTGTGTAGCAAGCTAAACGTATTAATTTTTACATTAATATTAGTGAATATTTAATTTGAAAATAATAATGAACCTAAAGAAATAGAACCAAATAATACCTTTAAGTCATTGATTTTTTTCTCAAGATGTTTTAATTGTTGTTTTACCTTTTGTGATTCAAGGATTAAGCTGAAATTTTTGAATTTATTAAACATTTACAATAAAATTTATCAAATTCAATGGGGAATTATTAATGAGAAACTAATTGTATGTTAAATATTAGCTTACTCTTTAGACATGCAGTCTGGTCGTGGAAATTGAGTGTGCGTTGACGTATCGGATATATTACGACCAAATGTAATGTAATTATCTCCGAAACTACTATTATTAATAGACTGTATTCCTCCATTTGCACCGACAGTAGCATAAGCTGCAATAAAATTCTGTATCTTTTACTGTTCTTTTTCTTGTTTTTAACACATTTTTTATACTTACGTTGATTACCATAATACCAAGAAGTGACAGAATTTGTAGTTGACACAGGTCGATAAGCAGATATTGTAGGAGGTGCTCCACCATCCGCATAAAAATTAGTAGATTGTACGCCATTAGAAGATCTAAACAAAAATTATATTTATTATAACTTATAAACAATATTATTTTATTTAATAAAGTCATAAAAAAATTATTACCTGATTAAGTTTTTAGATAGTTTAGAAATTGGTCCATATTTACTATTAGATGATGCATCAAATGGTACAAATTCATCATCAAATAGAATGGGATCTGCGCATCGGAAATTATTGTTACAGTTTATATTTGTCGAAGAAACCATTGGATTATTTGGCGCGTTTGTCCATATAGAGAAATTCGATGACAATGTATCTCCCTGCATCTCATAATTCTGCAAGTAAAAAAGAGCGAAATATGTTTTAAATTTTCATTGCAATGTCAACGATAAAAATATTATTGTTCAATGGTCATACTGTTTTCATTTGTGGCACTTGTTTATTAACAATCGTTTCAAGTTGATTTAATATTTCCATCCTACGTTGTAGTAACATTGCTAATGTTTTAGCAACGGTCCGCTGCTATAACATATGAGAATATTTATATACATTATATGCAGAAATATCTTAATATATACAATAAAGCTTACTAACTTACCAAAGGAATAACAAAAAACAATTATATTACCTTTTTAGTATTAGATATTCCATTTGTCATATTAGATGAAATCTGCGACGAATCCCAGATACTGACATTAGGTGCCGTATAATCGATAGGTGTATTAGGCATAATGTAATGAGAGCAATGTACGTCCATATTTTTCGTCGGTACTATAGGTAACATTCCTTGAGGTGACGGTAACATATAATTCGTTAATGACCCGATAAAATTGTTTTCATTTGTTGGATTATGATGTTGCATTGGATTAACTTTGTTCATAGAATTGAAGTCTAAAAGTAAAATATAATAATTTTTTTCTAGAACATTTCGTATTATTTATTTTATACAAGTACTTTCTCTGTATAGAACCTACTTTCTCTGTGAGTATTATCATGCGACTTTATAGAATGATAGGATGAATCATCGTTCTGTTTGAATGTCTTGTTAGATCCTGTAATCGATTTGTCTGTTTTCACATCCGAGTTATTGGATCCAGGTAAACTTGATCTGAGACTTAATTTCCGACTTTTCGATCTATATCTAATGAAACAGGATACATAAATACGAGATACATTTACTTTCTTTAGGTTCAATTTTACTTACTTATCTAGTTCCATATCACTATGCGCAAATGTACAATTAGTAGACCTAGGACAAGACCCTCTAAGTGCAAGATCTCGACACATGCTCACTTTATATTTCGGTTGACCAGGACCTACATTGTGAGTACCATCTTGTGTTTTCCGACTACCATGTTGTTGAATGAATTCTACTAATGCTGTGACTACGGTTCTAACAGCTTCTAATGCTGCTCGACACTCTGCTAACGTAGGAGGTTCAGTTTCTGTAACAAAATTAATCAACAAAATGAATAAACAAAATTGATAGGAATGATTTGTTTAGTAAAAGTTTCCAAAATTGATTATACCTGGGCTAGGATCTATTGCAGCTAGCAATTCTAACTGAGGTCTTAAACTACTTAATTGTCCAGGATCAGGAGTACGTTGAAGAGCGATAACTAACTCTTGTACACTTTGAGCAAAAGATTGTGGAGTTTGAAGTTTATCTATAATACTTTGCATGTGAGATTTATGGCTTGTATCTCCATACAATAATGCAGACCATTGATCAGGTGCTATTCTTAAACCAGCTTCAGTTGCAATTTGCACTATTTGAGCATCATGCTCCCTTCTTAACGCTTCGTACGTTCTAAATTCCTCCTTTAATTGCATCAATGAGGAATCTCCTTCTCGTTTAGATACCTAATCGAACATTTTATAATCGAACGTTTGAATGTTTCTCCTAATAACAGGCATTGAAGAATAATATTTCTTACCTTGAAACAACTTGCTCTGTATAACAATTGTACAACGTGTCCTATACTGGTTTTAGAAGCTTGCGGAAAATGCGACTCTAGACGTTGAACTACAAACATAACTAACACTTTCCTAGAAAGAGCAGATCCATCTTCCAAAGCCAATAAAACAAGTTTTAGGACTTCTTCTTGCATTGCTGATAAATAAAAGAAATGATTATTAATACGGAATATTCTTTCAAGTGACCAATAAGTGGTTACGATAAAATTGCATATTAGGAAGATGATAAATCCCAAATATAAAATCTTAGTTTCAATAATTTGTGCGTTCGAAAAATACATTCTCGTTTAACATAATGTTAAATTCGTGTTCTCAGTATTATTTACCCTAAATCAATACCAATATTTTTTTGCTCACTCAGCATTGTTTGTCTTTAAACTTAACTTCAATCATATTTACATTTTTTATACATTTTTTATACATTTACTAATTGTTAAAAATAACAGTTATTTATTACATATAGGCCTATATCTCACGCATAAATTATGAAGGTTAATATAACTTTATATTTCAAATTTCATCTTCTTAATTAGCCGACACTTTTCAGATATACATACATTATTTTATTCTTGATTACTGTTTATATTACTGTCTATACATATATTTTATAATAATATACCTGGTCCAAGAAATTGACATCCACGAGCTCTTACAGCGGCCCATAGATTGGCATTAAGTTGTTGTGGATTTTGATGTTGCAATATTAGTTCCGTAACCGATCTTTCCCCTAAACTTCTAGCTGCCCTTACCGCACGTGCTCTTCCTTCCGGCTCGACCAATTGACAACCAACTAAAGTTACCAACTTCCTTTGCATAGGTCGAGAAACAAGACCCGCACCTGTTGTTTCGTACAACACAGTTCCAGATTACAGAACATCATGCTGACCAAAACAATCATATTATTAACATTACCTGTAGCTAAAGAAGGATTTGCCTGACATGGTTTGAGATATAAAGCAAGTTCCTCAATGCAACGTTTAGCAACCAAATAATTCGCATGGTCTTCAGGTGGTAGCAGTTTTTGATAAGCTGTTGTGACATTCGTTGGAACAGAATTTCCCACTAACTGCAATAGAGCTTCATTTACTGGTAATCTTTCTATCTCCGTATTAATAATACTCTGAAATGTGTTAAACAACAAATAAATTACGGTCCGCTAGAGGAGATAATCTCACATAAACTCGGAACAAAATCATACATACCTGATCAAAGGGACATTGTTTACGATGTAAGTTTGCAAGGCACGTACGACATATGGTATGACCACATCCTAAGGATATTGGGCCACGTATGGCCACATCGAAGTCATGACAGCAAACTGGACAAGAAAGAAATTCAGTCCACTGTGGTGCCTGTATTGGCATTCTGCAACAAAGTCATACTGAAATACTCCTTTCGCCCTTTGATTTCCACGACACCCCACAAACATCATTATTCCTTCGATACCATTGAAATCAAGATCTTTCAGCATCAACAACTCAAAGATCTATTTTAGACTCTATCTACATTATACTCGTTTACGTTCGTTCAATGCAAGGAATTCGTCGAGTTTACGTACTGCGCTTTGACGAAATGCATCTTGCGATAAATAATCAACCGATTTCGGCAGACGTGCAGCGAGAAACGTGTCTGGCAAGCAGTTCAGCCAAGTGTGATCTATTCGTGAGATTTTCGTTTGACTGGTTCGCGAAACGGTGAGAAGCTCAGCCTCGATCGCGAGACATTCGTCTAATATGGAACATACGTAAATCTCGTCGAGACAACAACAACGATTTGCTTATCAATTGTTTTCTACGCGATGATCATTATCTCGTTTGCCTTCGATATCTCTCCAGAGCACGTTCGATCGACGTTTTCTCTCAGGGGAGAAATGCTGCGAAGGAGCAATATTTCTTCGAAACTTAGCACGTCCTGATCACGCAGTCGAATCGAGAAATTTTTGTGTTGCTGTCGCGCTCGTGTTCGTCGAACGTCTGCTCTATATAGAGTAAAAAAAGAAAACAAAAAAAAAAGAAGACGACATCCGCTTTCGCCACGAGGAAATATGTCGATGCGACGTGATTGTTTTTTTTCTCTGTTTTCCTTCTTTTTTTTTTCTCTTTCGAAAGTAACGAACAATGGAACGGAAACTCACCTCGTTATTGCCCTCACAAAACATCACAATTCAACTACTCGGTCTCTTCGCGCAGAGTTCCGCCATCGGAAGCAAGAACAGATGAATCACAAATCGCAAGATGAGCTCAGCACGGTACTCTTGCGTGCTTTTTTACCTCGCTAGAACCCCATGACGAAAACAATCTAGAAAATTTCATCTTCCAGCTCCTCACGATAGAGAGCGCTGCAAATAGTCAACTATATAATACCAAGTTCTCAACGTTCCCGCGGATTAAGATTTAAATTACACGCGCGCACATCCGATTATTATACGTTTATTTTTTACAGCCAATACCTCAATGTACTTTCAATCTTATACGTTCTCCATTACTTTGTATATTTCATACGATTATCATAAAAAATAACACATTCTTCGATATGTACAAAAAGACTCGAAATTCGATATTTCAGTAATTCATTTTTATTCACGAAAATTTCGATGGATCTCCTAATCCAAAAGATAAACGAAGTGTGTAAATCACTGATTGGTTACTGACGTTAGTTTTTGTAATTAAAGTCAGTTCATCAGTGATGCTATGTTCGTTTGTTTCCGGTGATCGCAATCGAGTTTCGTATCTGGCAAAAATTACGGAACACACGATTTGTTTCTCTCGGTTCGCCGTCGCGAGATATATTAATAACTGACAGTACCTAGTCCCTAGATACGAAGTACGGTGGACATGCATTCCCCTCGCCCAAGATTCGTATGATTTTTAACGTATCGAACGAGACACGACCGCAGCTGTTCGTCTGAATCACCGAAACAAACTGTTTTACAGTGCCGATACGTTGACAAGGTAAATTCTAATTGAACATGATACCACAGAGAGATGAACCCCTATTCTCCGATATTGCGCTTCGTATGTTGATGAACACGGTCTCGCATCCGATCGAGTACGCGAAAGTTCTAATACAGGTAAAGACATGTACAGTGACACGATGTTTGATGGAAGCTCATATAATTTTTATTTATGACACAACAGATCGGATATGAACCGATTCCACCACGACCGACAACTACTTTATTCGGACAACCGGCTTTAGCTTTGCCTAATGTTTTTCAGTATGGTATGCAGTTTTACCTTCTATAAGTGTTAATTTAATCTGGAAGATTTTGATATCATTTGAAGTCATTCTGATTGATTACTTTGCAGTTAGATACATTAAGAACGTAGACGGATTTACTGGGTGCTATCGTGGTCTTGTCCCAAAATTATGTGCCTATACTGTGAGTGCTGTAGCTTTCGAAAAGACATCTAAATGTATTAAATTTAAGGATGAACCAAGCAAAGAGATCTATGATGGTGATCTAGAAGAAAGGTAAATGTATAACACATGTATGTATAAAGTTTGAAAATGAGAGTTGCAAAGATATGTACATTATCTTTTTTTTTGTTTTTGTAGTCAGAAGTATAAAAAATGTATATACGAATTCATACGAGACCTGATTAGTAGAATGATTGGTATTATAGTTAGCCATCCATTGGATGTTATCGCACTGAGGATGATGGCACAGTTTGTTGGTGGAGAAACAAAATACAAGTATTTAAATATTACAATATGGAAAATACAGATATATGTATAGAATATATATAGATACCATATAACACAAAATATATATGATGTAGTTTCTTCTCAATTATAGATGATATTTTTATAGTTATTTTCTTTGTTTCATGAATTAATAGTGGATTATTTAGATCGATTGTGGAAGTGTACAAAGAGAATGGAATCATGGGATATTATGCAGGATTATTGCCTCGCCTCATTGGAAATGCTGCTGTACTAATGCTAGTCAGTTCATGTACTTATGCTATTGATAAGTACATTATAAGCGATCGCGAATTGAAACCTTATGCAGTTTCCACAATAAGAGTAAGTAAATTAATTATTTAATTAATTAAATAATTAATTAAAGCACGTGTATCATCATAAATATTATAACTTATTCTTTACAGTTCATAGCGACAACAATTACATATCCATTTTTAGTGGTATCACATTGCATGGCAGTTAATAATTGCGGGTAAGTTGATTTCAAATAATGATAATTTTTCATTTGAAACTTTTGCAAGTATTAAAATAAATACTGATTTAATAAATTTTATTCATTAAGGTTAATTGCTGGTCTTCCCCCACAAATGCCAATTTACAATAGCTGGTTAGATTGCTGGTCCCATCTTTCAACTACCAATCAATTAAAAAGAGGGAACAGCCTTTTATGGCGTTATTATACAGGGCCGCAAGTGATAATTAATGGAAAACCAATACCTATTAACAAATACAATTTCCACTTACAAAGCACAACATAGTAATAAAATATTGCATTTACTTGTATTTGAAAAACCAATAGTAAAATCACTTCTGTGCTATATACTTTTTTTTTTTTAATTTACTATTATAGTACGTTGTTGCATTTATATATTCCTTAGAATTGATCCTACTTGTTATTATATCAAATATTAATTAAAGACATTTTTCTTTGGTATATATATTTTATCAAAAAATCTATAATCCATATTGAAGACTGAACAAAACACAAGTATTTGGTACATATACAAGTATTAATACAAGTAATAACATTAATGAACACAGTTACTATTATTATTATTAATTTAATAAATAATATTTCCTTTGATCTGCATAATTACATATAGATTACCATTTAAATAAAATGACTTCTTTCTCTTAAGATAGATCATGAAATAGAAGTAGTTACCCTAAATAATTTTTTTTATATTTGTATTGCATTCGACAATAATTGCTCAACTAATATTTAATTATATGATGTGTTTCATGTATAAAATGTATAAATTGATATTATACCATTTTGAAATTCTAATCTTATATAGAGTAACTATCTTCTAGAAGAGATGAGCTTTTATAGAATTTGTACAGATATGAAAACAAATAAGTATAATAAAAAATTAAGTTATGCAAACAATATTCATTCTATACAGATTTTCATTTGTTGCAGACTTGCAAATATAAATATGTTTCCTACAATAGTTATTCTATAGTTTTTTATATAAAATTGGAAATTAAAAGGAATTTTCGATAAAAAGTAAAATTCCTAAAAATAAAAAAAAAATTCGATGTGCGATTTTTATTATTTATTATTTTGTTAATTTTAATCAATTTACAACATGATTATGTCATTAAGCATCAAGAAGTTTACATATTGCATTATCGAGTTGTATTTCTCTTCTTAAACATCCTATAAATACTATATTGAAATCTATATTATATGGTGTTTTCCCAATTTTTGTATAAAAAAAATATCGACTCGAAGTACAATTTTAAATACACGTGTGTCATTGGATATTATATTTGAACTTTAATTTGTCTATGCAATGCATATGAATGTGAATATTGAACAAAATCATGAATACATTTTTTTAACATATATCGTTTCATTTTAAGTTTTGTTTAAGTAAAAAGATCTTGTACTTAAACTTTTTTTGTAAGCAATAAAGACATTTTTATCATAATAGTTATTCACTCATGTTCCAGTCTACAAGATATTGCTCCAACGGTAGAAGAAACATCAGCTACTGAGTTTAATATATAATGTTATATTTATAATCTCTAGACATTATAATATCCTTGTTTCAGATTTCTACTCTAATTCCTTTATATTAAATATCATTTTTGGTTTAAACCTATTATTTTTATTATTATACATTTATTTCAAATAAAGTTATACTCTACTTCATTGTTATATAAATCTGTTTGAATATTAAAATGACCTAAAATATTTTAACGAATACATCCATAAAAAAATAAATCTTAAAAAATTAATTTGGTCAATCTAAAATGATCTTACATTACGTATAAAGTTTTACTAAGCAAAATATTAAATTTACACAATTTATTGACGTTATGTATTTCTTATATGAAATAATAAAGGAGATTTGTGACGTTTTTCACTCGGCGAGTGTATTCATTACATATTTTTAACTTAATGTACAAGAATATTCGTGAATAAATATGGCAATCCAAATATAAGTAAGCCTAAAAATTGACGACGAATTATACCCCTTAATTTTACTAAGTCAAAGGAATACATTTCCTCAAGGTAAATTTACGTACATAACTTTACTTTATTTTTTTTTTTAGTTTATCGCTATATCTCTTTTCTGTATCTATACAATTCCATGTCTTTCAATAATTTATATATAAGGTAATCGATCTATTTTATTTTAATTTTTCTGAAAATTTAATGTCATGCAACCACAGGTATCACTATAGAACTGTACATTATTTGGTTGATCTTTTTTTTTTTACAGTGTAATAAAGATTCGAACCATTAACATTTAATATTTATTTAACAAATATTATCTTATGCTATTAGATATAACAATATCTCAAGATTGCTATCAGGTTTACATTGTATAATTAATAAGTTTCAAACTGTATATACATCGAAGAATACTGTTTGTCCAGGAATGTTTTAAAAAACCAATTAAGTATGAAGCATGTTTCTCGATTGTAATCACCGTAATCTAAAATACGTCTTTGTACATTTAACATAATAAATATGCAATATATTAGTGGACTGTTCAGTATTCACATTCCTTGGCGAGAGTTTTCACAAATGTCTTGCAAGTTTTCCCATTCAGGAATCTATCTTAAATATTGCGTAATAAAAGATTCTCTCTTTTTCTTCTTTAAATACTACGTATATACAACAATACATATTGATCGGTATAAAAAAAAGAATGGAACTTAAAATAAATAAAATACTAACATTATTGTGGCAGTATAGTACTTAACTCATTAATAGAATGTAATTCCTTTGAAAAGATATGATCATTATCTTATGATAATCTATTAATTAAAATTTTATTGTTTTCATGATATTGTTGAAGTCGTATAAATTATATATTTCATCAACTTATAATTGTTCCCAAAATAATTAATTAACAATAATCTAAACTATACATTTTAATTATCTTAGAATAATTCATAATATAAAAATCCTAATTTATTAACAATCTGACAATATTAGTCGATCTTTATACTAAACAATTTTAAATATTTTGACACATAAAACAAGTTTTTGCTATTCAATTTTATCGCCGAATAATATACTACGTTTTGCGTGGAAAAAATTCTAAAGTAACATCCTTTTTAATGTTCATTCATTTCTATTTGTGGCTGCTAAAAGAGTAAATATCCGTTAATATAAACATTTTCTCTTTATCCGTATTGTAGAGGATACTTGTAATGCAAAATTATTTGCTCGTTGAATATTTCTAGAGTATGGAACTTTATGTATACTCTTTTCATAATGTATGCGATAGTTCTAGAAATTTAGTTAGAGAAATGTACAAAATACTGAAAATATAATAATCATTATTCAAGGGAGTTTATATGTTCGTAGTAACAAAAATATCTTTCTTTTTTTTTTAGTATTACATTTACTATGGAAAATTGACTCATACTTTTATACATATGTATAATGGCCAATTTTTTATTATACTCCAAACTATCTTGTATATCCTGTTCGTCAGGGAGAGGAAGAGAAAGGGAGGGGGGAAGGGAGAATTTAAAACCATATTTTAGAAATTACCTACACATTATGCTAAAAGTTTACGTACCTATTCGTTATGTTGTCGTAATATCTTATATTCGTACTAATATTCATACAACAGTTCGACATTTTTTTTCAAATATCTACTGTTACAAATAGCGTTAGCATATAATTCGTTATCATTCTGCATAAAGTTCCATCATCTCATTATTCTTTAAAGTATAACTTGATGTATGACAAGTATTATGCAGTTATTTTTAGAATTATTCGACAAGTTATATAGATATAATTTCATTATTTAAAATATCGTTGATCATTCGATTAGGAATAATATATATATTATATATATACTGGAAATAATAATTTTCTATTATACATTTTTTAAATAATTCGTGTTTGACTATAAACGTAAATTAGGCCATCGCAACAGTGCAATAAGTTTCGTTCGATACGAATGGTTACAATTAATCGTAATTAGTGCACACAGATTTCTACCTGAATAAAGACATTTACTTCGAGTCTTTTAGCTTGCCTTAAAAAAAATAAAAAAAAGAAAAAAAAGGAATATGTATATGCACAACATTTTAACATTTATTATTTATCTCACATTTCTATTGTAATAACCATTTGTTTTCACTATCATCTCTCTATGTATGTTACTTACAATGTAGATATAGATAAAGCAAATGTCAAAATTTTTGTTTATCTAAATCTTCGTTCAATTTGCTCATTGCAATCGTTTACTGTGTTATGAAGTACAATCAAATCGATAGATTGATTATTTCAAGTCTAATTCGACTTCTGGACTCTCTAATGAAAAAGGTTTCAGATTTTCCACTATCGGTGTCTGATCAGGGTCAACTCGTATGCGGATTCTATTTGTTTCTAAAGACCGCGGAAGTGTACGTGGAAGATCATCTTTGTATGAGCCAGACATTGGCGATGTATATGGTACATAAATTCGTACAATATCTGGACTTGGTTGATGAGGCGTTGCCCTGGGTGTGGGTAAACCACCACTGCCAGAGCTGGCATTAGAAATGTTACTTTGAGTATCAAGACTATTATCTAACGCTTGAGACCGTGTTGCCGAACTAAATACAGAAAGGTCAGCTGTCGAGGTAACAGATGTATCTGCCAATGATCGGCGTGAGCCATTGGGAGAGGCCCCATCATCAAGACTTGGATCAAATGAGAATTTGCTTCCTGCACATATATGTAATTTTTATTATACTCCAACAGGATATCTGAACAAACGTGTTTTGGCAAAATACTTTCGCATAGTAAGTGTAATACATTTGATTTAAAATTCGTTTCCAATAACTCGTCATAATTTCTTTTTACAAATGAAGTATTAATCAATTAAGTGAAATATGAATTAAATATAATTTCCGTTATATTTCCGTTGTGTAACAAGATACTGGTATTCAGCGCTTTTCTTTTTTTGTATGAAATTTCCTGAGCATTTTAAAATAATCACAGTCTATTATTTCTTACTTTTTATTTCATAAAAAAAAATTATCAATGAGAATTCTTGATACAATCTTAAAGGCAAGTATAGTTTCATCATTCTAAATGATGTATATATATATATATGTGTGTGTGTGTGTATAAAAAAATTTACTTACAATAATATAGCAATAATTATAATACTTCAAAATATGGTCTATATAATATTTTTGCAAAATTCTATTTATGTATACGTGTATGTATCTATATATGTAATTGAGCATTATTATAATAGTTTTTTTAATCTCAGAACTTAATCTTTGAAAAGTATCTTATAATCTAGTGTTATATATAACCATTATATCAATCTCATCTATATCTGTATTATCTTTATCCTCGTCCTTAATAATACTCTTTTGTTTAGAATATAGAAGGCAAGTATCTGTGTTACCGTGTACTATTTTTTCACTATATCGTAACTCACCGCCAAGACCACAACTGGTTTGTTCAACGGGTGTTGTACTTTCTCTACCATCATCAGCGAGTACTAGGTCTCTACGTTGTGTTATAGATTCTCGCATTACGTGTTGTGCTTCGCTAAATTCTTCGCTGCGTCTTCCAACCTGAATCACGTTAAAATGCGCATTAAACACAAGATCATTCCAGTTATTTATTTTTAGAAGTATAAATTACCTTGCTTGCAAAAGTAGGTTCCTTAAATGTACCAAATGGAAATCGTGGCAATTCGTGTGGCAAGGGAGGGCCAGGATAATCCAACTTAGCACGTTTTAATTCTTCCATACTACGTTCCATAGTACTTATTACTGTATCATCGTCAAAACAGAAATCTTTTTCTAATTTAATTTGTAAATAATTACAAAATTCATCTAAACTTTCCATCGGCATGAGAAAACGTTTATGCATTTTCATGACTGTGTACGCCATAGCAGGTAAAATACGATCTCCGTCTAATAAAAATATATCCCAAATTCGAAGACCAAGGCTAACAGGTGTCTGTTATAAATTGTATTTAAATACGATATGTATGTAGAATAAATTTCCATTTTAACCATTTAAAAAAAAAAAACTGCAAAATATTCTTACCCTCTCTTGAAACACAACAAAAAACCATTTTAGCGCATAAAGAATAGAATCGCAACCGCACTTATCGAGTTTCCTTTTCAACTTTGGTAAGAATTTATTCATAATTTTATCATGATGTTCTATAAAACGGTTTAATTTTGGAAATCCATCAACATAAAATCCTACAAACACATATATATGTATTTAATATTGAACTAAAATATTTTTTAATATTGTATTTTGCGAGACAATCTCAGACCATGCATTGTATATTTCTTATCAGCAAGTAACACAGAAAGACCCCAAAATGCGTCTTCTTCATCCATATATAACAAAAGTAATCCAGCTAATACAGACATTCCTTGACAATAACCCACTTCCATATTATACATGCTGTATGCAGCCAATACATAAAACATAGATCGTTGTTTTATGCTATACCTTTCTCTGTTGAAAATAATCAACGATTTAACACGATTTTCAATAATCATCACGATCATGATTTTTATCGTGATATACATTATACATACCTATAATTGATATGATCTCTATATTGTCTAGCAACATCAGCATCGATCTGTCTTATTTCCGTAGACCACTGGCGCGCAAGTTGTAACATCTCTTCATATTTGCCAGCTTGTTCTCTCTTTAAATTTTTAATACCCAACAACAATGCCCAGACTTGACCACGAAATCTATTAGGAATGCCTTTGTATACTCTGCGCCGTAATTTCTCCTTAGTCGAAGAGCTGTCCCACTGTTTGGTCATTTTCTCCCATTTCTTCAATCTTTCCATTTCCACCCGGTGAGTCTTGATCTCGTTAGGATCTGGTTTCTGTGGCAAACGTTTGTCACTGAAATTAAAGGCCAAATATTAATAAAAACATAACAGTAGTACTACCACAATAATTGTCACGACAGTTACTGTATGAATCCATATCTGTCCGTGGTATGATACACTTCAAAAGTAGGATCTTCCCAAGGATCGATCTCTGCTCCATTTTCTCTACCACGGTCGTAGCAGCTAAATATTCTATCTCGCTCTACAGCAGACCGCTTCAACAATTCTTCCTCATTCATCCCCCGTTAGAATTCTCAACCAGACTCTTACAAACATGCCGTCTTGTTAGGAGAATTCTATTCACCTTGGGCTGTTATCTGTAATAAAAATGAACACCACAGTTAGTAAATTATCATTTTATAAAATAAACAAACAAACTTTTTCTCATCTTATAAATAATCTTAGTAACTTCTAAAAATTTCCTTGCATATTGATACATATATACATATATGTATATATATATAACTTAAAAATATAATATAACTACAGTTGCATACAGAAACACACTATCGATAAAGTTGAATTGTAAAACGACCGCAATTTCGATCTCACGGAGGAAAGTATATCGTGTGTATTTTTGGTCAGCGTTAATACAGATAATATAAGATTTCTTTTACGTGTGCGCGAGCAGACGGGCCGCGATTTTATTTTACAATTGGACGTTCCTGAGCTTACGTGCTACATATTGACAAGAAACAGGTTATATACATGGGGAGCGAACGATACTTGCAAACAAAATCGATCTAAAACTTACCGCTAATAAATCGACCGTGTTAGTAGAAACGTTGCATTCTCAAAAGTCGACTAGTTTTCTTCGTTTCATATTACACACGCGTGCGAGATCATTTTTTTCTCCCGGACGTCACTCGCTCAACAAAACTACCGTACATACATACCAGTACATGCAACTTCAAGCCGGATTTGGATGTTTCCACTCTCTCTTGCGAGCAAGTATTGCCAACTGACTCACCGCAAAAATACAACCGTATTTGCGAATTACGTCGGAAGTATGTTCGATTGATTTGCAAAATAGCTCTTGTTTCTTTTTTGCTATATTTTTTATTGAAACAAAAGTATACTCTAAATGAGAAGCTTGCTTCGGAGTTTTAAAATCTGAATGGACCTTTTTAAATTAAACAGCTTTGTATTAATGTTCATGCTCGTTGTATTTATTTATATCCATTATGTCTCGTCGACTCGTTATCAGATTTGTAAAAAAAAAAAAACGAAATTGCAATATAATCGCAAATTGTGAACCTCGCAACGATCGATTTATTTTTGTTTATTTATTGTATGAATTTTGTTAGATTTGGAACTCGACTTTTGGAACTACTTGCGATAGATAATAGAATGCTTGTTTGAAGCAAACATCAGAATATGATTAAATGTTTCGAATAAACAGCCAAATTACAAATTGAAGTTTGTGGTCGTTTAACCTTCATAAGAAAGAGAAAAACGGAAGAATTCGATATAAGTACAAGCTCAACGTAAATTATAATTTATTTCGCTTCGACCGTTGTGTAATCTATCATTAATATCATATTAATAAATAATAAACTCAAGTTACAGAAAATCGATGTATTGATGAGGTTACTGCATCATCAAACCACAATTCGTTCTTGTTAATACTACAAACATCAAATATCATTGAATAATACTAAATAAAAGTGGTATTTTTAAACACGCGTAACGAAAATTAATCTTCATTGATGCTTTATTGATACATTGGTACAAAAATAAATTCTAACTCCTTAATAATATGAAATTACGGGGATAAGATATTCAGAAACGTTAACGTTGTCGATGACTAAAGTGTAAGTGTAAGGATTTTTATATTGAAACAAGTACGTATGTGATTCAGAGAGAAAAATATCAATTCTCTTTCTTACGTGTGTTTTGCAATAATATTCATTGGAGCAGAGATTCTTTAATGTACATATTGCTATAGATTTGTCTTAAGTAATGTCTCATTAAGTAATGTTTGACAATCGCTAGTATTAAAAGAATCAATGATAGTTTTTATAAACCGACGTTGTTGCGCCTCGAACAAAAAGCAATTGTGGCCCTGAAAAGGGCCATTTTGTCAATGTGATGTGAGGCCTAAGCCTTTTTTTCTGTTTTCTTTGGCAGAAGCACAGCCTGGATGTTGGGAAGGACGCCACCCTGCGCAATGGTAACGCCAGATAGAAGCTTGTTCAACTCTTCATCATTACGGATGGCAAGCTGCAAATGTCTCGGAATGATTCTTGTCTTTTTGTTGTCCCGTGCAGCATTTCCCGCCAATTCGAGAACTTCAGCGGCCAAATACTCCATAACAGCGGCCAGGTACACCGGAGCCCCAGCGCCGACTCTCTCTGCGTAATTCCCTTTTCTCAAAAGTCTGTGAATACGACCGACCGGAAACTGTAATCCAGCTCTGTTCGAGCGAGACTTCGCCTTAGCTTTCGCTTTGCCACCCTTGCCACGGCCAGACATTTTCTTCCAACGATACGCTCGGATATAAACAAAACTTTACACAACACGGTGCAACAACTGCCCGTTTTCACCCAGCAGATAACTATTTATAGCCGTGGCAGGAGCTGGTGTTCGACCAATCGCCGACGAGAAGCGTTGCGATTGGTGGAGAGAAACAGATGTTTCGTCTAACTGCTTCATGCTCTCTCTCTCTAGCTTTCTCTTTCTCTTTTTTTCCTTTCTGCTTTTTTTCTTTCAGTATATGTACAATAATTAATTCTACAGTATTGTTATGTTATATTCTATTATGCCTCAAAATGGAAAATTTATATGTGCAATATGTAAATATATAATTGTATTTTGCACAGAGTACAATAATTCATAATTTTATTTATATATTTTATTATTTAAATATTGTATTATATTCTATTTCTCCAAAATGGAAAATTTATACACGATATATAAATTATATTATAATTATTATTTTTAGTGTGCAATTTTTCAAATTTGTGAAAAATTTCGTTTAGTGTACAATAAATTTTCATAATTTTACTTAGGCATGTTTTGACAATTCATTGATACAATTATTGATAGGTTTACAATAGTTTGTATATCACGTGATGAATATAATCGTCTTATTTTACTTACGATCTACTCAAATATATTACTCAGAAAATTGCTAACAATAGGTTTGCTCAAAATTCTTTAAAGGTAAATTTCCAAATGTACATCCTACATTCAGAGACTGAAAACCGAAATATTTTGAGGTTTAGGTATTATACCGGTAAACTGAAACCGAAATATTGTGTATACCGGTATTTGGAAAATCGGTTTTAATACCGGTGTGGTACCGCTTTCCTGACGAAAGCACATTTTTCATTTTCTACGTACAGTGACTCTTATTAATATTCGGACATCATACTATTCAAAATATTATTGTGGATTTCGATTGTTTATAATAGTAAATTTGGATTAATTTTTTAATAATATAATAGAACATTCATTATAGTTCATAATAACATAAATTTCATTTATTTATTGCACATTTTTCCGCTGTTGGGAAAACTCGGTTCCCATCTCGGACATCGCTAATTGGCCGAGTCGTTTTTGGATTTTAACCGATTAGGTTTTTTCATGAAATTGCGTCGCCTACTCCTTGCGTTCGTAACGCGCTTTTTCCGAAAGTGGGACTGCAATTTCGCGATTTTCCTAATTTATGGCGGTGTAGCAGAGTTTTCTCTCCAAGTATTTTCCAAACGTAGGTCTGGGTTGGCCCTTGGAAACCTAGGGTTTATGATGCTTCACGGAAATGCTATTGTGGCCGATAATATAAATAAAATAAAATAAAAAAGCTAATAAAAATAAACAAAGTGTACGTGTATAAGCGTCGTCAAATTTACTATCGGCAGCTTTATGAAAACATTTAATCATTGTCTCCTTTTCCTTTTCTAATATATTAATATTTTATTTACCGGTATTATACCGAAACACATCTACCGACTTAACATCGTTATACCGGTATTCGTACTATTTCGGTTTCATCAAACCGAAATCGAATAGTAACCTAAAAATACCGGTATTTTACCGGTATCCGTAATACCGATTCAGTCTCTGTCTACATTTTCTTTCCATTTCTTCTCTTTTTTTCACATTCTCAATAGTATTATTCGTACTTTTGACAATTACTATACCTCTTGAATATCTTCAATGTAGTTTTATGATTAACCTTGCAAATATTGGAAAAGAAATCGTTGAAAAATCATTAAAATGATTCAACTCTGTTTAAGAGTAGAAAATTTAACGAGTTTATTTATGATATATTTATGTGTATACGTAGGTACATATACAAATGGTGAATCATTTCTATTTTAGTTTGAATTTTTAAATTTACTTAAACAGTAAAATTATACGAATGATGGAAAACAGTTTACTGATCATTGATTAAATTATAAAAGAAACGAAATTTTTAGAATAATTCTATACATAGAAATTTTTACTTCAAATTTCTTGTTTTCCTTGGTTGTCTGTTCTATGACAACAGATAGTTTGAACACGCAATGATAGGATACTTGCAATATAAATAACTATCGCGCTTCAAGAGATATAAAATATACATATGTGTACGCATTTGATATTGTAATAAAGAAGAATTCTTTACAATAAAAAATTTGTACAAAAAGAAACAAGATGAATTATATTTGTATATGTAAAAATACAGAATATGATGATAAATAAATGTATCAGCAGACCAAATTTTCTTGTAAAATTATGAATTTTCGTGTGGATTTATATGAATTTGTAAAAAACATGATCATCTATTTTATTTTTTCCGTTTCTTAAAAGAGTTACGCAGAATTTTTAGACTGTATAACATCCAGTTTTGAAATCAGTGTTTTTGGTTCTGTGTACGTACATATGTATGTACGTATACACATATATGCATATATTAAATGTGTTTAAAATAATTCTGGAATTGTTATTAATTTTGTTTATCAATTTTATAATAATTAGAATTTCATATATAGTTAGAAAGTTCTGTCTTTTTGTCGTTTATTTCTACCGTGCAATTACATATCTAACGACAATTATTATTAAAAAGTCCGTTATTATTTATTACTTTAAATTTGGAGGTTATATTCTCTCAAAAACAATTATATGACAAATCCCAATTTTTATAAATTTATCCAGAATTTCATACGAAAGTCTACTTTATGTTAATTTCTTTGTATATTATTCTTCAATCATTATATCATACCAAATATAATAAATTATATTATGAATATAGAACAAATTAAAACACAGAGATAGAGAGAATAATGATATAATAATAATAAATTAATAAATTACATAGCGAATGTAAGTAAATTATTTAATAATTATATAATTTATATATATATGTGTATATGTATATATGTCAATCATTTATGTTGCGAGAAAATCACATTTGTATTATCTCGTTTAAATAAAAAATCTTTTAATTCTTTTACTAAAAAGAAAAAAATGTTTAGTTAAAAAAAAAATTGAATATAAGTTTACATATATGCCGAAGTACATACATAAAAAACGTACCTAACCATGTGTGGAACACATTCTATGAAATCAATTTCCAGGTAACAGTAGCATCGCCGTACCAATCACGTAACGAGGAATTCCAGCTGGCAAGCACGGAGCGTTCCAATTGGTGGATCGCTACTGCTTCGTAGGTACAGGTATATAAATGAAAGGTGACCCTGCCGCAGCAACATTTATCAACCGACTCTCACGACCGTTGAACGGTGGTAGCTATCGAGAATCGTCGAGTTATCTTTGTTTTTCCTTTCTAACAATTTACGTCCGTTGACAAAAACATGCCGCCGAAAGTAAGTGGGAAAGCTGTGAAGAAAGCCGGCAAAGCTCAGAAGAACATCAGCAAAGCTGACAAGAAGAAAAAAAGGAGGAGGAAGGAGAGCTACGCTATCTACATTTACAAAGTGCTCAAACAGGTGCACCCTGACACCGGCATCTCCAGCAAGGCGATGAGTATTATGAACAGTTTTGTCAATGATATTTTCGAGCGTATCGCCGCCGAGGCATCGAGATTAGCGCACTATAACAAACGTTCCACGATCACTTCCCGGGAGATCCAAACTGCCGTGAGGCTCCTTTTGCCGGGCGAATTGGCCAAACACGCAGTAAGCGAAGGTACTAAAGCAGTTACCAAATACACCAGCTCCAAGTAAGAAGAAACAGCTTGCCTACAAAACAAAATGGTCCTTCTCAGGACCACCACGTATTATGTTAACGTTGGAGCCTCCTTCGATTTGCAACTTGTAACTTGCCAATGTACAAATATTTGAAAAGATCATTAATGACCAACCTGTAGCATAAGATAGGATATAATGTTGAAAGTATTTGCGTATACTGTGAAGTTTAAATGAGAATTTCATACTTTTTACGCTGTAATAAAATTTAATATTAGCTGTCGATGCAGAATTAAAATTTATATTATACCACGATTTATGGTTAGTCATTTTTTTCTCGGAAATGCGCGAGCAAATAAACTGTAAACAAGTAAGTTTCCAGTAAATATATAAAATATAAAAGGTTTAAAATTTATAGATGTTTAGAATTTGAAGTACACGAATTTTTATTATCGCATAACTTGACGCAGTAAAAGAATGATATTCTGCATCATGAATATTTTGTAACACGTGGCTTTTATTAATGAAAAAAGAGATGCTTATAACGTGCATGAAATACATTCGAGCACCTGTGCTTTGTGGTTTACACCTCGTATTTTACACGTTTATTTGTTTCTTGACGCGATTTGGTCATGTTTTAATTTTCCATGATTTGTATATAATTTTATCAAATATTAATTCATCATAAAAACAGTACAAATTTTCTCTTACATACGAATCAGAATGTTTTGAATCGATCGAAGTTTCGTTATCAACTCTTGTCCGTGAGGCTTGCTGTACAAGGTAGTTAAACACTTTGAAATCACGTCCTGGCACTTCGTTATTATTTTTCGTCTGTAATTCGATCATTTTTAACATTAATCCAACAACAGAATTTACGCAACAAAAACATGGGCTTGTGATTATATATATCTGTTCGACAGATGAATAATACTTACTTTATGAAGGTGTTGGTAATATTCGAATGAGATATAAAGTGATTAACCAAATTCGCAGTCGATTCAATAAGGTGAAATTCGTTTCCTTCGTTTAGCCAAGTTCGAGTATCTTTGCCAATCATTCTGAGAACAAGCGTGTATTTTTTTTTTATCAAAAAAAGTATCAAACGTGTCTGGTTTCGCAAACTATTACTTACTTGTAAATATCCAAAAGATCCTCCATCGATACTCCTAATTGTAAAAACCCAGTTATAATTCCAGTATTTGATACATTTAATTTACATGCTTTTATTTCTAACTGTTTTACTAAGCAGTCTGGAAAAAAAAGAAAGAAAAATAGATTGACGAAATATTTTATAATTTCATTTCGTATATTCTCATTATTTTATAAGAATCGTAAGAAAGTTATTATTACCAACTGGGAAACAGTGAGGTGATCCCGAATATTCCTGTCCTAACGATATAATTTTGCTCATTAAAATAGTCATTTTATCTTCCGCCGTTGAAGCATCTTTTAATTCTATAAATATATATTGAAATGTAAATATCTTTTCAATTCGTATAAATATATGTAAAATAGAATGTGAATACCGTTATTTATTATATTAGTCCAAATTTCCTGGATTAACATTGCATCTTGATGACCAGAGCAATGAATTATAGCTAATTTGCACTCCCACAACTGCAAAGGGTCCGCATAGTTTTCGTACAACTACAATTGACAATTAATTGACAAACGTAATTTCTGAAAGATCAATATAAGTATCTTAACTCATAACTTAAATGATTGGGTCATACCTTTGTAATATCAAGTAACGAGGAATTTAATGCTCTGAATGCTTCTTCATTAAGTCTATCGCTCAGATGTTGGTTACAAATCGTATCTAATATCTGAAAATGACAACAGCATGCAAATTATACTCTAAATAAGTCTATTACTTTTATTATCATATTTATAATCAGGTACCTGTTGTTGTATTCTAGCAACTTCTACTTTGTCTTCTAATTCACGTAAAAATATACCAAGGTATGGAGCGTATCCAGCTTGGTCGCTTCTCATACAAACCACTGCTCGAGCTAAATATTCAACTCTCTGTGATAACGGTACATTTGATCTATGTTTAAAGAAAACAAAAAAAAAAAAATGAAAAATAAAAAGTAATGTCTTTTGAATTAAAAAAAAGAGAAAAGAGTATAAATTTAATAAACTTAATGGTTGTGTATGTCTGTACATACTCTTTGGTCGCCATAGCATCTAAAATTTTAGCTGCAGCAGCGTGATTTTTATTCTTTTCGTAATACTGCCATAGTAAGTCCGGTGCATTAACACGAGTAAGATAAGCTTCTAAAGAAGGTGCTGCTAGAGCAACGAGCTCTCCGTGAAGCCTTCTTTCTATCATCCAAGCATACACTAAAGCATGAAGAATTTCACACGTAGAGTGTAATGCATCAGTTATAATGTCATGCAACTAAAACATATAAATATTTATATAAAAGATTCAATGATTGTCATTATATTGGAAATAATTTAACTTTGAAAAAGATATCATACTATTTCCTTTGCTGGTGTAACAGGCATAGTTGATCCATTTTGTAGCGGAGGGCCAGGTTTACTGGGTACAGTAGGTGTCAATGGGTTAGAGATACTTTGACTGTAGAGATGATCTAGCAGCGTAATGAATTCTTTATAAATCTCTAATCTACATAGAAACAATTATTTGAATAATTAGAATAATTGATATATTAAACATAATACTAAAATATAATTTAACAATCAATACCTTTTCGTGTAAGCTTCTTGATCTTCGATTGGTTCATTATTTTTATAATAGTGTAAGGCAGCGTTATTAGGATCTACTTTCTCTGCACAGGAGAGACATAATTCAAGTACACCCGAATAGAATTGACAAGCGATGAATTGTTGGCATACTGCACTTAAGTTCAATCTGGGAGCAACTTCTTTGCAAAGCTGAAGGACGTATATAGGTAATATAAATGTAAATAGAGAATTGTAATGTAATACAATAATATCAAAATGCTTACCTTTAAAGCAGATTGTAAATAGCATTCCTTTTCTTCTGGATTCGTACAATTTTTAGCTTTTAAAATTATTTCATTCGCCTATAATTTACAGAAACGTTAACAATATGCAAAAATGATATTTTAAATTTAATTTCTTATACCTTAGAACAAACAGCATCTTCACTTCTATATAAATTTGGGCAAACTTCTCGCAATCTTTGACTTACAGCATCAACAGATGCATTATCTCCAAGATAGCTGTAAAAGATTTATGAAAATTAGTAAATAATAATTTTACTTTAATTAGTTTATTAATAGATAATTATTTAATTATTTTACCTATCTATAAGATGAATGATTAGTAATGAAGGAATTTCATGTCCAATTAAAATTAAATCTCGAAACGTCGCCGTAGAAAATTGATTAATTTGATCCTACAAATTAATACAAAAATAACTATTACAGATAAAACTTTTTATCAAGAAAATTGTACTATATATTTAATTAACCTTTGATAAGCAATTCACAATATTATTCAAGTGGTTTTCACATAAAATTTTCCAAAGTTCTAACACTTCACAGGCATGAGTAATGAAAATTTTTAATGCAGCTAAAGAATTTCTTTCTTCGACTATTGGTCCTTGGTAATGACTAGATATAGTTGTTTCAAATCCATCAGTTGTTCTAGTAGTACTATGTCTGAAGATCAATAAATAGTTCAAATAAAACTGAATCATTTGTAAGGCTATTGAGATAACATATAAAAACATACTGCTTGGCAATATGGGTATTTTTATTGAGAAATGATCTTAATGCCTGTAGAAGACTTAAAATCCAACTAACTTGTCTTGCCGAAATTGTACTAGAGATCTGAAATTATAATATGAATAAACATAATATGAAAACAAAAACATTTAGAAAAATCTACATCAACGCAGTCACCTGAGTTTTGTTATTTATAACTTCTTGTTTAATACAACGCATGTTCCATATTGGTCGAAGTATTCTTCCTACATACAGATATAAACCATTGTGTTTCGCAGAAAATTGTTGCAGAGAATCTGTATTATGTCCAACTGGCACATGAGGTCGAAATCCTTGAAGTCTTAAATCATAGTTTGGAACTCTTGGTGTCGATGTGCGCATATCTCCTAAAGCACTCATAGGTTTTATAATTACAATGGAAAATAAAAGTACTTATTTATAGTAAATAGTATTTATAGTAAATAGTAATACTTTATATTTGTAATATAGTAATGTGATATTTGTATTTATAATAAAGTTATTACCATGTACATCAATTGCAGGTCCAATACTTGTTGTTCGTTGACTACCATATAAAAAAAAAGCTCTCGTTGCCCATTCTGCCAACTTATAAACAAATTACAATTAAACATTACATTTTAATTTTAAAAAATGAAATTTTTTTAAGTATATATCTGAATTAATACTTCGGCATTCTGAGAACTTTCAAGCGTGGCTAAAATAAGGCAAGTTGCACATGCTTGCTCCAATGATTGCGATTGAAAATATGCACGAACGGCTTCAGTATCAGGGCCACGTTGTTCTAAAAGAAGCTGCTTTAATATGTCCATTGGACGAACTTGAACGTAAATTATAGCACCCTGTAATTAAATAAATAAATAAATGATTCATCGATAAATACATTTGATATGTTTTTAAATTATACCTGAGAAGTTAAAAAAATAAATTTTCGAGGTGCTTCCATGTGCTGCCTTACAAGAAGAGGAGGCTCCTCTTGAGTGATATTTTGTTTTTCAATACGTATAGCTGGTTCTACAAGAATTTCTGCCATTGCCCATACCGTACTATCGAGCGATAAAAGACTTTGAGTTTCAGCTAAATAATTTGTGAATGGATAAGCATCGTTACTTAAACATAAAACTGTTTCTGTATCTCCGCCGCAAACAAGAATTAATGTTCCTGTAATAAGTATGTCTCATAGTATAAAAATTTTGATGTTTTATAGTCGCTTTAGTCTACGCGTCGTACGCGCAAACAGTTCATTTTTTGAGCGTTTTTAATTTTATTGGATAGCGAAAGGACAACAGTAGAGTGTTCATATGTATACCTTTTCTATAATGTGCCATTTGTACCTTTCTTGGTCTCATTACTGTCGCATTAGCAGCATAACGCGGTGGTAATCTGACATGTATTAATTGCAGACCTTGAGGTCTGGTTGTCGGATTGGCAACTGAAGTACAACTGAAGTAAAAACGTATTCCAGTAGCTGCAACTACAACCAAGTTTAAATGTACTGATTCTGACTCTGTGATCGCTGATATGCTCACCAATGGTCGAAAATTATTACTATCCAGTGTTCTAAAACAATAAACGTAATATGAATCACGAATTTCAGCTATTTAAAATTAAGATTTGTATAAATATACGTACTTAACAACGTGAACAGCGGTTTGCACTAAGGAAGCTTGTGATAAAGATGCAACTTTGGATGCACCATTGTTATCGATATCCCAAACTGTGATGGTTCCCTTATCACCAAGTGTGTATAAAATATTTCGCGAGTCATCAACAGAAATTTGTATTATAGCTTCCTCCTCTGACAAAGCTATAGTGACAAATGATGGAACTAAAAATGATAATGGACCTTCAGAGTGATTTATTTTTTTACAACGTTTCCCAAACCAGCTACTTTCTGCCTACACAACAAACACATACTACAGTAATTAATTATGATTTCTTATATATAAATATATTATAATATTAATTATTTTTATATTCACATGCGTGTAGTAAACCTGCTTTACCTGATAATATATTTCATAAAGAGATCCATTTCTACCACCAAGAAAAATTCTTCCACTACTAGTGTTTGCTATTGTTGTAATACCAATTCCATCTGTAGTGACAGTAAAAATTGGTTCAGGAACCAATTGCATTTCTGGTGAAATGCCTAAACAAAAAATCAAGACAATAAACGAAGTTCAAAAATGATATAATCTCAGAGTAAAATTAACTATATTATACCATCACTGGTTTCTGTTAGTGTAACTCCCAGAATAGTTATTTCCACTGTAGTTGTAAGAATTAACAGATACTTTACATAAGATTGAAATACTCCTGCTTTGGGTTTCACTAAACCTACGCTTATAATAGTCTCGTTTAATCCATCGAAATACGCAACATCAGATCTAAAAGCATATTACAAATATTAAGTAGTGAGTTGCAATATTCTTGTAAGAAAAATTTCTATGTACTTTAAGTTAAATATTTACTCATTTTCATACGACCAAACATATATGTCACTATCAATCGTAAGCCATGCTTTCGAAATTTCTGTAAAAAGACCCATCATACAATGGCATTGTATATCTAATTAGACATTAAGAAATTATATTTAAAAACATTGAAGAGTAATCTATCATTATTTAGAAGGATACGACGAAAATGTTCCATTATCTCAGATGGCAGGGAGATTTTACTATATGCTTTCATTTGATTTATATTTGAAAAACACATTGACATTTCATTTAAATTTGGATAGTCGTGGTCGTCACGACCGCTAACTGTTGGTCCAGCTGAAAAAAATTGTTGTATTTATGTGTAAAACATACAAAATAACTGTAAGATATAAAACAGACAAGAGTAACAAATTTACCTTGCACATTGTATCGCATAAGATTAATTAATGAAGGAAAGTTGCTATCAGCCGTAATGTGGATATCAACCACTTCTCCTGCCATTTCTTTTAAGGCATTGAGAGTCATGTTTGTACGGTACAGGGAAAAATTAAATATTAAATACAGACAGAACTAAATCCAAACAAAAAAAAGATAGAAATAAGATAGTAACGGAGGTATTAACATTATCTGACGTAAATTATTATTATTATTATACAATCTTTTATCAATTAATACTGTTGTCCCTCGTGGGAATTAATTGATTCATCGACGATGATTAATTGTCTAACTTTGTCGTTGGGACATTCGTGATCAAAGGTTAGACTTATTCGTTCGCCGAAATTCTCAATAACATTAAAAGTAATGCAGTTTACAATATCATCCTTTGAGAACGTAATCGCACTCTAAAAATCAAAACGCATCTGTTCTATTTAAGAGACACTTACTACAATTTATTAGAAATATTTATACGTTTTTTACCGACACTGCACAGACTCTCACGAGGTTTGTGCCGCTCGCGCGTGCGAGTAAATTTCAAGTTTTATTCAAGTCCGTGCACTGTTACGCAGAACCAACCAATTTCATTGGCTTGAATTTATCTTAACATGAGAGATAGATATATTTGAATTCAAATTGAACCGCTTTATTCATCGGATAATTTACATTTGAAATAGGAATATATTAAAATATAATAACTTATAACTCTTTTTGAAATTCAACGTGTTTAGCACATAATGCAATAATAATGATAATTGTCATTTCACTTCTTTATTAATTATTCCTAAATTATTGCGTATAATGAAAATTTTGTCATCCATAATATTTCTTTTTATTTTGTTCATATCGTTGATTGTTCTTGCTTCTAATGGTAAAGGAATATTCATATCCAATAATTTAATAATTTACTAGTATTTTTATTGCAGACGACGCATTTAATGCAATGCAGAGCCTTTATTGTGATCTTGGATTAAAACATGAAAATTCATGTCCCATTGATGGTAGCTGGACTTGGAGCTCTTGGGGTCTTTGTTCTGGAAAATGTGGATTTAAAGGTAGAAGGAGGAGGCATCGTACTTGTGACAATCCTGCACCTTCCAATAATGGAGCTTTTTGCATTGGTCCTAGTTATCAAATTGAAAGTTGTCAGATTACTGGTACACTCTAGAATGACAGAATAAAATTTTTGTAATAGTAATTTTATGTACAATTTGCTTCAATAATTATTTCTCAGGATGTACAATGACTGATTATGAGAAGATTGTAAACGTTCATCCCACACGTAAAGGAGAACTGAAGATTGTGCAGGAATTTCACAAGAAATTACCAGCTTTGATAGAATTATGTTTCCTTGTAGATTGTACATTTCCCAATATCGAGAAGATTCTTGGAAACAATACAGTAATATACAATTACAAAATATACAATTTTCAAAGAAATAGTTTTATAATAATATTTTCATATATTTTATATATGTAGATGCTCTATTGGAATGCTATGAATTGTGTTAAATATGATGTTGGATGTCCAAGTAAATAAATAATTAAATATTTTTTAAGTACTTAATATTTTTTATAAATAAATAATGAAATCCAATTTTCAGGCATTGGTGGTTGGAGTGCTTGGGGAATGTGGTCATCATGTACTGCAACTTGTGGCAAAGGTCAAAAATATCGCACAAGGATTTGCAATAGTCCAACACCTTCAAGTTCTAAATTAACTTGTAGTGATTTAGCATTTGAAACGAAAAGCTGTGTAGGATTTAATTGCAAAAAGTTCTCAAGTACATTAGATATATTTTAAAAGTATATGTACAAGATATAATTTTTAAATATATATACATATATTATACACACACTGCTTTGTTATTTTAATAGCAGGTACTTGGACTAATTGGAACAAATGGAGCACATGTAGTGTAGAGTGTGGTAGTGGAGTTCAAATAAGAAAACGTACCTGTTTAGAAGTACAAAATTTACAACAAACTTCATGTAAAGGTTCATCCCAAGATATAAAGAGCTGTGTAATTAATAATTGTTCTAGTAAGCATGTTATTTTACATAAATAAAATATTGTATATTTCCTAAAAATAATTTATACAATCTGCAAGAATTATTTTATAATTATCAATCTTTATTAGTAAATGGAATGTGGTCATCATGGACAGTTTGGTCGCCTTGTAGTTCAAGTTGTGGCATTGGTACACAGTTAAGAAATCGAATGTGTAACAATCCTTCTCGAAGTGGTAATGGTACATCTTGTATTGGCTCAGCTTCTGAATTTCGTCAATGTTTCACTAAACCATGTATAGGTATGTTTAGAATCTAATCTAAATAATGTTACGATTAGTATTAAAATAAATCGTAATAATTGAATTCTATTCAAAAGTTAAATCACACGAAGTAGCACATTTTACAGAAAAAAGTAGTCTCCTTTATGATACAAGTGGAAAATCTTCACATTTGCTTCATGTATATTTAAGATTTTTACCATCATCTCCTTTTGGTATGATCATTTATCGTTTTGAAAAAGATTGTAATGGATTGATGGGTGATTTTATAAAATTGTTTCTCCAAAATGGAAAGATAGTGCTTTTATCTCAAATTGCTGGTTGTACTTTAGTTTTGATTCATGAGACCAAATTAGAAGTAAGAAATATCTTTTTTTTTATATATACTGATTGTTTTATATTTGATGTAAATTATTTTATAGATAGAACAGTGGCATATAATATTAATTGCAATATATAGAACGCGTGGTATACTACGTATTGATGATGGTTTTCATAAAATTAGCTTTTTTTCATGCATTCCAAAGTCGTATAATCTGGATCATATGATGAAAGTAGGAGGATTTCAAGGTCAAATTCAAGAATTAACAATTAATTTTACACCTGTTCAACTTCGTGTATCAAAAGTTATACATATTAATTGAATTCTATAATTGTAATTAATATTAAGCAAGTAAATATTTTAAAAATATAAAATATCATTTAGGATAATTACAATACAAAATATGCAAACCTTTTATCCCATAGTAATAATGTTCAATATTTGATGGGAGATGATAATGAAGAAATTATTCACATTGGTGTAACAGATTCAGTTACAGTATCATGTCCAGAAAGTATAGAATATTGGCAAGTAAGAATTTTGTAATTGTTGTTTAACTAATAATGTTCTCAAACAAAAGTTATTAATGTTGTAATATTGATCACATAATATAATCATATAATTTAGATTATAATTGTTATAAAAATAGAGGATGTAAATGGAGTTGTGGCAATAATACCAGATGATTCGTTAAATAAATATATTTTATTACTATTAGAGGAGGGAAGAGTGAAGCTGAAATTTTATCAAGGAACAGCTTATGCTGCGATTGAAAGTGTAGAACATATTTTAATAGGAGAATGGTTTGAAGTAATATTGATTTATGATAGCAAAAATATATACATGCAAATTAATGGAGGTGAAAAGAAATATATACCTTCAATTTTGAAAAAGATAATGATTACATCTGTAACTGAGATCTTAGGAACTATACGTGATGATATCAGAGTAAACAACTTTATTTAAAATAAAAATCCTCAAATTAATATATGAAATTTTTATAATTTTATAATTTTTAAATTTTTATAATAGGAAAAAATATGTTCCAAATGTGTAGACATTCCACAAATGAGTTTTACTCTTGCATATTTAAATATAAATGGAAAAGAAATAGATCTTATATCCTTACCAATTCTAGAAATAAGTAGCAAACGATTTTCTAGTCGTATTATTAGTATATCTGGTAATATTTCTTAATACGTTACTATAAATAATAATATATGTATTTGAATATACATACTCTAATAATAATTCAATAATACATTTGAATATAATAATTTTTCAGACTATTATAAAGAAGTACCATTACTTTTAGGTCAAGAACTTAAATTATCATGTATCTATGATACAACACCTCATGAAAAACGATACACATTTTCTAAACAAACATATGTTTTGTGGTTGTTAATGGATAAATTATTACAATCTTATGAAAATAAGTAAATATATTAAATTCAAATATTTATTCTTTTTTTATATTGATTTTATAATTTTTAATTTTTTATGAAGCAATAATTTTTTCAATCTGAAGAATAATGGACGAGTTAGTACTATTAGTATTGCAACTCGTAATACAATAGAAAATTTTTATTCATGTCACATTTATCATTATAGAAATAAATCCAACAAAGCTTTAGGTCAAGATTTTTTTACATTTGGTATTACTGTAGTAGATAAAAGTGAAGGTAATACAATTGATGTTAAATAGAGTAATTTATTTAATTACATTTATAAAAAAAATTTTAATCCCTTAGAATTTGAAAGTACGATTTGGAAAGAATGGAGTTTTATCTGTGAAGTTATAATTGTGTGTTTTATAGTCTTGATAATTTGATGTTTATTGGAAATATTCCAGGATGCTCGAAATGGGTAATTTATAACAAAATCAATGTTATTTCATCAAGCTAAAAATTAGAATTGAAATAAAATAAGTATGTTACTTTTTAGCAATGGTTTTTATAGACTTCCACAAATGTTAAATACTAATGCCACATCTACTATAAACTTTGTTTTATCTAAAAAAGGTGTAACACTACTTGGCAGTGAACAAGCTGCAAATGAAGTTGTATCAAGAATTTTAGATGATAATTGAATTTTTCAACTAAACAAAAGGCAAAAAGTATTTCTTAATATTTCTTAGTATTCTATTCTGATAATTATGGAATTCAAAAGCACTAGGCAGTGAATTAATAAAATTCCTGTATTTTTTTAATGTAGTTACAAAATAGATTTACATAAATTTCTAATTGTAACGTTAAATATGACTACTTTTAACAATATTAAAGGTAATATTAATATTCTTCAAGTCACAGCAGTATGAAATAATACGATTTTTATAGGAAAATATTTAGATGATATGAAGTAATGTAAAAAATATATTTATACAAATATCGCCTAATAACAATGGCTTATATTTACACTTTGAAGACAATATAGCAAAACATGAATGTCGATTATTTAATATAAAACAGCCAATGTATGAATTTGTACTGGAAAATAATGAATTTGTTCATTCCATGTTTTGTATTGCTTGCGTAAATTTTTGCAATCATTGTTCTCGTTCAAATGATTCTGAATAAATGCTGTCTTACAATAAAAGAATTGAGCAAGTATCCTCGTTAAATTTGTAATAATTTCATAATAGATAAAATAATAGATAAGTACATTAAACAAAACGTATAGCTATATCTTTTCATTCACTACTACTATTGATAATTACAGAGGAATGTCGTGTCAACAGAGGTAATTCAAAATGCCATTTTGTATCTTCATCCATATTGAGTCCATTAGCTATTTCATAGTTTAATAATGGTGGCCTTGCTTTAATGCCTAATGTTGTGGGTCTTTTGCTAGGATTCTCATCTAACATCATGGCCAACAAATTGTACTAAAAACAAATTATGATACATTTTGTCTAAAAAAAAAAAGATTAAAGAATGATTGTTTAAATTTTTCTTACCTCGTTCGGATAATCATGACTGAAATTGTTTGGAAATACTGACTTTCTTAAATTTCTAAGGACATCTACTCTTTCCATTTCGGTAACAAATGGAATAAGTAATTCAAACAAAATAATTCCTAAGGAATAGATATCAACCTTATAATTATAGCCCTGACCATTTATTTGTTCAGGAGACATGTAAAGATGAGTACCGACATACGCGGTATGTAAACTACTTTTAAGTGTAACATCTTCATTCTCTGAAGAAGGAGTATGAGCTTCATTATAACCTTCTGCTATTGCAGTTACAAGGCCGAAATCCCCAACTTTTATTTTATTATCAAAAGAGAAGAATATGTTCGAAGGCTGAAATTCATTTGTTATGCTTTAGTAAACGTTATAAAAGTTTCACTTTTGCAATATAAAACATCATTGTTATTTTAGATATTACCTTTAAATCACGATGAATAAGTCCTTGCAAATGAACGTATTCTACAGCATCAACGATTTGATGAAATATATGTAACACATGACGATAATCTCGCATTGACTGCATTTTTAGCCATTCTCTGAGACTCAGTCTTTGGCACAGCTGCATTTGTATGTAAAGGAACATTTTCGGAGATTTACGCGTACTCGACTTATTATTCAGATCCAAAGAAAACGATCTTTGTCGTTTTTTTTTCTCTTCCTTTTCTGATGTTTTACTATTAGTGTCTTTGAACAGAATACTTTCAGAATGTGAAGAATTAGCAATTCTTGACAATGTCTCTTCAACTTTGTTACTCGAATGTGACAAATCAGAACTCTCAGTAGTAGAATTACTTATGTTGACATTTTCATCCCGAGTTACTAACTGAGATTTCTCGAACACAATAAAAGAATCTTCATCCAAATCATTGTCTAATTCATGTGCTTCACAAGCACTGTCTATTGATGATTGATCAGTCTGACTAACATTAATACAAACGGAGTTATTCATTTTTGTTTCCATGTGAATTTCTTCTGAAGTAAAATCTAAATGTGAAGATTTAGGAATTTTGTTTATCCACTGAGGATCATGTTTTTCTTGCCATCCTACAGGGGGACACTCGAGCCATGCATTGAAGTATCTTACAATATTTTGATGATCCAACTTAGCTAATGCTTTTACTTCTCGCATTACACGTTCCCTTGAATAGGTACTATTAAATGAAATAAAAGAGAAGCTTTTTAATTATATGGTTATATTCATTTTTCATGCTTGATTATATTAAATTATATTGTAGAATTTAATAAAATACTTTAACAAACCTGTTTGGCAGAGCAATTCTCTTAATAGCATAATTGCAATCATCTATTTTATTTTTTGCCTCAAACACTATGCCATAACCACCTTTTCCCAAACAATCTACTGGTTCAAAATCTGTGAGATAACGTGATTTAAAACTATCGATTTCCTTTTCATCAGTCGGTTGATTATTCTTATTTGTTTCTATGTGTCTTTCAACTATTAAAGGCTACGTAATCATATAAAAATAAATATTTTTAATTCATGTTTAATATTAGCGTTTTAAAAATTTTGTAACATTAAAATAATCTATAGTATTGTTTACCGGATACACTGCATCTTTAGCAACTGTTGTAGCATTTAACAAACGTTGTGTTAACATAAAATTCAGTAGAACAGCAGTAGTAATCGATATTATCAGAACCTCCTTCCTATTTTTAATAAAGATTTTTCATGAAGAATATTTTATACTTTATTATGTTTCATTTTACATACCACCAATACCACAATGATACGATAATAACTTGAACGGGAGTATCTTCATCTTCTTCCTGAGTATAATTTCCTCTAAATGATTTTCGTTCTTTTTCTATAAGCATTAAATTTGGAGTACGATTGCATTGCTTGTTATTATCTAATTCTAGTTGGTTTGTCGAGTACAAATAAAATCCATTTCCTAAACAAAATTTATATCAAAGAAAATAATGTTAAAGAAACTTTCTCTCTATTATTAACGAAATTTTAATGTTTTATATTTATATACCATTTATATATTCCGAATTATATAAAATTGATAATGCAGTAGTACTTTGTGCATCTGTTATTTCAAATAACATATCATCTTCCTTATTAACATTTACTGAACGATCTAAAAGAGACTTTTTAATTGCATTACCTAAAATATATTATATTTCATTACACATAATGTTATAGTATTATATATCTGTTATAATGTTATTGAAATTTTTTTAAATCAAAAACAAAACTCAACTTGCATACCAATAGCAGGATAAGGTTGCCATGGATATTTTGTATGCTGCATGTACCTTGGCGATGCATCTAATGATTTGAGTTCTGTATTTTCTTGTACATATAACTGCCTGTTATGCATACCCAAATAAAGTGCTGGACTGACTGAAAAGTCAGTACCCCAAGACCATTGTGTACTATCAAATAAATTAATTTCTTTTAAATTGTTATGTTCATTGTCTTTTGAACTTGAATCTTCGCGCCATATAGTAACAATTGGAGAATCAAACTAACAAAATATCAGTATACGTAATTAGTACAAAGTTTAACATATATATTTTCTTTTTTTAACCGATAAAACTTACTTTGTGTTGCCATAATTTTACTGTAGGATCGTTTCTATTAACAGCCCAAATTAAGCCGTCAGGTACGATAACTTTAATTTCAATATCTAGATCACGAGGTGTTACTTCATTTTGACAATAAATATCAGACTGAGGAACAAGTACTAAATTATGTTGTCCAACACTAAAGTTCCACCTATTTCAATGCAGTATTTCAGTGTAATATCTTTCGTTAATAATGTTCAATAAACTTTATATTTTATGAAATTTACTTCTCAATACCGGTACGGGGTTCAACTGCTCTTACAGTTTGTTGAAATCGTTGAACAATAAGAATTTCCTGTTCAATGTACGTTTCTCCATCTGTGATATTAACACAACCATTGATTCCGCATTCATATAAAATTTTCCCTGTTATACTTGAAACACCTAGCAAAAGTTCAAATTCCATTTCCTTATCATTTTTTTTTCTAATTTATTTACATTTTTAAAATATTTACCATATGATTTCACTTCTTTACCACCAGAGAATACTAGATCATCAGAGTAACGAAAAGATGAATGCAACAGCTGGCTTGCGGTTATTGGCACTGCTTCTAAATTTTCTTCATCAAATTGATACAATCCACCGCTTAGAGATGGTATTAGACGAACCCATTTTCCATTATTATTGAGCTATGGAAAAAACAATGAGAGACAGAAGAATAAAAGTAGAAAAATACTTTACATTCTTTCATAAAAACATTTATTAAAAACATAAAATATATTCAATAATTACATACCTCTCTATGATGAATATTAGATGATAACATAGATCCTTCGTTAAATTCTAATGTCCATTGTTCTTTCCCAAGATTATTAGCATCCAAAGCAGATATCCTTCCATCTAATGTACTTACAAATAACAAGCTGCAAAGAAAAATACAAAATTATAATTAACTTTACACAGAGAACACAACACAATGTTTTATTTGTAAATAAGGTACAGACAAAATAAGAGCGGAACTGATGTTCAACTTTAAATTTATATGTAACTTTTTAGATATATATAACATTTAGATATACTATGTAACTTTTTAGATTTACATAACATTTTCTTTTGTTGTTTACTCTACATTATTCACTTTTACAAATTGTTAATAACAACAATCTATTCCTAAAACTGATACAGAAAAATACAATACTACATTATCTTGTAGATATAAATTTCATGCAGATTTTTGTTCATACAGATATTGTAATATCAATAGTATAATATTTAGAAAGGAGTACAACAATTGATCATTTGAGTATTGGCAAAGCTGTAAGTACAAAACAGGTACTGTTGGACTCATCAAATACGTGAACGAAAGGCAACTTGTAGTTAATTACCTGCGAGATGACTTTCTATCGCAAAGTGTCAAATCTTTTAGATCGCCACTGCTGATTGACGGCGATGTAAACAAAATGGTAAGTAACAAGTGAAGTGTTAGTCCCCACAAGCGTGTGAAAGACATCTTTTAAGTTCAGATTAACTGATTGATCGAATACATTTCGCATCGATGCCGCAAAGCGAAGTACAACGAATGTAATACTTTTATCGTAATATTCGACTGGAATATACTAGACACTGGCCATTCGACATGCAACGACAAATCATGACAAACTAATAAATCGTAACGTAACACGTAACAAATGTAAATTCTAGCGCCATCTCCGCTGTGATTATTCGCAACCTATGCGGGGAAAAAGAAAATGCGTGTTTTTATACATTTTAAGACGATATTTATTTCAGTTACATTATTTATAAATAATTACGATAATACTAATTATAATAATTACGTTATTTATAAATAATTAAGAAAGAGCAATGAATAATAATTTAAAGAATTATATTATATGTCGGCAAAAATGTTTCACAAAGAATTTAAATTGGAAGTTCTTAAAAACCATTTCCACGTTCCCCATGGATTAAATTTATTAACATTATAAAATTCCAGAATATAAAGTATAAAACGAAACGTCGAATACTCTTCTTAATCCGCTTTTTTTTTAAATAAGTAATTTTAAAGTAACATTTTCGATTTAACAATTCAAATTCTGTTCAAAAATTTTTATGAAATACATTAAGTTTCTCAGTGCTAAGTTTAAGTTAAGTTTCTAAGTTCTAAAAAAAAAATTATACATAGCGAGAAGAAGTGAAAATAGTCATAACGATAACGGAGAAGATAGAGAGAGCCATCCACTGAGAAAAAGAAATAAATCATTTTCTCGCTCTGCGATTTTTAATGATTCTGAAGACATTGTTTCGACATTGTGTCGACAGGTGACGGTGTACGTCGACGTCGAATAAGTTGTCGCACTTTTTCTACGTTACTGATGATTATGGCGAAGTGCTGCCAAATCAGAGTGTGTAGTGTCTTGTACAGAATATCATTGACGATCTGATCAATTTCTTTTTTTTTATCGAGGTAAGAGCAAGCGACGAGCTAGCAGAATTCTAATTCTATCTGTGTGATATCGCGGAAGGCGTATTAGTAAATTTTCCTTAATGACAAAGAAACGAGACTCTTTCACGTAACATCGCCAGAGTTGATATTTGTTCTTTCCTCCAGCCATACCTGAAAGTACAATAATAGACTTGGCTGGAACCTGCAGCCTGATTAAATAAATAGTATTGTCTGTCTCTTCAACCGCTCCACTAGCAGTAACCCAACTACCCTTCCGTCTGGCGCAAATAGATCAAATCAGGCTCAACCAAATTTTTTTCTTTTATTAACAGCCTCAAACACATAACCTTCCTGAGGCTGTATGTTGCGTGCCTGAGAGCTTGGTCCATCGCGTTCTAATTTGATTGTAATTCTTCTTTCTTTGAAGGTATATATACGATTGGAGGGCAGTATATAGAAAAATATAGTATTTTCGTGCCCACTTTATGTAACTTTTTGTCCATAGTCGCGCATGTTTATTTTATTTTCAGACAATCTTGATTTATGATTTCACAATTATATCATAAGTTTCATTTTGTCTTTTATTCGTTTCATTTGGAGATTTTGTGGATTGCACTGAACAAACGATAATTACCAGATTTCTTTTTAATTGTGTATATATGATCAATGCAGAATCAATGATTAGAAAGTATAAGGTATTAATTTAAACGATTATGCTGTTTTGATTTACAGTATATAAGAACATGGAGGGGCAACAATTTTGTTTACGATGGCACAATTTTCAAAACACACTGTTGAGCTCTCTTCCTAAACTGCTTGACGGTGGTTATTTAACAGATGTCACGTTAAGTGCTGGTGGTAGACACATACACGCACATAAGATTATTCTTTCTGCTTGTAGTTACTATTTTAAAGAATTGTTCAAGGTATCACATGCATTTCTAAATTGTTGAATATGTCTTTCTTTTTTTCCTTTTCATTTTTTCTTTTTTTTTTTTATCAAATTCAGTTAACAACAATCACATAAATCAACTTTTAGGACTTAAGTTCTTTGCAACATCCGGTAATAGTATTACCAGGGATGGAATATGCAAACTTATGTGCACTTGTCACATTTATGTATAACGGCGAAGTAAATATTTATCAAGAACAACTACCTGCACTTTTGGCTATGGCAGATACCTTGCATATTCGAGGATTAGCTGATATAGCTGGGGTAAGAAAATTCATCTATATTTTTGATTAATACAGTAAAGATATAAAGTAACAGTTGCACAAAATTTTTCGGATTGGTAAGTTTGCATTGTAGTCAGTATAAGATTGTAAAGATTTCTTGATATATATATATATATATATATATATATATGTATATATATATGTATATGTATATATATAAAATTTTTTTTTTTTTTGAATGCATATTTTGAATAACTTTGAAAATTTATACTTTCCTCTATTTTTCTTTTACAACTGTTCTACCAAACCTCTTATATTAATGCTTCATATATCAAGTAGCATGATTGCATTCTAAATATAATTTTTTATGCTATTAACTGTTCTTAAAGTTTAGAATAACATGATTATACACATACAGTAAAATTGTATGATTAATTTTAAATTCAATAGAAAATTTTTGTCTTAAAATATAAGATTGTTAATAGAATTTAATTTTTCGTTAAATTAATTTATACATAATAATTGCAGTTGGTTATTAAATGTTATTTACTAATTGTTTTATCATTGTTGATTAATTATATAATAGGGACAGATAATTAGTATTATTTGATGAATCATTATTCCTTATCCAATGAAGCTTGTCTCAGTGTGAATTCTAAGAAATATATTTAACAAAGCATGTATTTTCTTCAGTGCCTTAAACGTTAGCAACTCCTTGCTGATACTTATAATTTCCTTATAACCTGTTCCCAGAAACATATAGATGTATTTATATATTGACAAAATTACACTCTCATTTGTAATAATCATAATATTAATATGACTTGTTAATTGAATGTAGTTAAATATCCAGTAAATACAATTCTTTAGTAATTGTTACTTTAATTCCATAATCAAAAATTTTCATATTCATTTATATATTTAAGATCATATTATTTTATGAAACAAAATTTTTTTCAATAGATGTCTATAATTTAATTTATTTAATTTAATTATAGTAAATTGTCCCGTTATGTATCATATTTTGTATGATATATTCATAATATGTAATAAATATTAAACAATTAAATACTGCAAAAAAATACATGGACACTAATAAAATACCTTTTCCTTTATATGAAATTACAAAAAATCAAGTAATTTCTAAATTTGCTTCTCCCTTTTTTAATCTCTATATTACCCTCTGATTGTGTTGTTTTGTTCAGGTCACTTAAATACATTCACTGTCGTTCCTCAAGAAGTATCACACGAAGGAATTACCTACCACATATTATGTTCATGCGTGCATCAAAGGAACGATAATGAATATAAACGATATCCACGAGATCAAGATCGTTGTGTGTGTTGCAACTAAATGCAAGTGGATGCATCCCATGGAACCTTTCCCCATAGAATGAGTTTACAGGTATATCTAAAATAGCTTTATCCAAGAATTTCTCTACATGACTAAAACTTTTAGTAGATATTTTAGAACAGTTAAATCTTTTTTTTATACAATGTGTATTTTTCTTTGCATTACAATAATGCTTCATACTTTAGTCAAGGGTGGCTATAACAAAAATTTAGAATCAATGTAAAAAAATACTTAACAGACCTATTTTTTCAATTTAAGGCATAAAATAAAATAAAATGATATGAACAAAAAAAAAAACGGTGCATGAAATTTTTTTTATAATAACTTATTGAAAAAAATAAAATTATTTGCTGAAAAAATATGTTTAAAAAGTAAAAAAACTCAGTTCCAATTTCTTTGTATAACTAAAGAATTTAATCTCAGAGGCTAGGTAGAACAGAAATATCTTTGATTATTTAATAAAACAGAGAAGATTAATTATATAAAAAATAAATGAAATTTAAATGTGTCAATTTAATTTTAATATTCCAATTTTCATACTTGTAATTTATTTTTTTCTTTTTTTGTTTTCTTTTTACAGAAAAATTCGAGACACGATAATGGTTTATACGTTCAACCTCCACCAGTGCAACTGCAGGAAAAGATATTAACTGAACCTCCGATAAAAAAAGAAACTAAGGATAATATCATAGGTAGTAGAGAATCTTTAGAAACAGTTCTAGATACAGATGCAACTGAGACCATGGAAGAACAATCCTTTAATGATCAAGAAAGTATACCATACTGCGTGAAGACTAAGCCTTACTATTCCATTAATGCGAAGTTAAATCAAAGGGAAAAAATCAGTATTCCTTCTATTAATGCTTCTACAAACAAATACGTCGAGAAAGCGGAATATTCGGAAAGTGGAATAGATGAGGGTACATCTATATTAGAAGATCAAATTACTCCGGTAGAAGATACAAAACCTCCACCTATTTGGGATGCAAATTTTAAGTTTCTGACAAGTTCTGTGAGCGGTAGAACTTCTCAGAATTACAATAAATCTAGTGTCACTTGTCTTATCTGTGGAAAACAATTAAGTAATCAATATAATTTGCGAGTACACATGGAGACACACAGTAATAGTTCATATAGCTGCACAGCTTGTTCACATGTATCAAGATCACGAGATGCACTTAGAAAACACGTTTCTTATAGACATCCAGTTGCTTCATCACAAAAACGATCACGATATAATACACCAAAATCATAGAAATTGATTTTCTTATAGATACCTTGATTTATATCATACCTTTCATTTTAAGGTATATTTTATTTAAAACATAAATCTTGTGTTATTTAATTTGACTTGAATACTGAATACTTTATTGATTAAAAAACTTAAAAAAAAGAAATATAAAAGAAAAGACGAAAAATCGAAAATTTAGTTATAAATTTTTTGATTTTTTTGTTATTTATTACTAGAGTATATCTTTTAAATAATAGATTTCATCATCTGAAATAAAATTATTGATGTGATTAAAATTATTAAAATGCATCCTTGTTCAAGAGATATTCACTCTGTACAATCATTTTAGTTAAAAGAAAGGAGTTATTAGATGAATTGTACTAAAACGAAGTTATATGAAGACTATTTCCTAACTTATACAATCCCTTTTGTTTTTTTTTTTTATTTAATATTTAAACCAAGTTGCAAATATATAAAAGATTAATATTTTATTATATAAAATTAGGAGAGGATTTAATATGAAAAACTTATGTACCTCATCTTTTTAAGAAATATTCAGTACTAGACCGATTAAGAATGAGGCAAGCAAGATCTTGGTTATGTTGTTTTTAAATGTACAAATAACTTAAAGCGTGATCACGTTCCTCGAAACCTTTCGAATTGTTACTGTTTTCTTGTTATCGTTACGCTGTTGTAATAAAGACAAAGTAGACATTAGTTATATTTTTCGTTTTGACTTTCTTTTTCACAATTAATTTTACAATTTCCCAGTAAAAATCGAAGAATCAGAAAAGAGGGTATGCTTTCGTCGCGTTACATTGTAAATAGTTAAAAAATAACTTTAGTATGTAAAAAATTGTCGTTTATAATTGACATTGCGCAAAAATGTAAAATGGTGTTATTGCAATTTCATTTGTATATACTGTGTACTTAGTTTTGATTATTCTGATATACCGAATGTAAATGATCGTAATACAGACTAATCAATCTTATTCAGAAAATCGTATTAAAAAATAATATACAATATTCATTCATTGGCTACGAAATAAATAAAATGCATTCAAAAATTAAGCTCTTTTGAAAAGAAGGAAGGACACATTTTTAAAAAATATTAATTAAATCTTTTCTATACGCCATATTTTAGTATTACAGTCCTGCCCGACTGAGATCAATGTTTCCTCATCTAGCCAAACTAAACGTGTTATTTGACTCTGAGGATGAGCATCTGAAATAAAATTGTTTTTCACAATCATATACGTTGAAATAAAATAACATTACAAAAAAGAAGCAATTATATATACTTACTTTTAATAATAGTATGCTTTGCTGGATTTGTTACACTCCAAATAATGATAGTTGTATCAAGGCTACCGCTTGCGACCATAGCCGAATTAGGAGACCATGCTACAGAATTCACTCTTGCATTATGGAAACCCCATTCTCTATTGTGTGCAAGCTATAAAATGTTATATTTCATTAATAAATTTTCAAAGCAAATTTGCTTCGGATAATTATTTTCTAGTGGTAAGCTTTACTCACCCTCTAAAAATCCAATAAGCGTTTAGGAGGAACAATTGTTACAAAAAATTGGTATAAATACATACAATATAGCAGTGACAATATTTTGCTAATGGTAAATATTAAGGGGGCGTTAAAAGCGTAAAATGCATTAATGAATTTATCTACTAAATGGCGAAAGTTAAATGGAAAAGCAGCTTACACCTTGTCTGCAACTTTGCACAATCGATATGTATGAATTTCAAAGATATTTTATGTCGTTTCTAGAAATTGTATAAAATAAAAACTTCTTTTTCTTACCTTATATTCTGGCACAGTATAAAGAATCACTTTTCGATTTGTATCACACGCTACTAAGTATTTATTATCAGGACTGTAAGCAGCATCTGTAACTGTACCTAAATGTTCTAATTCCATTTTCCAAGTTAAATTCGTATCTGATAACGTATATATACGAATCTGAAAATTACACATCATTTACTTCAACCTATTTACTTACAAATCATTGCGTCATATCCTCGTAATTATTTTTATAAGAATAAATTAAACGAAAATGTACCATATTGTCTGATGTAGCTCCTACAGCTACATCACCATTTTCCTGATTAATTGACACACAAGATGGTTCATAATCGATTGGTGTATTTGATACTTTTCGTCCATCTTGTGTAAGCGTTATCTAGAACACATAACTATTGTTAATTTAACTAGTTATTAAATTGAAATACAATCGCGTTGCAATCTTACCTGCCGAACAGTTGCAATTACAGCTATATCTTTATAAATATCTAGACCTCGTGGTTGGGAGTCCAGTTTAACTATAGCCGCGTCTGTATACGTGTTTGTATCGATATCAACTGATCTTAAAGTATCATCGATACCAGCGGTATAAAGTAAATTTTTCGCAGCTTTCATTCCGTTAATTTGATTTCCGTGTCCATGACCCTGAACACGATCGTTCTCTCCCGTCTTTGCATTCCAATTGGTAATATACCCATCATGAGAGCCAGTATAAATTATACTTCTATCTGGACTCAAAGTTAATACTGTTATTGGTTTATTATGACCCTAAAAATATTCCAAAATTTAAAATTCATCTTATAAAAATACTCTTATTATTATTATTAGGGGTGTGTGAGAACCCGAAAATATCGGGAACCTGATGGTCGGGACGAGCCGGGAAGAGGTCGGGTTCCAGAAAATTTCGAGCACCCGGCTGCCGTTTCTCTAACTACTCTATAATGCTGTATAGCAGCCTACAAAATATGTAAATACACAGTTCAATTTCTTCTGCCAGTGAAGTCATTGGAAACACGGATTCTAAAAATTGTGTGACCTGATGTAAACGAACGTCTGACTGCGTGCTTAATACTTGGACGTTATGTACGCTGTTGAGCAGTATCGCTGAGAGATTCCGGGAAGCTCGGACGTATATTTCAAAATCTATGTGAATCTAATGAAGACTAAAAGTCTTTAAAAAAAAAAAATGTCGAGTGACAGTGATAGTAAAATTGTGGTAGCAGGAAGTAGTGCGGAAGATATATCGTGCAAATGAAGAAGGTAGAGAGAAGCTCTGTTTGGGAATCATTTTCAAGAAAAAGATGACACAAAGGCGGAGTGCACGCATTGTCACCGTGAATTTAAAACTAAGTATGCAGATACTACTGGTTTGTTACGCCATTTGAAGCATGTGCATCCAAACATAAGTGCATGTACTAAAAAAGAAACGGAATCGATATAAAATTTGTCGCATGTACAAAATGATATGCGAAAGATTGTCCAAAAGATATAACAGAAGGAATTGCTCGAATGATGGTTTTACATCTGTGACCTTTCGATATACTTGAAGGCTTTACCGAATTATTTAAGCTTGTTCCCAATCCTTTTCCAAATGCCAACTCTTTCGGGAAATTCCCGATAAATTCGAGAATCTCGAAATTTTCCAATCCTGAAAAAATTTCGTGTTCCCGACTCAATCCGACATTTCGGGTTCTCTCACACCTCTACTTATTACGTATTCAAGTTGTTACCTTTATTATTCTAAGAGGTTTTGTAGGATTATCAACATCCAGATAATTAATAAAGCCACTCAAAGATACAGATAGCAAATACTTGTCTTGCCATAAACAACTGACCTAAGAAAAGCTTAATCTTGTTACCGATTTTATTTTTATCTTTTTAAAATTGTTTTTGATTATTCGCTATATCATGAAATTAAAAAATTACATACTTGTTGATCGTCGACTGTTAATCCCATACTAAATTCACTAATCAATGAACGAGTTTCTACGTCCCAAAGTTTACATGTCTTATCACCAGAAGCAGTTAATAACTGCGTTCCATCTGGTTTCCAAGCCACCTGTAAGATAACGAAAGATTTATCTAGAATGAGTACATCATTATTTTTAGAAGAATTTGGTCTTAAATTGATTCAATTTATTTACTCCATATACTCCGCCTTGATGAGCTGGTGACCCTACTTCACCAACTAAATCGGAGCTCGTACCATCATAAATAAATACTTTTCCATCAAATCCTGCAGATGCAAATAAATTACCACTAGGCGAATAACGTACAGCTTGAACGAATCGAGTATGTTCCTGTTTGGTCATTCTGTACATATGACAAATTTATTATTTAAATCAACGTTAAGGAGTTTCTATCTAAGACTTGCGAGCGATAACGCTGTAATATTAAAAAATATTTAAATATTTTCAAATGTTACGAAGACACTTTGAAATCTTGCTGCACTCGAAAATCTTACATAGAAACTTACTATTAAACATTTATGTTAAGTTAAATTCATTTATCTTTCGTATACGTACTTAAACTTAAATGGTGGCCCTTCAAAAACGGCAATAGTATTGTCTTCACTTCCAGTGATTAATCTAAATGGTCTAGCAGGTCTGAAGTCGCACGAGTTAATAGATTTACTCTGACCAGAGATTTCACCTACAGAGGTACCGGTTTCTGCCATAAATACATGACCAAATCTAAAGTCATATATAAAAATAAGTCCATTATTAAAATCGAAACCGCACTAAGATTATGGGTCATTTACCTTTCTCTTCCTTCTCCAACAACCACCATACGTTGATTGTCAGGTGACCATGCTATATCTTTAATAGGCCCTCCAATAGGATGAAATTCATTTTTTAAAATGTGTTCTTTGTTGACAGTATCCCAAATACGTACCTTGCCTGATTGGTCTATAATAAAAAAAATTGTATACATTTTTAAATCTTTATTGGATTTTGATTTACATGTATTATTTTCTTATAAATACACATCTATAGATATACATACCACCTGATGCTATATAAAATCCACTTGGAGAATACTTTGCCACATTAACTGGACAAGAATGTTCTGTGTAAATATCTGTAATAGCTGGATTCTAAAAATAGAAAATGATTAAAGCAATACTGTGCTCCAGTATTTTATATATAAAGCAATACTATGCTTCGGTATTTTATATATAAATTAAATACTTACATCAATATTTCTAATAATTACACTATTACCATTAGTGTATAAAAAGTTTTTTCCTTTAGGATCACCTCCTAATACAAGGGGTTGTCCTCTTTGTGTTCTTGGTAATGTAGCAAATATATATTCTGTAAATACGAAAAATTAAAGTGAATATTTGTTCTATATAGTATAAAAACAATATGCGTATTTAAATTAATTTAAATGATATAAAGAAATATTCAATAACAAATGTAGTTTGTAATATATTTGAAAATTGTATAATAGAATGCATTTCTTCACTGGAACCAAAATATACTTCCTTGATTTATTGGCATAAATCCAATATGCAATATTTCAAATTATTTTAAGCATGGAAACTGTATTTTGGCCTAAAATTATCACTCTCTGCTCTTAATACTTCCAAGAAAACTGCTTTTGGCTAAAATTTAATTAATGCAACCAAGTAATATAAATATATAATAATTCGAATCTTCAAAACTATTTCTAAGATAATAAAACATATTTCAATTCTTTTAAAAACTAATACTTGTTATACTTTGATTTTAGAAAAATTTAATTATTACATATATAATTTGCAGTTTGTCATTTTTTTCACAGTATAAGCGTGTGTTTTTTTATTCTTACTTTTGTACATTGTTGCAAATTGGACTAGGTAGTAATAAATTATACTTACGAAAAGCGTAGTTTCGATTAAAAAATATATATATATATTCGCAATCAAAAAATGCAAAATAAGTGGTAAACGATATGACACGTAGGAGCTGTGTGTAAAAATAAAAAATGAAAAATTCAGCGATTTGATGAATGATTGATTACGCGTGTGCGTATCCAAAAGAAATTGATAATTTTATTTTAATTGTAGCCAATCGTGACATTACACAGCCGCTAATGCATTTGTTGAAGTGTTATGATTTGGCATAAGATAAGGCCGGAAAATTGTGCGGCTCGATATTCACATAAAATAGACGATAATAAATCGTCAGGAATGCATGAAGAACAGGTGAAATCTCTGAGCGCCACTTACTTGTTTCATAGGACATCTTTCTCCCGTTTGTTTCTTTTAAATAATACTTGAAAAAACTGAACAATGAGAACAGTTCAATGTTCCTCGTATCTTTCGTCGTCTCCCCCCCCCATGCACTTCCCACCGAAATGCTTGTTCCGCCCTTGCCTTATTTAGTCGAAGCATTGATTATACCGCAGCAAGATGGTCAAGTAACTGTGTAGTTAACGACAGTAAAGCCTCGTTTTCATATTGATAAAGAAATTTTGTCTGTCAGAAATGTATTCGTTCTCATTAATAGGGTAAAAGCGGGGAATTAAAGAGAGCGGCTGAATCGAATTGAATTAAATTTAACTTAATAGTTTATCTCAAAAGATAAAATAGGAGGTTGCAGATTTCAGAACATTGTCGAAAGAAGTGGACTCTTCTTCAGTCAAATATCACATTTTATTTTAAATCATTTATATATGCTTAAAAACATTCGCAATGATCAATTATTTCTCTTTCATTCTCTCTCTCACACACACACGCGCGCGCGCGCGCGTTTCAACCGTTAACTTGATAACAAATTTTGTAAATACTTATGAAGTTTTATACAAAATCTACATTATTACGTGTTCGTATAAAATGTGGACGCATTATGCTAAAAAAGAAAAAGAAAAATTCTAATATCATTCTTTGTGCAAATACGAATATCGAAAATGTCACAACACCAAATATTACGGACTTAGAAATTTTTTTACATGAAAATTCAAATTACGTGCTTAGAATACGTTCTCGAACTTCGCTGCATGATTTTGTAATAAATATTTTATTTCAACGAATAAAATATTCGAATGCAGGTATTATTGTACGAGTGAGAATATATTCCGCTAACATTATGTTATATGTGAGTTTTGTACGTATATATTCACTCAGCATGAAAAATAACAAATTTTCAGCGAGGTAAGTTCCCTTGTGCCGTAACTTGTACCTTAAAAGCGAATAGAACAATTGAGAATCTAATTGAGATTTGAAGAAATCTCATGTAATAAAAAGGACTTGCCTATTTTCATGCTTATTTGAATCATAATGTAGATATAAGCGAAATTACAAATGAAATCATTGTAAAGATAAATGATACTTTCACGGATAACAAAATAAATAATAAATTAATGGGAAATACTGCGCAATTAGAAATATTCATGGTCGACATTATTTACCTATAACGTGTACAGATATATATAAAGAAGAGTATATGTAATGATTCGAAGAACTTACTAAAATACTTATTTAAGATCGAAAATTATGAACAATTTGACTGTCGACCAATCGTCAACTTAACTTTCTAATATTACGTACTCTATTAAATGTTTTTGAAAACCCATATAATTGTTAGTACGAAACATATGAATACCATTATCAAAAGCAGTCTTTTCAAACTTATCGCCATTAAACTTTACGAAATTATTATCTAACGATGTACGGATGAATTGTCGAAAAATATCACTCTTCACTCATTGCCTTACGTTCAATAAATTGTTCAATAACTGGCTAACGTTTGAAATATTAACTCTTGTGTCAAGAATTAATCATCAAATTATTACAGTCAAACAATTCTTAATGCTACTTATTTTATGAAAGACCAGTTTTTCACAACTACAAGAAATAACCACGACAACTTTGAGTGTAAAAAGGTGTACAAACTGATCTGAACCCTTATGAAATGTTTTCATCATACCTATTAAAGATATTACTCTCCATACCGCTTTAAGACTTTCAACATGTCATTTTTATCAAGTAAATTTCATTATTACCTATATATCTACGATTATCTTCCTATACTTTCCGATAATTTCGACTCCTTTTTAGAAACAGAAACATGTTTTTCTATTTCGTCATTATTTTTAAACTTCAACATTCAACAAATTTCACATTGCCTACTCTATAATGGGATTTTTCAACTCTTTAACGCTAATTTAAACATTTCTCCTTTCAATGATACTGTATCTTACGCTTTGCATTCATTTCTTCAGGTAATCGTCTCTTAAATGGTGGATAATTATTTCGGAAATGAGCAGATTCTTCTTGAGACCGTCGATGACTATTGGTCTCCGCAAACGAGTTCCCTTTCAATCGTTTCTCATAAAATTCACTGTCAGCTTCAATTTCTTCGATTGAGGGTATTCGAGAATGCCTGAATTCTTCCGCATCTTCGTCTCGAGGCAGAGAGCGTGTCGAATCTTCTGGAACTGGTCGACCATCCGGATACACTCGAATTACCATTGGTCCAACTAGATAAGGGCCAGTGTGCTCTGAGGATGGTCGAATATAATTGTTTGTTGCCATTTCTTCTGCTATACCATTTACATCGCTATCGTCGATAGCTGGAAAAAAAAGTAACAATAAATAATTCAAAATTAAAAGATAATGCTACTGAAGTCTAAAGATAATTCTGTTAAAAAAATAAGATTGAACAACATATTTGGAATAGGAAAATTGTTTAAAATAATTCATTTTCAATGTAAACCAAGATTCTCGAATAACTTATAAAAGATTGGTTACATATTTTCCTGCGATTATACTTCCAAATTTTTTTTTTTTTGCTGTTCCTCTACACTTTGAATTATGCGAGAGAGATTATTATAAGGAGAGAGACTCATAATAACTTTCTGTTCTTAGGTCCTTATCAATAATATATCTTTTATAAAAGCAATACTATTTCTTAAAGATCAAACATGGAAAGAAGACATTGTCTAAATAATTAGACTGAAGAATTAATTGTTTAATTTATTTAAAAATTGCTTAAAAATGTTTTAACTCTGAATCGATTAATAATTTAGATAAAATTAATATTAAATTAATATTAAATAGCGGATTTATGAAATTCGAACTCTTAAGGTTTAATTGATGCATATTCGTGTTATTCATATTAATAAATGAATATCATTATGAATATCAATATAATCATACAATTAAGCAGCTATGAAAAAACTCTAAAATTAAAATTAAATTTTATGGTAATAAAGAAGAATTATCATTGATCGTAAATATTTTTAAACTGATCGATTTCTAAACGCATTTTACTAATGTATGCAATATACACGATTCAAAAGTCATTTCTTGTTTGCGTCTGTATGTGACCCTCGGATTATGATAATTCGATGTCTAATATTTTTATGTCAGTGTCTCATGATACTACTTCCTACTTCCGTCAAGTTCAGAAATGCCATATTTAATTCGTTTAAATAGACTTGGAAGAATATTTTGCATATTTTGTTCATAAGAATAATTTAAAAATTTCTCATGAATATATTCCGTAGCTAATGGCATAATCAGAGTAAAAGATAATCATCAATTAAAATATCAATAAAATGAATTAAGAAGAAGACTGATGAAATCAACGAGAATAAATTATCAGAAAAAGCATCTTCTAATCTTTCCTTTTATCTTTTCCGAGATTTAGTAAGAGAAATCCATAGAACAGATCACATTTTTCATAGCATCCAAAAACTCTCCCTGAACTTCGGTTGACTCGTTCAGATCGGGTGAAAGTGCAGTTAAAGAAGTTGATCCAATTGAGAACAAGCATTCTGCTATCAAACGCGATCTCGTTCGGGCGAAAAAACACTTTCTAGTGGAACGTGCGCGATAGAGACGAATGCGTTTGTAACTTTCTCGTAGTAGTATTTGTTTTCGTTCATTTCAAGTCGTGTAGATAATAATCCCTTTCAACATTTACCATTTCTTCTTATTATGATTGTTAACAACTGTCATGCAACTTTGATTTTCGCGGTCAATACTTTTCTCGACTAATATGTAATGTAGTTCTACAAAAATACTTGTTCAAGTACAAGTTTCTCTCGTTCTTTTCTTCTTTCTTGTTAATTAGGACTTTCACTTGCATTAATGAACTTCATATGATTGGAAAATTAACGGTGATTGAGAAAACAATCCTAAGGTGTTCTTTCTATTCTATAGTCTTCTAAATATATGTGGTTTCATTTGTAAATAACGTACCCAATGAATCCGTTCTGATAGAGAAATAAAATTCATCCAGTTTGGGAGCGAATCTTGGAGAGTATGCATTTTTTATCATGGCCCGCCAAACTATAAGTAAGAAGCAATAAGTTAACGAAAATAAAAATTAACTTTGATTGTTATGTTCAATTTATAGTGAAATTGGAAATTTTACTAACTAAGTTCTTTCGCGTTACGTTGATACGGATCCAATCTATCAAGAACATTATTATCCATGTTAGCCAAGTTCCGCATCCCAGCAACCAATAAATTTTTATTGCAATCTGGCATCGATGAGTCCGCACAATATTTGGCCACTTGCATGCTGAACATTCTTAACAAATAGCTTGCCTGAAAGAAATATTAAGAATTTTCAGAAAAATTTCTTTCAATATTATATTACATTTTAATCTATTATATAAATACAAATACTAAATAATCTACTATTATATAAAATACAATTTATTATGTTCCAAGAAGGCAGTAATTTAATACAGTCAATTTGTTTCTAGGTGGACGCGTAAAGGAAATATGAAGATCAATGCTATTTCTTTAAATAGAATTACATGATCTTTTTTACGTCAATCGATGCGGCAGACCATTTCCTATGAAAAGGTATTAACTTATCCATGTCGAAAAATTAACAATTTAGGATATATAATATTTTAACTTTAATTTAAAGACAAGGGCAGTATAAATGTAAGAATATTGCCCTTGTTCTTCCTGGTTTCTCATATAATAAATTTTATAAAATTAAAGTTAAAATGGGGCATCCTGTATACCTACATACATCCAATATAATACATTATCATTGAACAAATAAATCATGTGACAAGAGAAACTGAGTCTTGAATCATAATTCAAGACATCTCGTACAATTCAAATTTCAAACATTTCCCGCCATTACTGCTAAGTTCAATTTTTAAGATATATTTTCGTAACTAACAATTAAATATTGTATCATTGCAAGATTGATTTTCAATAACTTATTCTTTAATGTCGATGAAATTTTTAAGATCGATTTATATGTAAAAAATAAATAAATAAATGTGTTTTTCTCTACGTAAATTGTTGTTCATCGCGAAAGCTGTTTTTCATTCCGTGAGGACAAACGCATTCTACGTGCGTCCGGTGAAACTCGACAATGTGTAACATACAGGATATCGAACACTACAGTTATAACAAATATATATGCGTGTCGCAGTCTGTGTCGTATATCACGTATCGGGTTCTGATTGCGATACACCGTCTTTTCTTCTTTTTCGTCACAAGGAATTCTGTCCGCCACGCGAAACATGCCCCCGTTCGTCTATGTAAAACACAATGACCGATGTCCACATACTTTTGGCTCCATCTACGTCCAAGCGATTACGCGAATATTCAATCTTAGAATTTCTAATGACATTTCTGTAACCTGTCTTTCAAACAGCTACAAAATTTAATATAATGACATTTGGGTAAGTCTATTTGCGCAACAATAAAATAGTTTGAGATATATATTTATTTCTGTAATTCGATTTTTGCAATTTCTATTATATCCTGGAATTTTTATTTTGCATCTTTTATTTACGACAGATTCTTAAAATAAGAATTTTATTCTTAAATAAAACTTGTGCCAATATTTTTATAGCAATAATTATTTTTCCAACAGTTTGAAGTTGTGTTTGAAGTTATTTGTTCTCGAACACATTAACAAAGAGACGAATGTGATGAATTTCAATCTCGACAAGTTGCACTCACTCGTACATATGTACGTACATGTATTCCGATAGTGACCTACATAGATCTACAACGTGATCGATGGTGGATTATTGTATTATCTTCTAAAAGTTTCCGGATATAAGAGAAAGTCTATGTAAATGGACACAGAATTGTTCGGTAAATGATCATCGTAAACAGAAGAGCAAATGCGAAAATAATAATCTCGTTATACGAACACGATTTTGGGAAAACTTTCAAAGTTTTTAAACGTTGGAATATTTTAAGTCGACTTGAGACTCGGTAAGTTACAAGTTCAATTCAATCACAGATAGAGAGCACGTTCTTGAACTTCAACTTACTTTCAATCACTTTTATCAACATACGTATTACGAACATGTTACAGACGCAGTGCATACTCTTTCTTTCCTCGCGTAGATGGATTGTAAAATTAAGAACAAGTTATAGTAATTCTAATTTCAAAAGGACTTCTAACGTCAATTCCTATCAAATATTAACGTTATGTATACATTGAGATATTTCTTTGCATTGTAGAATCTGAAATTAATTAGTTTAGAAACTGTTTATTAATTAACTTGGGCAGTTAATTTCAAATTCCTCGATGCGGCATAATATCCTAATGTATAATTAATATTTAATCATGATATTAATAATATTCAATAATATAAAAATAAAAAATGTATAGTAACTTTTATAAAATGAACAACAACCGAGTTTAATGAACTATATATACTATAATGTGCAATGGAAGAATAATATAACAGATCGGTGTCGTCTTCTCTAACTGCTGTATTTGATTGCAGCATTCTTTCTCTACTGATAAGCAGTATCTTATTTCGTGACTATAAGAAACACGTAAAATCGTTACATACTTATTGTCAGAGTAATGACCAATCATGCTGTTCAAAGATGAACAAAAATTTATTAACAGATAATCACGATTAGTTAATTTGACCTCCAAATATTTAGCATTCTATAAAGACACTAACCATAAGATTAACAAAAAAACATTCTGTTATAACATTAACAAAAAAAAAAAGTTTCTCTACCAACTATCGACAAAACAATGATAAAACCCATTGATCGTAAACTGTTGCGTCTGAGACTATTTTCAGAAAAAGTAGTGTTATAAGAATGGCACAATGTCATGAGAAAAGTCAATGTCCGAATTGCGCTCGCGCAATTACACTCGACCGGACTGCAAGTGCATGAGAAGAGCATTTTCAGCGAATGCAGCTGATTATGTTCGGTGAAAGTCTGCTTTTGTTGATATTACATACAGACTTGGTATAAAGTCTATTTTATTAAAAAAAATCTTAACGCATATATAAACAATAATAATTTTATTTGTTTTTCAAATTTTTTTTAGGAAAAGATTTACAAGGTATAATATAATTAGTTTATAATGAAACATGAAAGCATTTCTTACTTTCTCACCCCTGGAGAGGAATTCCCACATAGGGATCGCGGACGCAGTGACACTGAGGGCACAACATCCCAGAATGACAATGAACAGCGTAGCAGTTCTTAAGATCTTCATCGCTGTTTCACTTTTAGTTTTAATAGCTGTCACAAATACACCTCTTATTACGTATTGTTAATCTGGAGAATTCGATCTATCACGTATACGAAAAACTCGTGTAATGAAGACTCTTGACAGAAACACTAGTTTTATGACTCAGAATGTATGTACAAATGATATGGAAACGAGTCTTAAGGTTAAGAATTACTCATTAATCAACCAAGTATTAAAAAAAGAAAAGAAAATGTGTTGGATAAAATTCACGTGAATTCGAACGAAGACGAACGATGAAACGACTCTCCCACACGAATGGTCTTTACAAACTGGGTGAATTTCCTTCAGTCCCTGATTATATGTTCTGTATACCAGTATACCAGTGACGTCCATGGAATACCAGGTCCCCCACTCCTACTTTCAAGAACAGAGTCCACTGTTCCATAGTACATATTTACTTCTTTCCAGGATGTCACCTAATTAATAGAAACTTTTATATGGCAAAAAAATCTTAACTAATTTTTTCTTCTTTGTTTCTACGAATCAAAATTTCCAATTCAAATACACGTACAATTTATTATATATTGTCTTTTTGTTGCGTCTATTTGATGCAATAAATTATGGAAATTTTTGAAATTAATTTTGAAAACGCAGACCTGTAAGCACAGAGGAAATCAATTGAAAACGATTGTATATCTGAAAGAGGAAGTTCGTGATGCTCACTGCTTTAAAAGGATCCAATCTTGCTCATCCATTTCTTCCAGCTTTAATATACATATAGATAATAGACAAGTCAAACTCTTAAAATTATTTTCTTCCGAATTTTCATAAAAACATGCTTTCATATATGAATTTACGCTGGTGCAGGTACGCGGTGGGAAATGAGAAACCTTGTATTATTCGTGCAGCTAAATGCCGACAATGTGAATGTGTAGCTTGTTACCGCAACCAGCGTCGTTCCAGGTAATCTCGACTATCTCGTAGGTTCGCTGCACATTTAACAGTCAGCATGCAGTCATCCGACTATTATGTCATTCGGATCCTACAAGAATAGATCTACATCAGGGATTCTCAAATTGTTCATTATGAATCAAGGCTTGATCATAATAGAGTAATTACTCTAGTATTCAATTTTATATAAAACAGTGCTCTACATTTATTATTATAAAAAGTTGATTATAGTTTTTACAAGTATGATGGAGGATAAAATTGTACTTCAATTAAATGTGAAACTAGAGAATCAATACATTTAAACGTTCGTTTAATGATATGCACGATTGAATTTAAATCTTAATTTATGTTACTATGATTTTGAAAAGGAGTAAGATTTGTAAACAGATAAAAGTTAACTAAAAAAATTACTTCATGTATTTTGAATTTGAATATTATTTCTCATGGTTGAAAATCACATAGTGAACGCAATTGTAATGTATCATCAGTCGTTGAAGCTAACTTGAAGGTAACTGATTGAGACTACTAGGACAAACAATTTGCTTGGAATCGAGTGGTCTTACAAAAATCGTATATGGCGATTCATTGACCGAACAAGTTGTTCTACTTTTCAAGTTAATCGATAGCAGGTATACGATCTGGCCTAGTTATGTGTCCATAGATTGCGACTTTCATCATAAAAGGTTACTCATAAATTTTGATCGATTTTTAATTAACCAATCTATATTCTTATCAATGATACTGTCCTATGTGAGGTTATATCTTTCTACATGAAAAATATATAAAATATAAATGTTGAAGACAAAAAGTCCAATATACATACATAAACTTAGAACTTGTATGTAACAAATTAATGAGAGAACAATCAAGGGAGTTTCAATTTACGTTTTAGCATGTAGGTACATAGTACTTAAAATAAAAATTTTGTTCTTTTTAATAATTTAATTTTTTGCAGGCAATTTGGATCTGAAAACTATTTTCCTTGATTTATGAGCCCTTACTTATCATTCTTTCAATAAGTGCTTTTAGTCTTTTTATTTCCCATTAAAATTAAATTCAATTGGTCATGAAAATATATATTTTACTTGATTTCTCATATAAATAATTGCAGAATTATTAAATAAACAGGATTTCAATAAAATAAGAAACTTCCTCTTTCTTCAATACTGTGAAAAATATTGGATAAAAAAAAGAAGAAGAGAATTACAAACATTGATATTTTGACTGACGTAGCTTCATGGGTTAATAATGTGACGCCCCGAAAATATTTACTGCGTTTTACAACCGTATAAAAACAATATTAATTCACAAAGAAAAAGACAACTATGCAACGATTTAATAGCGCAGTATATTAAAAAGAAGCCGAAGAATGTTAAATGAGTTACGATTTGTTGCCGGTAACGGTGTTAGCGAGCTAAAATGATTATGCATAAATTTTTCGGCGCGCAGAGTGACGTGAGAATGTGGCGCCTCTGAGGAATGCAGACCTACTACCTACGAAACAATGTTAAGATTGATTAATGAGTGTTGAAGCTTTGTAGCTAAAAATTCCAGAGGGTTACCACGTCTTTTTGATACGGCGATTTATTAAAAAATGAGTTAAATTTATCATATTGAAGTCTGCAAGCTCATCATTGGAATACAATTACATTTTCTTTTTATAAGGATTCTTTCTCTAAAGACAGTCGTAGACACCTGATCAATAAATTATCATGGAATAAAATTAGTATGTATATATACACACAGAAACAATTTATTTATACTTGTTTTGTTTATGAGAAAAATCTAGTTTTCCTGCTATTTGAATTGGATATATTCTTCTTGTAGTAATCTAACTCCAACGTTCCCTAGAATATAAAATAACTTATACTAATACGTAGATAATAATCTATTAAAGAAAATTAGTGTAATTATTTCTAAAGCTATATTAATTCTTCATCGTTTTGCGAATGATAATTTATTGTCGATTGATTAGAATGAAAAATCAGCGATTTTTTGGTAATCAGTTGATATATATAGAGATACTCTTAACGATGACGATTTTCATTTCATATTTATATTTGATATCTATTAATTCTAGGTAATCTATTAATTACAGATTAGACTGGATGAAATAATATGTAAATATGTTCTGTTTCAAATTAAGAAATATAGGTAGAATAATTTATGCTACATTATTTTCTCAAAATGAAAAAAAAAACGTATCGGAATAATAGATACTATGTACGTCAGAAATGCGAGAGAAATTTTTATGATTAAGAAACAAAAATAGATTACCGCGGGAATTTCCTGAAACTTTACAAAATTCTAGGATCCAAGTGAAAGAAGAAATCATGACGCAAAAGTTTTAATTAAATTCTCGAAATTCCCCTTCGTAATCACATTCCACTGAAAAGAATGAAATTGAATGATTAATCGAAAAACATATTGCAAATGAAATGCTTTAATGCAATGTTTAAGTTAATCAGCATTCATTGGGAATTTCATACGAAACAAATTTCTCTTCTTTACCATTTTACAAAATAATTGATTCTCTTATAATATAAACGCCGAGCCTGTCCATCGAACGATTTCGCATGAGTACAATAAATTTCACAAGTTTTGAATTCCAAAGGCATGTAACAGTATGTCTGGTCACGTGTAGAAATCTACGCGAATCTTATGAACAGTGTTATTCTGAAAGGAAATTCCAAGTATTTGTTTTAATCTGAGATTATATTGATCAATAACATTTTAGTTGAATAAGAAGTATCGAGTAAAAATAATATAATTATTTTATTCACATTTTTAATTGAGAAAGATAAGGTGTGCAAGAGAATATTTCACGGAATTTGTATTTTGCATATGACGACTTATGTTACAAATAATATATGTATAAGTTCAATTTTTATTCTTGTCTTTCAACTGACGTCATTAACATAACGTTATTAATTTTGGCTATACATGTAACTAACAATGAGCTTTATTGCACTTTTAGTGAATTAATATAAGAAATTATTGCAAAAGTTTAAAAAAGCATTGTGTTATAAAGTATTTCATTAGTATTTAGTTTAAAAATTAAATTTGAAAATTAAAAAACTGAATTGGAGAACTATATCATATAATTAAAATTAAGGATTTGAAAATCATATTAGTTATTAATAATTAATAATTAAATTTAAAAAAAAACTGTATTTTGGAAGAACCTTTTGATTGAAAATACAGGGGCGTACACAATTGATTCGCATATTTTCTTGGAGATTGGGGAATATATAAGTGATGTAAACGCTGAAACATCTCTGCGTGGGACATAATTTAAATGCAATTTAAAACTAGTTTAATGGTGTTTTCGGTACGAATAAACTTCTTCATTTTTGAGGTATTCGTTTACTGACGTCAATACGAGGAATATTGAAAAGTCGTAAAAAGTTAAACTGGCGCCGTTTTGCCGGGCAATGAATCGTGTTTATGGAGGTATAATAAGAGATTCAAATGTCCGGTTTCAAAACTACGTGAAAGAAATTTCTTGTCGCTATACTGTTTTTTTTTGTCGCTACGGCGGGATAAAAAAGTTTTGCATACCTTCCCTATTGGAATACTATAAATGCAGCCGTTTTTATTATTTAAAAATATAGTTTAATTATTTTTAATACTTTCTGCGATGTATTCAAAACTACTTTCGTAAGTCAATGATGAGTATTTTCAACAATGAATTGAATAAATCGTTAAGAAATTTATCATAGACTGTATATAATATAAAATTAAAATTCTACATGGACAGCTGAAAAGAATGCTCAATCGATAGAGCAAAATTATTTGTATTATTATGCAAATGTAAAATAGACAGAGACATATTTCTAAGTATAAAAATATATTTGATAGTTTAATATTATAATCTCAGCAATATTTATATGCTTACAAAAGATTTACATGCTTATCTAATAAACAATTCAGTATCAACAAATTAATAACTTTCTTACACTATAAATATATAGAAACTTCTTGTCATATAATTAGAATTTGCATCTTTATTTCAGTAATTCAGTTTTATTAAACAATTAACAGTTTAATAACACTAATACTTCTTCAATGACGCCCATAAGCATGGTGTGACTGATGTGCTGTAAATGAAACAAAATTTTTATATAATTCCAGAATAAAAAACGGAGATAAATAAAGATATAATTCTAATAAACTTACGTTTATAAAATTCAGAAAAATTTATATTTGGCAAAAGAGAATGAACTTTTTCTAAAACTGTTGCCTTTGATGCTAAACTAGCATTTGTATTCCATATCTATGAAAAAATGAAAGATTTTATAATACAGTTTATACTTGTTTATACTTTAATTAGTTAATGTAAAGTTTTTGTATTGTTTTTAACTACTGTTTTTATTACTTGGACAAGATCTTCTCTATCCCTAATAGATACAGTTACTCCACAAATTTCATCACCTTCTGCAACGCATTCAGCAAATTGTTCTCCGATAGCTGCAAGTACCATCTCTTTCCATATCTTCTCCTAAAATTGTTAAAATTATATCATTAATATTATTAATATCATTACTGACAATTTTAATACCTACAGTATCAGATTTATGACACTTTAATCTCCATGTTCCACCATTTTGATTAACAGGCTCTTCCCATAGGGGATATCTTTCATCTCTCATTAAATGATAACTATATCTGACCTATTGCAAAAACAAAATAAAAAATATTTATTCGTTCTAATCAATTTAATGATATATTATAAAACATACTTACTTGCACGGCGCTAGCACTTGGTATATTGTTGAAAACAGCCCAAAAGCTTTGTATAGTGTTCACAGTATAAATCTTCGTTAAATTTTCTTTATATTCTTCAACAGTTATGCCAGAAATAGCTCTGTTAATTTTACCAACTCTTTAGAACTTTCTATATACACTATGAGCAAACAATGATTCAATTTTTTCAGAATTGTGTCTCTTGTTACATCTCTTTTTGTAACATAACAAAAGGATAAAAAAAAAAGAAATACTGCTTTAAAAAAAACCTTTAAAACAAAGGAGAAAAATATAAGAAATTAAATCATGAATATATATACATATCGTATTACACGTTACGCGTACTGTACGTAATTGTGCAATCTCATTTTCCTCAAATGTCCATTAAACCTATTTATGATCGTGAAATATTTCTTTTTTTCAAACGCTAGTGTGAAATGCAACTACTGCTGATTAAATACAAAATCATACTAAGTTGCAGTCATATAAAAAAAAATCATACGTGGATTGACGTATAACGATATAGGTTATAAAAATGAAGTGATAGCGACACACTATCTCGCATCGTTACATTGTTTCCTTTCATAGTTATTCGTAATAATAATTTTATATTTAAGGAAAAAAAAAGAAAAAAGAGAAACATTAGTCGGATACACTTTCCTGTGACATTTTGCAAGAATGAAAAATCAAACAGAAATTGCAAACATCGAAATAATATACTATACATTGAATTAGTAACTTTTGTACAAAGTTAAAAGTGAACTCGTTTTTCTTACTTGTCTAACCAAAATGTCCACGATGATTGCAACGGTATTCCCGACGTTTCATGTTTCTCGATTGTTTTGACCGTTTCATCTGAAAACACCGGTGTTTCCGATAACTCAGCCGAGGTATCTTCTTTCGGTTCACACTCCACCGCGGCCATGTTCGAAATGACGATACATATATGTACGTGTGTATATACGTGCATGTTCATAGCTAGCTTCTATGTCAAAAATCATATGATCCGAAGAAAACAATAACAAGAACGGTTCGACTTGATGATACAGGTGATCCATTTATAATTGGAAAATTGTGTAACTCGAACTACATTTAGGGAAGCTATCAAGTCATTTCGTGAATTTATCGACCATCTCGAGAAAAGAAAATAAGTAATTTAAACAGATTCGTTGAAAAGAAAAATTAATGACTGTTAAAGATCATTAATTAAGTATTAATAATAGATATTAAATGACATTAAATGTAATTTCGTGGTTTAGAGTATTTGAACACCAACCTGGAACACAGTCAGAGTGCTTGCACAACATGTAAACCACAGGTGTTGCAAATATGCATAGCCACGAGATATGTAGTTGTGTCGACAGCATTTCCATATATCTCGCTGTGTCTGTGGCAAATACATATAAGAATGATGGGAGAATGTAAATACCTTCATTATCAACCTTTGGATTGACAAATCCTGATTTATTCATTGATTACTCCATTTTTTCATAATTTTTTTTTATTTTTCGTAATGTTTTTTTAAATTTTTTAGTCAATGATAGATTGAAACTCTCTTTCAAATAGTTTTCAATTCTTAATGTGCTTACATAAGACGAATTATTGGCGTAGAAAATTATTATTTTTAATTTAGATATATAATGTGTTCAGTTCTTTCATTTTGCCGTAACGTGGCATTAGTGTTTCTGATTCCCTAATGGAAACGAATTTTCGTTTGCAAAAAAAGCTAATTAGATAGATTTAAATTATAAACTTTTGTAATATTGATGCTCAGCTTTCTTTCTATATCTTTTCAAACTGTAAAATGCATAAAATATGAATTTTTAAAATTAATTAGAACTACTAACTTACCGACAGATAGCGCCACCATGCCCAAAATGAAACTGCAAAAATTTGCAAAAAAAAAAAAAAACTAATCAAGAGAAATAATTTGTCAACTTTTGAAATTGTGTTTAAAAAATACAAATTGTGTTTGAAATTGTTTCAATTGTGAAATTTAACTCCTGGCTTTCTTTATATGTTCCATTTAAATTTCAAATTGTATTAATAAAGATTTTCAAATTTCATCATTGCTAACTAGGATAAATCGAACATTCAATACTTTTTTGTATCCAATACCATAGACAAGATTTGTGACATCTCGTATATATATTATTCATTTGTTTTATTTAAATTTACATTATTTTTGTTCATAAAATATCTTCTACCTTATTTATAATTTGATAGAAAAATAAAGTTTCAATCTTGATTTTATGTTTCATACTAATTTTAATATGAAATATAAGTAAGAAATGTTGTAATTTGTTGCTGAGCCATATTTTTCACTTTTATTCGAAAATGATCAATACCTGTTTTATCACTTAAGTAATAAGTTATGTATAAACAAGATGGTGTTCTATATTCAAATAATGAAATAATTTATGATATATGTATTTATCTTTTTTTTGTTAGCATTAAGGGGAAAGAAGAAAAATGGAATTATACAGAAATAAATTATATAGAATATAATACGTATAATGTATATATATATATTGAAGTATTATGTATGCATGCGAATGTATCAAATATAACTGTAATTCTTGTCGTAAATATATGTTATTCTTGTAACTTTAAATACTTGATAAATGTTGTACACACTGCGAATTACCCTTGTCCCTTCTACACGATTAGAAATATTATTAGATCAATATTATTAAGATATTTCGTTTCAATAGCCATGTAGTTCAACAAATTTATTTATTCAGAATATTTAGAATCCTATCATTTACACAAGTATGTAAAAACATTTATGATAAGCGTAAATGTATCTTTTTATATGCGTTTAATGTGAATTTTCTGTGATAACTTTGATAAAATTTCACGTACGTGACAAAATGTAAAAATTCAAATTTCCCGCTCGGCACGCATGCGCCATTGCCCTAGCGTCTCAAGCTGATGGAGTGGTGACTGCCATCTTTATTAGTTCAGAGACGCGCGGGGTAGATGTGTCAAATCGTGAAATCCATTACAATATTTGAATAAAAATGGTGTTTATACAGGAAAGATGATTTTTAACGTCCAAATTTGATGTAAGTAGTATGTCGTCTTTAATGACGACGTGAAAAGATCATACAATCTCGAAAACATTATTTGTGTCGGCCGATATATCAGCCAACACGAGATTTTGTGTCCTGCCCTCGCTAGGGTGAAAATCCCTTTTTCAGAATCAAACATATGATACAAGTTACCAGTAGCGATTATTTCTCTGATCCTTAGTATATGTCAGTCTATTTGGTGAAAGATAGTTGAGAGTTACAAAGAAGTTTATTTTAAGAAGAATTTCTTGACAATAGATATCATCCATTTTGTTTATGCATCTCCGGCATGTCTCGTCCCAAAAACATTGCACTTCAGTCTCATTCTCTCGTTTTTGAATGTTGTTATTTACGAAAACGTCGGGGAAATAGATTCATATTTTGAACGCAGTCGTGCTCACATTTAGTCGCTCTAAATGTTTTCTACTTTTCTAATCGAAACGATCGAAGCGATTTCAATCTATGTTTTGATTTTGTTTACGTACGTTCTTATGGTTTTATTTATGTTTATTATTTCACTCGTGTAAAAATACACAAGTAAATTATTTTAAACATTACGTCATATTTTTCACTTATAATCTTGTAACATTACGATTACGAATCGCAATGTGTTTCATTTTAATATTTAATGTCAATAAATTTTAAGTGAATGAAGATTTCGATTGAATCAACTATTTCTAGAAACTATTCATGTTTGTCTTCTGTTTTAGGTATGTAAATTGAGAAAAAGATGGTTAGCAACATTTCACGGGGTACTCCCCGTATCCAGGTTTTCAGACCAACGTATGAAGAGTTTAAGGAGTTCACCAAATATGTGGAGTACATGGAAAGCAAAGGAGCTCATAAGGCTGGTTTAGCGAAAGTGATTCCTCCACCCGAATGGATCCCAAGGAAAAAAGGTTACAACTTGGACGACTTAGATCTCACGATTCCTGCTCCAATTTGTCAGGTGGTAACTGGTAAACAAGGCCTTTACCAACAAATTAATATACAAAAAAAGTCAATGACTGTCAAAGAATATAGCAAAATGGCTAACTCTGAACGATATAATACTCCACGCCACTTTGATTACGAAGACTTAGAGAGAAAATACTGGAAGAATATAACGTATGTGGCACCTATATATGGGGCAGACGTATCTGGTTCCTTGACTGATCCAGATGTCAAAGAATGGAATATTAATCATTTAGGAACAATACTTGATTATGTGAACAAAGATTATGGTATATCTATCGATGGTGTCAACACAGCATACTTGTATTTCGGAATGTGGAAAACGACGTTTGCATGGCATACAGAAGATATGGATTTATATTCTATAAATTATTTACATTTTGGGGCTCCAAAAACATGGTACGCTATACCACCGGAACATGGTAGACGATTGGAAAGGTTAGCTAGTGGTTTTTTCCCATCAAGTTATCAAAGCTGTCAGGCTTTTCTACGTCATAAAATGTCTCTTATTTCTCCTCAAGTGTTGAGGCAATATTCCATTCCGTGCAATAAAGTAAGTATTAATTATTTAGTAAGAGTATTTAGAATAATTCATGGAATAGAAATGAGAATTATAATTAATATGTTTCTTTTTGTGTGCTTTAGATAACACAAGAAGCTGGAGAAATTATGATCACTTTTCCTTATGGATACCATGCTGGTTTCAATCATGGATTCAATTGTGCTGAATCCACGAACTTTGCTGCCCCACGATGGGTAGAGTATGGTAAAAGGGCTACACAATGTACCTGCAGTAAAGATATGGTTAAGATATCTATGGACACTTTTGTAAAACGTTTTCAACCAGAAAGGTAGGAACAAGTTCTTGCAGAAGTTGTATTGATCAGGATCAATGAGTTTTATTATCATTATTTATATGACGTAATATATTATAGATATGAATTATGGTTACGTGGAGAAGATATTGGTCCACATCCTGAAGATCCTAAACAAACAGCCGCACCTATGCCTTCTCAAATGGATCTTTTATGTAGCAATAGTAGCAATGGACAGTTGCCACAAAGTTATTTGAATGCCGCTCCGAAAAATAAACGACATACTATACATAAAAAAAAGAATTTAATGGCAACAAACTCAGATGTTGATATGGAAGAGTTGGTAAATCGTTCCGATATTCCACCAGATGTTAAAAAAGTGTTACAAGATTTAGAACTAGAAGAAGTAGATGACCAACCGGATGAACAACAGTTGGAAGTTTTAGAAGATATATGGTTGAAAGCAGGAGAAATGGGTAAAATATCTATCTTAAATATTATTATTTGCGAACTGAGGTTTTTGATTATATTTATACAATGCGTGTATACATATATAAAATATCGATTAATATTCTTTCTTATTTAATTTAATGAATAATTTTTTGTAGATGTAGATGAGGCTTCTGTGTACGATGATGGTTATAATCGTAAAAAGAGTCGAAAGAGAAAGAGAAAGAACACCGATAAGGATAAATCGAAGTCCAAAAAAGAATGTAACAAAAGTATTATTGATGGTGTTACGATAAAGACTGAAATAAAAATGGAGATAGACGACAGCTTTAATTTTTTACCGTCTGCAGAACAAAGTACACAATTAGAGAAAGTTGATCAAAGAAGTTCCAATGTCATTATGTCAAGGGAAAATGTCGTTGGAAATATAAAAATAGAAGAAAATTCTGACTTCTTGGAGGCGTCTGACAGGCCGGTGAAAAAGAAGAAGAAACATTCGAAGTCTGGAGAGCCAAAGAAAGTCAAATCAAAGAACATGAACAAAACTAAACGCAAACATTTGGATATATCTATTTTCAATACTAACGAGCCTTTGGATGTGTCTGATGCTGACGTGCAACGGCAACTTATGGCTATGCCAAGTCTTAATTTACACAAATCGACAGTTAATAAGGAAATCGCTAACCATTTATCAGGAACGACAGTATTCCTTGATAATGAAGCTAGCGTGAGTCTCGTCAAAGAGAAAAATGTTATAAATATTACAAACAGCAGTCATGTTCCAAATTCTATATATAGCGATGCAAAAGAAACGGAGAAGATTTTGGATAATAACGCGGACGAGCGAATGAATTTGTCTGCAAAGAGTACAAAGAAAAGCAGTATAGCTACAATAAAACCAACGTTTCCTAAGCAAATTTCATTGAAGAATATTTCTCTGGATCAAGTGAAATCCGCTAATAAGATTGACAAGGCTGTAGAGTCTGAATACATTGGCGAGGATACGAATGTTACTATACAAGAAACGAAACCAGGCACATACACTAGCTGCAAAAGTGTGGGAACAATTATAAGTGAAAGATCGATACTTAATTATCCAAAGAAAGATATCATAAAAGCTCCCAGATTGAGCGTGCTGAAATCGGCATACAACACACCTACGACTGAAGTGTCTCCGAAGATTGGTTGCGAAAAGTCGACCGGAGCAGAGAATGATAATCATGTAACACATAGAAACGTAGTAATTTCACCAAAGACTTGGCCTATTGCTAAACCGCGAGAACCCAAACTCTCAAATCCAGGTGTAATGTTTCTAAATACTAATTTCTCCAATCCACCGATTTTACAGAAAGAAATACCCCAAGAGGTAGGGAACGAGACGAAGTCCGTAGAAGCTTCAAAATCCGTAAGCCCAGGCACTATTCAAATACCACGGCTGGAAGGTATTTTTGCAAAGAATACAGTTTTGGCGCAACCGCTAAATCAATCTGTGATGCGTGTAACCGGAACGAATACAGATATTAAGACACTAGGAAAAAGATCGTCCACGGAAACCTCAAAAATGATAGCAACAAAATTTTGGCAGCCTTCTTCTGGCAATAACAGCTTGTTTTTCTTGAAGGACGTGAGAGACGACAAACAAGCTCACCCGATAGTTGCGAAGGTGGATACTTCTGAAGCCTCGTTGAATTTAACCGGCAATAACACGCTCTTCTTGGCCACAACTTCAAAGTGCACGAACATCGCGCTGAATTCGCAGCCCTCGATGATGATCGACTTCAATAAGAAGTATTTACAGAGTACTGCTTCGGTACCTGGGACAACCGGTTCTTTCGTAAAGATTATACCGAAATCACAGGACCAGTTGATCGTGAAAAAGTCGATGAATCAGAAGGAGGACACCTGCAACAGGAAAGTTCTCAAAACCGCAGGCACGATTGTCAGCAAGACCGTGTCAACGCAGGTGGATAGCCCATTGGAAGTTGCCAGAAAAAGCACGAATATCACGATGTTAGATATTGGCACGCAGTATACCATAAATCATTCCAACATGGATGTACAAGATTCTCCGAAGACGATTATTCTTACGCCATTGCAACAGGAGCATCTCCCAAACGTGACGATACCCGATGATCAGTTAAAAATTCCGAATACACAAAAGAGTCCGGAGAGCATGTGTACCAGCGTACCGTTGCTGAAACAGTTAACGAGTTCGAGACGGAAATCAAAAGAGAAGCTCAAGAAGTCAATCACCAGGAAGAAAGAGCCGACAGAGACAAAGACATTCGCGGCAACGTTGAATTTGGACGAAACGAATATAGTCACGTATTCGGTGAATCAGCCCACGTCTCATCGCGTGTCGATGATACCGGGACACATATCCGACATGTTGTATCCCAGCGTTCCGAATAATGATTTGTTAAAGGCATTCAACGATTACTGGAGTGCTCAGATATCTCACTGCGCAGTTTGCGCACCGTTTACTTCGAGTTGCAACGGGCACAGCAGATTAATGCCGCCGGACTGGAAATATTGTAAACCCACCGTTTTACCAGAAAGTTCACCGATATGGGTAAGTAGTATAGTTCATCTTTGCTCGACTTTTTAGATAGAAGAAATTTTTATCGGAACGTGTTATCTCTTTTTTAGGTATCTGCGAATATATTTGTTGCAAACTCGAAGGAGCAAATCGTTGAGCAGGAAAATGATAAGCTTTTACGTTGTAGAGAGTGTCATGTCACGGTTCATGCCTCCTGTTATGGGATCACTGTATTGCCTACAGATTTGCGGAATTGGGCTTGCGATAAATGCAAGGCTGGAAAAACACAGGTGGTACGTATCTGTTGAGATTTTTGCAATCAGATGTATTAAATGCGTTTTCTGACAAATATGTCGCAACAGTTAAATATCAAGATTACTTACTGCTGAAAAAATTAGGGATAGGTTTACACGAAATGTCGAGACCTAATAGAGTTTCCAGAATTTCGACTTTTGTATTTTCGTTCGTCATATTCGAAACTCAGATAAGTAAAGTTTAAAATCAATGAATGTTCGGTGCTTCGAGAACGTTCTATGATGGTTTTTGTTTTTGAGGATATAAGCAAAACCTAAAGATCTTTAGCAAGAACCTGGATTAGATGTTTTTTTTATGTCTTTATGTTTTTACATATATTTTGTTTAACTGTGGCCAATAAAAAAGTATTAAGCATAGGAGTGTGCGAGAATCGGTAAAATTTCGAGAACTCGGCTACCGTTTCTCAAACTACTCTACAATGCCGTATAGCAGCCTACAAAATGTGTAAATACACAGTTCAATTTCTTCTGCCAGTAGTGAAGTTATTGGAAACACGGATTCTAAGAATTGTGTGACCTGATGTAAACGAACGCGTGCTTAGCACTTGGATATTGTGTACGCTGTTGAGCAGTATCGTTGAGAAATTCGGGAAGCTTAGTATATTTCAAAATCTGTGTGAATTTAATAAAGATTAAAAATCTTTAAAAAAAATGTCGAGTGATAGTGAGAGTAAAGTTGTGGTAGTAATGCAAAAGATATCGTGCAAAGGAAGAATGATGATAGGCGGAATGCACATATTGTCATGGATTTAAAACTAAGTATGCAAATACTACTGGTTTATTACGCCATTTGATCTAAAGCATATGCATCTAAACATAAGTATATGTACTAGAAAAGAAACGGAATCGATATAAAATTTGTTGCATATAGAAAATGATAGGCGAAAGATTGCTAAAGATACAACAGAAGGAATTACTCGAATGATGATTTTACATCTGCGACCCTTCGATACAGTTAAAGGCTTTAACGAATTATTTAAGCTTGTTCCCAAAACCCAACTCTTTCGGGAAATTCCCGATAATCTCGAAATTTTCCGATACCCGTCCCGATCCCGAAAAAATTTCATGTTCCGATATTTTGTATTCTCGCACACCTCTAATTAAGCAGTTTTTAAAACAAGAAATCTCTTAAAAAATAAAATCAGCAGTTGAAGTTTCGAAAGCTTCGAAACCCTACAAAGTTTCGAATTCGGGCTTTGAGAATTTAAAAATTGCTTTCGTAATCGATTCCTAGAAAAGATATAAATTCAAATTTATTTTAAAACGAGGTCGTTGAAAAAGTTATAGGAGATAGAAAATATAAAAAAAAAATAGTTGGAATATATTCATTACCTATTTTTCGAAAATAGGTAATCATTTAATTATTGTGTTAGTTTTAATTTTAATTATAATTTTTTACAAGTAGCTATATATATATCTCCAGATGTTCCATTTGTCAGAACGTGCAGCATTTGCTGTAATCACAACCCTATTTTTTCTTCTTCAATAAATTCTCCAATTGATTTTCCGTAGATGTGCTGTTTGTGCCCTATGCGTGGAGGTGCTCTCAAGCGAACCAGCGATAGTAATTGGGCGCATATACTGTGCGCTCTTTTATTACCTGGAGTCACTTTTAAGGATGCTATAAATAAAGATCCTATCAATGTGTTGACCATAAAGCCGGACAATGTTAAGCAACAGTGCTGTTATTGCGGACAGAAAGATGGTGCATGTCTCAAATGCAGTTACTGTACCAATTTGTTTCATCCGTCTTGCGGTCTTGTCTCTGGCGCCACGTTTACGATACCCGTATACAACTCACTCGAACTTCAGGTACATTACAGAAGAAATACATACATATGTACTTTCAACTATGTAGACGTTATATAATGGAAATTGTGTATAGGTAACATGCGATGGACACGACGACGGAAAAGAAAAGATACCGCCACTTCGACAAGGAGAGATTGTTTGGGCAAAGCATCGAAATACCCGTTATTATAAGGCCAAAGTAGATTCCATACACGATACTCTATTTTATATGGTGACGTTTAGCGATAACAGTTTTAGCGATGATTTATATCCATCGGATATTATGGTAAGTTTTTGCTCTACGTTCTACATGTAACTTTATTTTCTTTCTAGAAAGTATAACGGATTTTCTTACTCTTTGCAGAACTACGATCCTGGAAACCCACCTCAACAAGGTGCTGCAGTTGTTGTGAAGTGGACAGATGGTAATTTGTACAACGGTATCTTTGAAGGTACAAATCATCGGATCATGTATACTGTAAGTAACGAGTAATAATTTTACTAAGTTTTTAGTAAATTTATATGTTAATGATAGTATGTGTTATATGCTTCTTTGCTAGCATTTCTAATTGGTATTATTATATGATGTTACTATTTTTTTAATTTTTAATTTGAATGATAGGTAAGTTTCGAAGACGGTTCGCAGCTTCCTTTGAAGCGAAACGATATATACAGCTTACAAGAAGATATGCCAAAAAGAGTTCGGTCACGTTTGGTGAGTTTAGTGATAAACTAATTTATTCGCCACGAATACTTCAGTAGGATTTTTGACAATAGGATTTCTCTCTTTTTCTTTCCTTTTTTCTTTCTTTTTATACGATTCACCTTACTTTTTTTTATTTCTGTCGTATTTTCCTATTTATGATCATTTTTTATTACGAATTTACGTTAACTTTTTACTGTTTTGATTAATTTTTTATTGAAGTCTGTTGCGACCGAAATGAAGCACCGGTATCATCTATACGGCATGGAGGATGAATCGGAAGCGCAAAGAAAGGTGAAACAGTCGAAATATTGTGATTAAAACAAAAATTATACATTGTTCGTTGTAAATAGTCGATAAAGACAAATAATAATTAATCTATTGTATATACTACATATTGTATAATCGTACCTAATAATTTGGTCTTTTCTAAACTTGTACTTAGAATAGACCAAATGTGATAGGATTTTTACATTTCCTGATTTTTCGTCTTTTTCGTCTCGTTTCTTTTTATTTTATTCTTTTTCTTAATTTTTTTCTCTGTTATTTTAACTCGCTTATATCTTTTTTTTCTGTGTCGCATTTCTTCATTTTTAAATATGTCGTACGTTTGTTCGTTAGAGTTGTCGCAATGAGTATTAATAAATTATATTCCGATATGTCAAATGAAAAATGAAATAGATGTTACAATGTCTCATCGAATGAAAAAAAAAAAAAAAGAAAAGTATTAAAGAAGCCTCAGTGTTACAGATTACGTACGTGACTATCGATTTAGAGCATTTTTAACCCATTTTTAACTATTTAATGTAATTAGAAAATGATACAAATCAGACTCTATCGCACGTAATAAAAATGAAACGTAGCGTTTTTTTTCCCTTTATTCCTTTCTACTTACACGTAGAATGATTTCTATCAAAGACAAAATAATAAAATGTATTCCTGTATATATTTACAGACTGTGAATAGGAATATGAAATATTATTAAGCGAGACACCTATGTGTAATTTGAAAAGAACATTTTTTACTTTATTCTATTGATAAGAATTTGAAATTGAAAATATCAAAGATATGGATTGTACGCATATCTTGATAAAATTCATATTAAGTTATGTTACTAAACGTACATGTAGGACTTTAAAGATATTCATAATAAATCACTATTTGAAGGGTTCAATAGTTATATGTTCATATTTTCATGTAATATTTGCTCTGCACAATTTTTATCAATAATGAAAAGTTCGTGTGATTATTATATTGAAAAGTATAACAAATTCAATGCGGAGTGTATCTCTTCAAAGTACAATTTTTACACGAGATGTTTATAAAGTCGTGCTCGTAGATACACTTGTATCATGGAAATTCACAGTACGTGTATGATAGTGTATTTCTAATTCAAATATAACAAAAAATATTTCCTCGTATAGGCTATTGATCCCTTTAACGAGGCAAATTATATTAATTTTCGTCTTTTGCCTTAGAAGAGTAAATCTTATCTTATTCTTTATAAAAAAAAAATCTTATTCTTAATATTAAAAACATTGTGCTTCTGCCGACGATATGTTTCTTTCATACTTTTCTTGTATCCTCTGTTTTATTCTATCATCATAGTCTTAGTATAATGAACACAACACACAACGTAATATATGATTGTATGTATATTTGTAGAATGAAATTCGTCATTCGAGTTGTTAGTGTTCACATGATCTCTTGAATTTCGGTTTTCCTATGAAACTTTTATTTAACTGTGGAAACAAAGATATGCGCGTGCGTGTGCGTGAAACAACTAGCTGTAATTTATGTGAACAGAAATTATTGTTTCCCCTAATCAATTTATAATATTAACCGAGACAGATTGGGGGAACTGTATTAGCGTTCTATCTGTATATGATATTAAAAAAAAAAAAAAAAAAAAGAATTGATAATGTATCCGAATGTAGAAACAAATTGGATACAGTACAATAAAAATTAAATATAAAAAATATACTTCTTTTTCTTTCTTTCTCTTTTACACTGTAATAGTGTAAAAAAAAAAAAAAAATACACAAATTGGAATATAACATTTCAATTTTGTTTATCTTTACTCATTACTGGAACAAGTTGTCATTACAAATAATTAAGCTAAATATTGTTATATATACAAATTAATTAATATAATAAGTAGAATCTATTTATAACAATATAAACGAATTTTTCATACTGTTAATTAATAGTTAATTAATAACTTGCCCTTCTGCAAGTGACAGAATTTATAGCAATAATACGATAAAGTGTTGAAACAGTAAAAAAATATAATTGAAACCGGAAGTTTCAATATTGAACGCAGATCGAATATTTTACGATAGAAATATAGTTTTGATAGTTTTCGAGCATTTTATAAATTGTCACGGATAATTCTTACGAGATTCTAGTTTTTTAATTTACATAAAATCACATTTATTTATGTTATTTATTTAAAGTTACGAGAATCTTTAACAAATATATCACAGTAAATAGTTAGATCTGTCATAGTAAAAATAAAAAAACAAAAGTTTTTCGAGACATCAATTCAACAATTTTTCTAATCTGCTATAAGTAAAAGAAGTACACGATAAACGCTTATTGACCGCGAGAAAGAATGTTAATATCATAATTTCTATGTCATGCGTCTTTAATAACAAAACTAATATTCCCAAGTACTTAAACATTTGTTCCAATATAACTTTCAGTTCCTCGAGTTGATTATTTGATCGATTTTTAATATCAATCGTAACAGTAAAATAATTGCACGTAACATAGAACGCCGATTTTATATTATCAATACACAGAGAATTTTGATGTAAATATATACTTTTATGAAAAGATAGAGTTCAGAACTTTTGTTTTACTACTTCAGATATTTTTGCATCTAATTTGCATATTCAAGTAAATTTTATTATCAATGAAATTGTAATACGTAAAAACGTAATAAAAAAAAAACATTTCTTTCATAATTGTTACGTGCATTCTATATTACGTTTACATAATTCTTTGCGATTATAAGATATCGCATATATTTTAAAGTTACGACTAATTCTTTGCGAAAGTCTCCAATGTAGAAAATTCCATAAAAAAAAAAATGTACATAAATTAATAACCCCAGTGATCACGGAGTAACGCGAGTAATTATCGAGTAACATGTAGTACATTAAAACCCAGAAGTTCTACTTACTAATTAGTACAATTAGTACATACATCACTATCAACACCTGATAAAAGTTCCTACACATTTCCGAACGTTGAAACTTCAATAAAAGCTTTTCTACAATTCATAAGTACAAATGCAGAAATTGATTCAACGCGCAATGATCCGGTGGATAATTTCATAAAAGTAGAATTAATTTCTATCTAATAGAAATAAATTTCTATCAGACGGTGGGATGACTTTCATTGGATCCCTCGCTGAAGAAAAGCTTCATTACAAATTTCAGTATAAATTTCAATGTTCATTTTAATGAAGTCCCAGAGGAATTCTATTTAACGCCATCCTCACGGTAGAAAAAAAATTGGCTAACAATAATACAGAATCACCAGGATCGATAATAAATAGTACTTATCTTCTGTTAAGTTTACACCAAAGAGCACTGGCAGTTAACAAATGCATTAAAACACCGATACCAATTATCAAGATGAGATTGTTTGCGACGCTTATGTCTACTATTTCCATCTCTTTGAGGAATTGCGTTGGCTTTTTGTAATGACAGTAGAACTCGTCACATTTCAAGTCCATCCGGTCGAAGCCGTATACAGTGTGTAGTAGACTGTGGAAACTGGCGCGGAAGTACGATATATGAAAGATCCATCGAAACATATGTGGCGTATCCATGTAACGGATACAGAATCCGAACACGGAGAACAACACGGCAATTATAGGTCCTGCGAATACTGCGATCTATAAGCAAAAAAGAAAAGAAAAAATTACACTTTCTTGTATTTTGTACAGATAGAAGCTACATTGATTAACTCCATCATGATAAGTCATCCTGTTGATACAATTAGGCATTAATCATATATTCTGACTAGTAACATTTAGAGAATTTTAAAAAGCAGAGCCAACTAGTTTATTTCTTTTCACGAGTGTAGCAACTGTTTTACTCAGACATGTTTAAGAAATTTTTATATGTTTATATTGTATTATATTTTAATTTTTGTGTTTTGCTTGAACGAATTGATCAAACTCATACTACACTGTGATGCTATATTTTAGAATTGAGAAGACTTATATAAATATTTATGTACATACCTTTACTGGTGTGGTCGCGCCAATGAAAAAACCCCATGCTTGAGCCGTTAAGCTAGCAGCTACACTGACGACCATGAAATAAATTACACGTGGAGTTTCTACGGGTTGTCCTGTTAACCAGTAACTCACAGTTAAATAGGTTGTTGCACATGCTGCCTGGAACGGTATTTCCACCAGTAGTAGACTAATATAGTACGGTGCTAACCGATACCACCGATTGAAATGCTCCCTACTGAGTATCCGCATTTCTTGTGGAACTGATAGCAATCCAAATATTCATTCTATTAATTCATATCATATATAACTTTTAAATACAAACTGAAATTCTCTCAATTGCAACTAAACTGTAAATTTTTACAAACTGGAAATATCTTTATATAAATGCAACTAAAGAAAAAGTAGAGAAAGTAAAACTTTGTTTTACATCCTAAATATTATAATAGACAGTCTTTAGTTTGCATTATTATATATACATATATAATAATAATAATATAATATTTTAATATGATACATATATGTATGTTATTATGTACAAACATAGTACTTCCTATAATTATTCTAAATAATTCTGAATATTATCAAGATTGAAACAAAATAGTCTGAATTTCAAAACTCAGATAACAGGTTTAATTTGTTTTAATACTTTCATTGTATATACATTTGTTTTTTACTTTCACATAGATGTAAACGAAACGTCAAATTTAGATCAAATTCGCCTTGAAATACTTTCTAAAAAAAAAGACAAAGGAAAAATAAGAAGAAAGTATTTACATAAACTGGTTAGGGCAATGATATCTTTATACAATTCAAACAAGTACAAAAATGAAATGTTTCATTGGTAAAAAAAGAGAATATCAATTCGAACAGGTTTTAATAAGTGAAAAAAGGTCTCTGTGAATGGCCACTAGAGATCCTGTTAACTCTCCCGTGTATTGCGATTCAACTTGAGATATGATTACACACCATGCCTCCTTGACCTAAATTTTCTACTATTGATGGCGCGAAATGATAACATGACACAAAGAGAAGATTAAACCATGAAAACACAATTTTCTTTTATAACTGAAATGTTAAAAACTTCAATTCTTCCAAAAATCATAATTAATGTAAAAAAAAAATCGTAGAGAGAAAAAAAAATTAAGTAGTTCCAGGATTTGGTTTCTCTAAATGTAACATTTAATAAGAAAAATAAAGTTTCAATTTTATAGAGTTTCATAGCGTGTTTTCATCTTTCAGAAGAAAAGAGATAGCAAGTGTATTATTAATTTTTAGAATTCAAAAAATGAATCGTTTAATTGTTGAATATGTGAAACTTTCACCAAAGAAAACAAATGGAAATAAGCTGGCAGTTAGTTTGAAGAAAGGTAGGAGACAAGAAAATAAATATATATGCAAATTTGTATAGCTGTTGGTGTAGTTCACTGAAAGGAGCTAAATCGATTACAAAAAGAAAATGGTAGAGAAACGACTCTTGAGAATGAGATCGGTAGAGAGGAGAAAGTTTCCTAGTTCTTGATCCCAATATTACATTACATGTATGTATATATTTATTATGTATATATTTATTATGTATATATTTATTATGTATATTTTTGTATATTATGTGTATTCTGTATATTTTTAAATTTTCATAGTTCTCATAAACCATATTCTAAATGCTAATAATTGGGTTTAATACTTACAGGCAAGGGTGACGGCCATTTTACCCGTGTAAACGAGCAGTAGTAACGATCCGTACAGATAAACATAATTAGCGAGGACACCATTCGCTCTGTAACCGCTTCCCATATATAGGTAACCGAAAATAACTCCTATTAAGAGGTGACACAACAGTCGTACAACCAATAACGTGTGGTCTCTTTTCAGACAAAGTAACTGTCTCTTATAGAGTAGATAACATTGAGCAATGAATCCTGCTGGTGGTGGTGGTTCCTTTGTGTTCTCTGTATTAACAAAACAACATAACAATGTGATCAATCCGACGGAATGTAAAGTTGAATGAATTGCAGGATTACAAACGAATTTGAATACAACAGGCAGAAACAACAAATACACCTGCAGTTTTTATCATTTTATAAATACTTCCATTTTAACTTTATAGTTTCATATAATTATAAAAATCAGATTTCTTGGAAAAATCCTCTCGTGAATTCTTTCATAATCATCACTGTTTAAAAAGGAAAATTAATTGAGAAACAGACGCAAACAAAGTGTTGCATTAACGCAACGTTTGCTCTTAATGAATTATAGTTGTCTTATGTATGCGAGGGTAATATGAGAATGTAAAAAGAAAGTAAATGAATATAAGAAAATGTTACAACTACCTTCTAGCTGTGGTTTCATTGCGTATGTAACGGACTTGTCATCTTTCGTCATCGTTTCCACAGCACCTGCTAATTTGTCCACGGTGATACCGTAATCTCCAATCGCGACTTCTAAAACTGTAATAACAGACACGTACACAGCTGTGTTATAATTTGATTAACACTTTAAAATCGTGAATGAATTAGGTTGTTCACTCTCCTTATATATATATATTTTTGTCGAACACGCAGCATTATCAAAGTAAGCGTAATAATTTACCCAAAAATACCAAAAAAGTATTCAAATTAATACAATAAAATAATAACATACTAAATTAACAAGAAAATAATGAATAAGTACCGAGCTAACAACGATAAAAGAGAAAATGTGAATGCAGGTAACCAAAATAAAAAAATTTAATAAATTCATAGTTAATGGAAGATATAATTCATTCTTCGTTATTTAGTATGTAACAGATGATATAACGGGAGATTTTTTTTTTTTTTTTTAATGACCTTGAACAGAATACAGATTTCATACTGACTCTGACTCGATTTTAGGCATGAGAACAACTCAAAAGGAATGTCGTTTTACGTACGAAAGTCAGCTGGATTATGGTAAGGCGGGCAATCAATGCCGATCGAGAACATATGAGGCAACAAGGACTTAACCGGTCCCCTGTATATGCAGTATCCACCGGCAACCGCATAAATGGCATCAAACATCTCTAAGAGCAATGCACTCGGTTGATGTATCGTGCATATTATAGTACGCCTTTCTACTTTAGCGAGACGCTTCAGCAGTGCGATGCATTGGCTGCACGAAGACGAATCCAAGCCTACAATGAAAAGAAGAGATGTGAATTTCAAAATTCCACGAATTTGACGAATATTTTAATATAAATTTCATTCCCATAAAATCTTTAAAAAGTTCAGAACGTTCATGCAGATTTATATTTTTGTAAATGCGACTAGAGGAAAGTCATTGCTATCATTATTATATTATAGATCGTCATTATTATATTATAGATTCATCATGTTCAATTGCAATTTGATAAATAATTGATAAAAGAATAATTGATAGTCAACACATCACAGTGGACTAGTATCTATCACTAGTTGCAAACTACGTCAAAAGCTATAAAAAACACTTTTAGCAAGTTTCTAACAATAAAATACGAAGATAATTGCCGGATATCCTATTGTACTTCGTAGCATACATCAACGGCAATGATACTAAACACAAATTAGTCATTATAAAATGATGACGTCGTTTCTTTCAGTAAGAATAACTCTTATGCCAAACTTTATGAAGTTGCGTCAGTATTTTAAAATACTTAATTTTTTTTCTTCAATTTTCTAATCTACTTTTCTGCTACTTGTATTAAAATTAATTGCTAATAATCAGGTCAAATCAAATAAAAATAAAAATTGTGCACGGTGAATTGTGACTAGTATTGCAAAGTGTACGTATTCCATAGAAACTTTGAACGGCAGAACGTTTCAAGCATTCTATATGATACGACTTTTAATGGAATTAAACTACCATCAATTGACTATCAGTGTTGTATACGTTTGTATATGTTCGTCGTTTTCTCTGCATTAAATACGAAATTTAATAACATTAAAATAAAACAATTGAAATTTATAGGTCAAAATTGTCGACAATAACGTTTGAAATAATCTGATTGAGATTGTGTTGTCAAAAAAATTTGCTGAACTTTGGAAATTACACTGGCGGTTCTTTTATTTTTCTTTTTCTCATGAGCAATGTCAACAATTCAGTCTTATCTTCTTTTCCAATAATATAATTTTGCAACTTTGTAATTATCGACAACGAGATAGACAAAGTTTACTAGAATCTATATAATGATAAGTTATTAATAGAATACTAATATCATTTTGCTAGTTAATAACAGCATTTTCATTTTTCATGCCTGGCATTTTAAACGTAACATCTAATAGCGATCATGCAAAAGTAATTACCGGTAGTTGGTTCGTCGAGGAATAATACTGAAGGATTACTTAAAAGTTCCAAAGCGACATCCAGTCGCTTTTTTTGTCCACCGGACAGTTTTCCGCAAAGGGTGTCGTAGCAATGGCTTAATCCTAACATTTCTAACAGTTGCAAAACCTGATCACAGAAAATATCTTCATTATACGCATTTGTCATTTTAATTCCTACCGTAAACTGAATTTAATAGTGAATTAAGGCTTTTAGATTTTTACATCTTTTTACATTTTTAAATTAGAAAAATTTATGTTCGACAAGTTAAAAAAAAAATTTCTTTTTAATTCTTCTAGGAATTGTCTAGGAATGAAGTCTTCACAATTCGAAACAGTATTATTTCTGATGACTCGTTATTTTGAAAAACGACATTAGCATTAATTCGAAATGTGTAATGTAATATGTAACTGTTTACACACTTGGGTGTGCTTGTAGGCTGAATTGATACTGTAGCCAAGTTTTAGGTGTGCGGCTAATGTCATGGCTTCTCCCACGGTTATTCTAGTTCTCATTAAGGCTTCTTGTTGAATATAGCATGAAGTCCTCTTCCACCTCTCGCTATACGGTACTCTAATTTTCCCATTTACTAAAATCTTTCCCTCGACGCCTTTCACTCTGAAACATTTTCGCGATAACGTATTTAAATATTTTTTTAATATTATGACACAATTAAAATTACTGAAACGTAACAAGTGAAAATTATCGAATTTCCACGCATTAAAATTCATGATTCATCTATTATATTCAATAAAATCGTTAAAAAAAGATTTTTAAAAAAGGATAAATAAAACATGACACTAATAATAATAATATTAAATTTTTGTTTCAATTAGAAGGCGGGCTTTATATTTTAATTATTTCATTTATGAATATTTTTCCTGATAAAGGATATATTTATATGTATATATGTTATGTAATGTAAATATTTCAAATAGATCATTGTTGTAAATATTAATTATCACTCAAATATTTTTATTTCCATAAAAATACTCATCGACGTATAAAATAATCGACTTATTATTAGCTTATACTCAGGATTTCCTTCACGTCACAAACGTGTCAATCGAGTCTGCATACAGATGATATTTATTCTTCTTTAGACTATATTTTATGTACAATTAACGTTTCCTGATATATACTGGAAAATCTAGTTTTCTTCTTAAAAAGTAAATTAAGTATTATTAAGTTTCTTATCATTTTCTAATAGCCTTTTATTAGTTAACGTTTTATTAACTTCTTATTCAAATCAATATTTTAATTTTCTTTAAGTTTCCTTTCTCATATTATTTATAATTTATAATTGTTATATATTATCTCATTTTAATTATAATTTATAATATAATTGTTACTTATAACTATCCAAGATTTAATGAATTCATTAATCATTAACAGGGCATTCCAGAAAATGAAATCCCAAGATCACACTTCCGCCATCCGGTTCTAGAAATTGCGACGTCATTGATTTCAATGATTGTCACGTAAGTTGTACAAAATACAGTTCAACATGTTAATTTCAGCTTTGTAATTCTTATTCTAGGAATAAGAAACATTGTCACTGACATGCTGATCGTTAATTCATTAGAAAAACTTCTAAGTAAGAAAACTATTTTTTCAAAGAAACGTGCTGAGATCCATTTCTAAAAATACATACTCAGTTTATGATATTTTCTATCTCTCTAATTAAGTAAATCCAAATTGCAAGAACTTTGAAAGCTTTTCTTTTTACAAATCATTCAATTCTGTGAACTTCGAATATTTTGAATATGCAAGTTTGATATCTGCTTAAAGTTAGAAACAGTATCTAGTTGATCTGAAGCAGCGGACAAACTAGAGTTAAATATCCTTCAATTTCCTAGAAGTAAGATATTGCGTTAAGCGAATTCTTTTCAAATCTTAAAGAGCGTTTGTAATGTCCAATATAGAGGGTGTTCCAGTTTTCATGTCTATCTAATGAATTAACACAGTTAATATAAGCGTTATATTGGCTGCATGTTCACGTTTAAGTATATTAGCAATTGGTAGAAGCCGATAATTTATGTTAATGCCCTTGGCTTAAGTTTGTCAAATAGTTAAGAAGCACTCACTTGTAACCGGCCAGAACATTCAACAAAGTTGATTTTCCTGCCCCAGATGGTCCCATTATGGCGACAAGCTCGCCGGCCTTGAACTCCCCGCTGACACCATGGAGAATTTCTTTGGATTCTGCAATAAATGAAGAAAAAAAAGGAGAACTAATTAGTTTGCATTTGAAAAATAGATTACGTTAAAAATCATAATGATAATTAATAGAATTCCTGAATCTCTGTGTTTCAAAATATAATTAATTTTCTTAACACTAGAACTACCAGAGTAGTCAAAATGACTAATTTATAATTTCCTATGGAAATTTCATTTATTTGTAACAGCGCATTTTTTAGATATTCGAGTGATTTTTAATAAAACATATTAACAGAAGTTTGTGTTCTTTATAGTATTACTAATTTCTACTTGTATCTTTAATGCACTTTAATTTCTTCGTCACAAATATTATGCTTTGGTCATTGGTAGTTCTAGTGTTAAATGTACGTGGAAGAAAAGATTTCTTCGTAGTGATCCTTGAATTTAAATAACTGCGCTGTAGTAACTACAGAAATGTTATTTAAATTTATGCTGTTTAACAGCGAATGATGAAGAAAGAACATTGAGACTGTAATAATTCTGTTGATGTATTTCAAGGAATATTTGTTCGTAGAAGAGTCAACGAACGATAAAATAGGATGAGTTTCAATGGCTTCCATTAAATGCTAGATTGCACGTAAGTGGAGCGAATTCAATGAAGTCGAGCTGGGGGCTTAAATTTCAACGAAGCTTCGAAGACTTCAATCAACTACAGTTAAACCGTGGTGCATTTATTTGGACTCGGAGTGAGTGAAAAATTACTTGCAGCTCTGTCAATTTACTATTGCTAATTACTACTTAATTCTTAATCGAACATTTTTTTAACAAAACTTCACCTTTGAAATATTTCTTGTTCTTCAGGAGAAGACTTCGACTTTCGAGAAACTCGGCTCGCATATTCTCTAAAATGTCATAGTAATCACGGCGTGATTCATTGCTGCATGAAACAGCTTCTCGTTAATTGCTATTCATGGTGACAAGTTTTTTTTTTTCTTAGAAAGATCATTATCAACAAATAAGATACAAATTATTGTTAAACAACTAATTATCAAACAAGAAGTCTTGTTACAAGATTATAAATAATTTATCATAAAATTAATTTAAGTCCAATTTCAATTTAAGTCCAATTACTCAGGTAATTAATCGTGGTAATTTCTTGTCATAATTCAACCGTAGTCGAGTTTATTAATCGATCTATCAACTCGTATTTAATTGAGAAGCGAAAAAAAGAAATTTATCATTGAAAGTTGATGCATACTGTTGACCGAACGTATCGGACACCTATTTGAAAATGCAAATAATTGTAATTGACGATAATTCATTCAGTATAGCAGCAGTATTCATCCATAAAGTTTTTCCGTACCGAGAAAACTCGTGTCAAAAGTTTCTATATTGTGTATAATAAAACATTCATTAACATCCACTTCATGCAGTATTAGTGATAAGAATTGAAATTAAAATCTGTAAAAAAATCCACAACCTATTCTAGAAAAATATTTTTCTAAGTAGTAAATATTAATTAATTTGCAACGATATTCACAACGATATTCGCATAATTTCTATAATTTCTGTGATTTATAACAATTCACAGGGTTATTAATATTATTATTATCAATCTCTTCGTTATATTCTCAACACGGTGAAAACAATTGGTATAGTCAATTTGTGGCTCTATGAGTACAGAAAGTTTAAAAAAATAATACAATCGAATAGGTTTCTGATTACACTCACGAAATCACTGAGAGAAGTTAAATTACAAACGAATGAAATAATTGAGTTGTAATTGACTTATACTGGACCATGTTGCAATTATCATTAATAAGTAAAATAGCATGGAATAAATGTTCTGGACGGCGTGATTGATTTTTTTTTTTTAACGCTTGCCCGTATTAGGAATAATAATACAGTCAATTTCCGTTTGAAAATTAATGCATGCGTGACGATAGCGTCTACATGACGTACATACGTGTCGGTTTCGTCTTTTTTCTTTCTTCTTCTTCTTCTTTGGCTTTACACGTGCCATGAATATGAATGCCCGGCAAACGCTGAATTTTTGCACAAGTTGCAAACGTTTACATGTTTTTATGAAAAAGACGTACGCTGAAAAGTAGTACGTACATATATGTAAATCGGATAATGTGGCATTTGAAGATAATGCAGTCATTAAGATAGCGCAGCCATAATATAGTACAATATATACTGTATGATTTAATATTATCTAACCACACGTTTCTATTATGTACTGTAGTCGTAATATAGTACAACATACAATTGCGATTAATATTATCCGCTTTTATTACGTTTTTTTTATTACCGAAAAATCTATTTCTCCTGAAAAAATACGGAAAGAATCGGCAAGATCAGTAAAACCTTCTCGTTACCAGTTTCTCGAAGCTTTTTTAAAAGCTTTTTTGCTTGCGAAAAGCAAGGTCAACGGACATAAAAACTTAACTGGGACAAAGATAAGGAATAATTCTATTAACTTACGCAACTAATCTAACCTAATTTAATGAGATCTTCACTTTAAATAGTCCATGCACTTCTGAACATTACGTACTTCTTGTTCCGTTCGTAATAATACTTTCTGCTAGCTTCTAATAACGGGCGAAGCCTGTTCGAAATGTTCAATGTAAACTTTCTCCGTTTAAAACTTTCTTCGCTGCTCTCGGGATCACATCGAGCATTACTTTCTCTCAACGTTCAATACGCTAAAAAGTGGTGAAACGCGCGGAACCAACTGGTTCGGCTGAAGATGAAATCCCCTTGACAGAGCCGTCGAGCACACGAGTCCTCGAACTTCGTACTTTTAAACGGAAGCTTAATGCAATAATCCCATCGTAAGCGAAGAAAAAAAAAAAAAAAAGAAAAATGGACCATCAAACACTTTTTGAAAAAATAATTTAATCTCGCAGATATTTTCATTTGTATCCAACTGACTGCCTCGTTCACTTCCAGTTTTTCCTTATTTGCGTCTTCGTTTACATTACAATGCAACAATAATAATGCAATGATAATGGAAGAAAATTATACAGAAATTTATAAAAAGTAAAAGCTACATTTTCGTATTCTCAGTGCTTTCCCCACTGTTACGTTCGATTATTATGCGATACGGCTTGATGAAAAATAAAAAAAATAACGAAACATGGTTCGTGCGATATGTGATAGTCTTCAACGTTTGGTAGGCGTAATAAGTTCCGGTAGTCGTGCATCGTCACGATGCCCGTTTGATGAACCTCAACTAACCTACTTTCGTTCGCGACTTTGTACTCTTTTGAAGAAAATTTATAACGAATGGACATGTTCCTCGCCACGTTTGAGAAACTTTCATTCCACTCGCGGGAAACATAGTTAAACAGAGTTGAAAACAGAGGAATGTGCACTGATAACGTGCGTGTGTCATCATATATTTCGTTATTCAAAAGCGTCAATATATATAGAGGGTGTTTCGTAACTTGTGGGACCCACTTCTGGGAGCTGATTGTACGCCTAAAAATAATGAAAAAAAAGTCATGTAAATATACATATGTCCTATCTGTCATCGTTTATACAATGAATTTTATAAACAGAGCAAACTTTAGTAAGCTAGTTTTACCAGCGATGGTAGATTCAATTTTCATAATAATCATAATTGGGATGAAGAAAACCGACACGTTATTGTGCATTCAAGACATCAACACCAGTTCAGTTGAAACGTATGGGCAGGAAATAATTGATAAATTTTTAATTGGACCTTTTTCTCTTGATGGGAAACTAACAGCCACAAAGTACGTTGATTTTTTTTTGAGCACGCGTTTACACGAAACGTTAGAGGAAGTTTCCAGTCGATATTAGACTTCGTATGCGGTTTATGCATGATGGAGCTCCGCCGCATTTTTAGCCGAGTGGCTAGGCTATTTTTAAATCAACACTTTGCAAATAAATGGATTGGTCGTGGAGGTCCTATTGCACGGCCTGCTCGGTCTCCGGATTTGAATCCATTGGATTTTCATTTGTGGGGACATTTAAAATCTATTGTACACGCAACGTCGATTGAACATGCTGAAATACTACGAAATAGAATAGAGCAAGGCTTCCGACAAATTCGAGAAACACCAGGAATGATAGAGAGAGTAACCAGATCAATAACAAGACGCGTGCAGGCTTGTCTTCAAATTTCGAGCATCTTTTGTAGAAGTAATTAAAACAAAAAATTCATTATATCTCATAAACGAAGACAGATAGGACATATATTATTCATATGACTTTTTTTTCATTATTTTTAGGCGTATGTAATTCAGTTCCCAAAGTGGGTTCCACAAGTTACGAAACACCCTGTATATATATTTTTACTGTGTCTATTGACAGTTTTAACATTCTTGTTTCTCGAGAGTAGATATCTATTAGTATGCAACATACATACGTACACATTGGCATAAATATAATCCTAAGACGTCGATTGAGTTAGTTTTATTCATAATTTCTTTAAATAAAAAAAAGAAAAAAAAAACATTTGTTTGCAGAGTTCGAAATATTGAAAAACTTACACTTACATATCGATGATTATAATCGGATGTAATTACGACATTGTTTTTTTAATTCTGGGAAACATGTAGCCACGAGGCGATACTCGCGACGTTAAGGTGAATTTGCATGTGGAAGGGAAAAAGCTGCGATACATCCGGAAGTCGATGATCGATAACTTTTTGTGCACGTCTAATTCGATTAGGGAGATACGTTAATGCTTCGAAACATGAAACGAAAAAAAATCCGCAAAACAGATATTACACGTGCCAATAAACTACGTCGAATTTTTTTCCTTTCACATTATTGTTATAAATGAATAAAACTGTGAAAGATGTACACAAGTCTCTGGAGCTACAAAAGATGACGTCGTTCATCAAATTCAACAACAAATCTCCGATATAAATTCAAATAGCAAGGAGACGATAAAGGAAATCGTATTGAGTTTTCAGTTCAAAGACTAAAAAACATGGAGCAATGATCGTTGTTATATATTTAGATCATCCGTTGTGTGCCTGTTTGGATGATTACACTATAATAGTAGTATAATCGAAAGAGTTACGTACAACACTAACATCGTCGTCCGACAAATCCGTTTCAAGTACCGCTGTTCAGAAACTAATCTTACAGAACCAATTTACAGAAATTCGATTCATTGATTTTCTGACCTTCATTGATAAAGAAATCTAATCTATCTCTTGTGATCGATTTCCAAACTGTTCGAATTAACCTCTTTGTCTGGCTTCTCTGCAACGAAACGAAATAAATAATGTCAACGTTAACTTACTGGGCCTTAACTGTCGGAGGTTCCATAGTTTCACTCTGTACCGGATGTCGTAGAATGTGAGATTCACCTCGGGTCTTTTCGGGAAAGAGTATTTGTCTTCTATGAAATAGTTGTCCTTCGCGGCGATTGCCACCTCGTGGACGTCATCGTGGCTGTTATGATCGAACTGGCAGCAGCTTAACGATGACCGGGACGGTGAACAATGAGCAGAAGCAGTCATTGTTCGACGAACTATCGAATCGGTGGTTTCTTCTTTTCACGAGTTTCCTTCCGTTGCGTTATCGTATATCTAGCATCGCATCAATGATCCCGATCGATCCTTTCCGACTCGCGGTCTCGGCCGATTACTGTTTACGCATTATGTTGTAATCGCTCGCTGTTCTGCAACAAAAGAAAAGCCAATGGATACAATTAATACGTAATACGATTGTTTACAATAACGTAATAGAAATGTATAGACGAACTAGCAGAGGAAACCGGTATGAGAATGCGAGCGAATTAAAAAATTCGTAGTTCTTATTCTCTTCTTGCGATCTTTCACGGAATATAAAATAATAGTATAATATATATTATAATATAATAATATGTAGTGTATATATATATATATATAATATATATACTATATACATAGTACATATAATAATATATATTATAGATATAATATAATATATTTTATATATTATTATATTATTATTTTATAATAATATAATATTCTTTCACGGAGACATAATATAAAATAATAGTATAATATATATTATAATATAATAATATGTAGTGTATATATATATATATATAATATATACTATATACATAGTACATATAATAATATATAGTATATATCATAGATATAATATATTTTATATATTATTATATTACTATGTTATAATATAATAATATAATATTCTTTCACGGAGACATAATATAAAATAATAGTATAATATATACTATAATATAATATAATAATATAATACATAATATATTTTATATATTATTATATTATTATGTTACAATATAATAATATAATACATAATATAATATATTTTATATATTATTATATTATTATGTTATAATATAATAATATAATATATACAGCAAAACTACAGAACTGTTTGTGTAAATTGGTATTTTTTTATAAGTACGAATGAAGAAATATAACTTAATTGGGAATATGTTGTATGTTATAATGAGTAGCTTACTTCAGATCATGGTACTATATTACGTAACGTTACTAAAGGATCAATCACTTTTTAGCTTCGAGGGACATTGAGAGTGAACTTGATTGCCACGATCTTATCTGATGTAGTAGTGAAAGTATACGTAAAGTTAACAGTCGCTGGTATATGTATGGTATACCATGTCCTGCGCAACTGGCACAAGTGTTCCGAAACGATAGAAGAATCAAAAATTGAAAAATATTTCGAATGACACATGATCTACATACATGTGTTCCAATCAGGAATTGATTATGTTTTAATTTCATCACTATCTTTTAAAATAAAACTATACATTAATTCATCATGTGTGTATGTGTGTCTTTTTTTTTTTTTTTTGATTTTCTATACAAAGTAGATCCATCTTCCTCTTTCAAATACTAAATTTTGCAGAGTTAAAGTTAAAACGTCTTAATAAAAACTAGTCAATTTTTGATCCAAACGTCTTAATATATTTTTGTGCAGAATCCATTGACTGACGCATAAAAATATTCCACAATTCTACTTGCAAAATATATTCAAGTTGCAGAATTTTACAATGACATTTTTTTATCTCTTTTCCATCTTCTATCAGAAGCTGTAGCTTGTTCTAATTGCATGGGATTGCACAGTATAATAAGCATAATACTCTGTGTAACTGGCTAACATTGTAAGAAGGTTGGGAAAGTGTTGGCAAAGTGTTGGCACGGTCTGTCCTTGAAACTGGATTCTAGCCAGAAATTTATAATGTACATTAAATGTTGCTAAAACGAATGACAGCTACTTTAAATATTGGATTGGCTGTCTATTAAGCGACTTTTCATTCCTTTCACTTCACTGTTCAATGAGGTGTGATACGAGTAGATATCTTGTGTTAAAACTTATTGCTTGTAGTATATTTATTGCTATACGTACGTTCATTTGCAAGATTGACTAACTTCACAAAACAAAAGACGATGGAAAAATCGATAAAATAATATACAAAATTCCCTTTAAAATTTGAAGTCAAATGAACACTGTACAATGTATTATTAAAGGTGTAGCTTTTATTTAATGATATAAAATGCATAATATTATATATCATTGGAATATACCACGCTGGCTTCTGAAATTTATTACTCCACAGTCAAACGAATATTTATCACTTTTGCTGCTTTTAAGCGATAGCAAGGAAGATTTTAAATGTAAAAAGTTAAATATAAAAGCATCAATCTTTTTGGCATTAAAGTTTAAATAAATTCGAAGAAGAGAAATTAAAGTTAAATTAATCAGCTTGAACTTGAAGAGAATTGATGTGCTTCAATCATTAATACTTGTGGTAACTTTTCTTGCGAACATAGTAAAAATATCGTTGTCAATCATAGTGTAAGTGTGATAAATTCATCATCGTGTGGTTTCCCCACAATTAGCATTAAAAGTAGATATGTCAGATAAATTAGACGCTGATGCAAATTGTCCATAGACAACGGAAAATTCGAAGAACTATGTATCATACAAAAATTCTTAAAAGAAATAAACCTCTCATTTTTATAAATTACTTTTAATTTTGTTTTTTTTTTATAGGAAATACACATGAGAACAACTTGATAAGTTATGGTCCGTTGATCTTTTAATTTTGAGATTAATTAATAAACTGCATTTATATAGCAAATTTTATATATATATATATATATATATATATATAGGAAATTTTAAGATGCGAAATGAATATAATACGCCGGCAATATCTAAAGTAGACTATTTATTACAATATATACAGAGAATTTCTATTCTCTTCTATTTCAGCTAAGTTTCTTCTGCATAAATAAATACATAAATGCAAAAATCTGCAATCTAATCATCTTTAAATAGAAAAATCAAATAGAATGTTAACGTGAATTGATTGAAAGTATACTTTGAAATTTTAAAGTCATCCTTTCGTAAAAAAATAGAACATATAACTCGTGCTTTTCACACGAAATATCCATCTCGTTGGATGTGAAAACGATTTCTCCTTTTAAATTCCAGCTTTTCAATTTCATTGATAAATATATTTATTTGCACAATTTACGACTGACGCGCGCGAGTTACGACCAACGCGAGATTTTTCCACGGTATTATACGTAACCGAGTACGTGTCATCGTTATTACAAGTTCGAACTTCGTCCCGCATAAGTCAGCGGGTTCATCAGAAAGAATCATCACAAAGAAAAAAAGAAAAAAAAAAAACGCCCAACAAAAGAAATAACGAGATCGCAGAAATGGGAATGAAGCCGAAATATCGGGAATAGAGCAAATTGAAATAATAATAATAAAAATAATATTAAAATAATAGAAGTATACATTGTTTCAAGTTTAACGGGAGAGAAAAAGAGGGAGAGACTGATCTCGATGATTTACTTACAATTGTCTCACATTAAATGTTATTGTACAATTAGTGTCGAGCGTCGTTAATTATGTTTAATTATCAGAATTATCATGGAATTAATACTGTCGTGTGTTATTCTTATCTCTAGTCCCCTTTTCCTTGTACGATTCGCCCTACATTGCAAATCTTTTGCAATCGGTTTATAGTAGAAAATTCCGTTGTTTTAACAACCAGAGAAAAAGAGGAACCCCAAGGATTCTATTGTTTAATATTCTGTTATTATGATCTTCTCGTGTAAGTTTTACAATGTTCGCAAAACTTCGATGAATTTGACGCACAGTGCTCTGATAAGTTATATAACGTTATATAAGCTACGTGCTGATCTATATATTATGTATAATTGTATAACTAGTAATCAATTGCATTAATTTGTACTTCAATTTGAATATTGTTGCGACCTGGCAATTTATTTTAGCCACGTTTGTTTAATAATTTTTCGTTTACGTAACTTCGCGCATTATTTAATTTCGTCGCTCGGCCCTTAATGGATTAAGTTAGAGCAACACCTTTTATTTTTCCGTTTCAGTTTCTTTCTGTCAATTTGACAAACGGCTGCTCGTTACGAGCAATAAAAAAAGTAACGAATGATGATGAAAGATAATCCGACGTAAAGAGGATTTGAAGGCTAAACAAAGTATGAGAAAAGAAGCGATAAGAAGTTGACAAAATGCATGATAGCACAAATGCCAACTCTAGGATATTCTATATACGTCATTTTACTATAGTTGAATTTAAAAACAAGTTAGTTTAACAAAGCCAAAAAATATAATAATATAATAATAAATATAATTATATTTAATATTATATTCGTTATTATTTTTAATATTATATTAATTATACGATTTAACATATATAATTTGTATGTACGACCACCAGCACTCGTGTGTACATGTATAATCAATTAATAAACATTACAATAAATGAAACAGATGCACATATCACATTCCAAGGCCAAGACTTATTGTTATTTCACGACTTTGAAATATAGCATTGTACGATAATTGATGAAGGTCTAGAAATTATTATCTCGACACGCTCCTTCAAATGAATAATTGTTGCTGCGTTTAATCCATCGCTGGAAATTTCAGTCGCGTGAAATTTGAAACACGCGATCCTGCCATAATTTTATAATTAAATCAAAGATTTTATTAAATTAAAAATTCTCAGAATAAATCTTAATCGCTTGAATTTGACGAGAAACGAAATGTTCTCACTATTCAAAGATATTTTTATAAAATGTATTTTTCAAAAGGGCATTTAGAATAAATGCCCCAGTATTAAAATCTGGAAGAATTGAACAACAGCAAGAATTAAAAATTTTAGAAAACTCGATGCGACGCAAAAAAGTGTACAAGGAAAATGTACAAATTATCAAGTGACATTGAAAATACTAATGAGGAGATTTGTCAGTGACTTATTAATAGTTGATAAACTCTTTAATTGATAGGAGCCTTCACAATTATACGTGCCGAGAAAAATTAATTATAAAAGTACCCTGACCTTAGGTCGTTCATTTAGAACACTGAATCACACGGGTATCTCGAATAAATTTCCACCGAAACGAATCATTTTCTTTCGTCTGATTACTTTCCTTATCTCTCCGTCTGTCCTTTCTTTATACTTTATAATTTTCGAATAATAATGAAAACAAGAGTGTGCCATTGATACAACTCGAACAAAACTACATTCAAAATGCAAAATACATATGTATATACGCACATGTATACATACATATATGTACTGTGCGTTACATGAAATGCTGACTAAGTGTCCAGTCACGTTGA